AATACAGACGAAGTCGCGGGTAACAACTAGCAACCGACTATAAATCACTTTGATACAAATAACATTTGCTGAATTCGTTTCAGAATGTGCAAAGATAACGCATATCAGTCTTTATGTAATCTGCGTATTTGTTTTTACTTCATTGTTGACTAGCGGCCCGTCCCGGCTTTGCACGGGTGGACATTTTTACAACATTTTAAAAAGTAATTATTGTGACATAACGATAATAGTTGGACATATAGTATCGCGGAGTTTTTTTATAGTTATTGACATTTTCTTCAATATTGTAGAACATACTTTTGTTCTATCACCAATAGTTTCCACAGCGTACGCGACGAAAGATATTTTATAGAATTTTTTAAACCTTGAGTTACATTACTAAAGTTTTAGTAAGGATCCCTAATCTTTTCTAGCAATAAATATAGCCTATGTTACTCAGGGTGAATGTATCTTTCTAATGGTGAAAGAATTTTTGAAATCGGCAAAATAGTTTTTGAGTTTATTCATTACAAATATCCACACAAAAATACAAGTCTTTCTTATATTTATTATATTAGGTCCTTTATTATATTAGGTGTAGACTAGCTTTCGCCCGCTGCTTTGTACGCGTGGATTTCAAAAGAAGGAAAATCAAATAAATAGATACATACTCTTTATTGTTTCCTCCATAAGATTACAATAGTAAACTTATTATAGATATAAACAATTACAAGAAATATAATAATCATAGGCCACTTCTGGATGGTGTATCAAGATAGAACGTGCACCAGTTTTTAAGTTAGTCCGCGAAGACAACTGTCAAAACTGCATCCAATATGGTTCAGTAGTTTTTGCGTGATAACAAAATGAACGTACAGATAGACAGACAGACAAAATTTTCAAAAAATATTGGTTATGCATATATTGGTCTAGTTAAGACCCTTCGTATTATTTATTCTCAAATATCTTCGAGGAACGGGCAGCAGCGTCCCTCTTAAAATATCTCTAAAAGCCTAAACGCAGTTTCCAATCTGCCTACTAAAAATGGCAATTACTGGCCAAACCCTCCCATTGGGGGGAGGTCTATGTTCAACAGCGGACGGTACCAGTCAATATCATCACCTTCCATGTGCCAACATTATCTAGTTACAATTTTATTACATTAATATCCGCTGCTGATTTTCATCACCGTACAACCCGCCACAAACTAAAGTTCCATCTCAACCATCCGCATAAGTGGCGGTCCTCCACCATGCGTTTTTCAAAACACTTTCTTCCACGCACAACCACTCTTTGGAATCAACTTCCAGCAGCAGTATTTCCGAACCGACACGACAACATAACCTTCAAGAAAAGAGTATATTCCTTTTTAAAAGGCCGGCAGCACACTGCAATGCCTCTAGTGTCGTGAGTGTGTGATCATGGGCGGCGGTAGTCACTTACCATCAGGTGAGCCGCGTGCTCGTTTGCCTGAATTTATATTAATAATAATTTTTATTTTGGACTTTTTGGTTTATTAATAGTTATTAGTAAGATATATTTATATTTATAAAAAAAAAAAAAGATATGACTGCTAAGTTCTGATAAAGATTAATAATATAATTTTTAAATATGATTCTTTTTTACAACATTGTAAGCACTGTCTGTTTATAAAAAATACGATGAACGATACACTTTGACCCCTGTACTGTTGACGTGTTTGCCAATTTTGCCGGAATTATTGCTAAACTAGTATTCACTCGTGACTGTCCGCGTGACCGGCTCGTGTTAACTGACAGCGCCGATCTTGTTTGTTTGTTTGTTGTTGATCTACCTAATGGGAATTGGAGGGGGGGGGGGAAGGGATGTAGACTAGTAGGTCGTAGTGAATAATGTAGACTAGTAGGTATTATACCACATTGTTACCACAGGCTGAGAATCCCATTGCTAGCAATATACCCAACCAGGTCGACCTCCTCGCGGTTCTCCCTGGAAACTATCATGATTCATTCCTGATGAATTCATCATGATGTAACTCACTGGCCTGTTTTCATTCTCGTCTATCACCCTTCACTGGTGCTCCGCCAGCGCATCCCGATAGCGCAGGCGGGTTACCATTCCATTCTCATCAAAAAAAAAAAACGGTATACGCTGGCAGGCACCAGTGGGGCTGATAGATAACAATGTGGTGTAATACCGTATCCCGTTAGCGCAGGCGGGGTTACCATACCATTTTCACCCATTAAAAAAGAGTTCGGGCTGCTCAAATGATGTTATCTACATTGAAACTGCATCATGTATGGATTGGCAACGTGTTAACAGGCACGCCGCGATGTTTACCAAACAGCCGACGGTGTAGTGCCGTAACGTAATCTCGTAGTATAAACTCGTTTATCAGAATTTAATTCTGTACAAGGTAGCCTTGGATTTTTATGAGAGAGTCTGCTCTCGTAGTTTTTGCACGCAAATATTTATATCTCCTATTCTCGTAGGTATTCCGGAACTCCTTTAGACTTTACAGGAAGAGTGAATGCTTTCCGAATGTGGGGAGTACGGATTGTCAGTAAAATGTACAGTGCTATTAAATGAACCCTTTTTTTTTAATGGATGATAATCAAATGGTCACCTCACCTGCGCTATCGGTATACACTGGCGGGGCACCAGTGAGGGATTATAGGCAAGCATGAAGTTAGGTCAGTTAGCCCATCGCGACGAATTTGATGATAATTAATCACGTTGGTTTCCAGAGGGAACAGTGTGGAGACTTATCAGGTCGCCCTCCATGTGGTTCCCCCTGGAAACCATCGTGAACAATTCTTGTTGAATTCGTCACGATGAGCTAACTAAGCTGTTTCATCCTCACCTATCATCCTTCATTGGTGCCCCGCCGGTGTATACCGATAGCGCGGTATGGGGTTACCATTCTATTAACACCCATTAAAAAATACCTCCACGCGGAGCACACCTGGAAACCGAAGGATTTGCCGAAATTCCCGCGGAAGTAAACACTTCTTGAATGAGGGGAAAAGGGATTATTAGTAATGGGGTCAAAGGGGGAGCAATTGGCTCATTAAATCGACCTCGACCGACTCCAAAAAGAATGTAGTTTTTAAATCGTTTGTATTTTTTTATGTTTGTGTTACCTCATAACTTCGTCAGTTGAAGACAGATTCAAAAAATAATTTCTTTATCTCAAAGGAAATACAGTACAATACAAATTGGTCCCAGAGAATTTTCATGTGTAGTTTTTATATAAATAGATTTGTCACAATTTTTTTTTTTTGTGGAACACGATCTTAATTATTTATTCTCAATGGGTCAGTTAGATTCCGTTACTAACAATCCCCCTCTCCCCGAGAGGCCTATGTCCAACAGTGGACAGTTAACGGCTGAAATGATGATGATTATAAAGAAGTAAGGATTGAAATCTGGGGGTCTACCATAAAATGAAATTCCGAATTTTCAGGGCTCAATCTCGTGTTTTTGTTCGTACCGAAATCGACCCTGTAAATGGAGCTTAACATTTCGTTCATCATAAATCTTATCCTAATAGTTCAGCGGAACGATATTTTAGCATTTTTAATATTTTTAAACGGTATGTATCATGTAATTTTAGCATTAAATTTTTGTTTCGTTCGGATCCGAAATTTCGGAAAACATTTCATGGTAGGCCCTCTAGACAAGTGGCAAGGGAATTCATCGATGGAATCCACATCGCTAGCCAGTCCGTGAGATAGAACGAGATAGCAACGCCGGATGTCTCATTCCAACTCACGTACTCGCTAACGATGTCGATTCCATCGACGAATTCTCTTGCCACTTGTCTAGAGGGCCTGTTGTTCTTCACGGCGCGAAGGATGTGTCGTTATTTAGGAGTCGTGTCTAATTAACAAATAGTGCTTGCACAAAGCAATGACTAATTCATGGAGATATGAATTCTTATTCACCGCCCGAGACATAGCATACGACTTGTAAGCGTGTAACAAGTGGGCACTTTAGTATGTATAAAGGGTGACCTCTGAACTGAACTGTATATTGGATAATGGGGCAACAATTGTGTATCTGATTTGTATATACTACCGTTTTGTGTTATATGCGATTTTTAACCGACTTCGAAAGAGGAAGGTTCTATGTTTGATTGTATGTATTTTTGTGTGTATGTCCTCCGATTTATCCCTCAATTGTGGATTGATATTAAAGATTTTTTTATTCGAAAGTGGATACTTCCATGTGGTTGGTCCCATTATAACCAAATCAGGATTTGATGATGTAATCTCATTTAAATCGAGGGCTACCCTCAAATGTTATGGGCGTTTAATATATTGTTTAATTTATTATAAAGTTATCTAAATATTTTCTATAGATACTGTTTATCTTTCCTTCCAAAAGATTACAGTACTGAACTTAGTAGAAATACAAGAAAAAAGTTACAAGGCGAACTTCGCTCAAGAAAACAATGGACGGCTTTATTGCTAAAAGTGATCCTTTCCACTTAATTTTGGGTAAAGACAGTTCAACGCTCCCGTTGCTAGCAATATACTCTGTCAGGTCGACCTCCACGCGGTCGCCCCTCGAAACCGTCGCGGTTAATTCCCGATGAATTCCTCACGATGGGCTAACTGACTCATCATCCTCATCTACCATCACCTTTCACTATTGCCCATCGTATTCCGTCAGCGCAGGCGACTTTATTATCATTTTCAGAAAAGGGTTCCATGTAGACTGAAGCGTGAATGAATGAATGAATGAATGAGTATACTTTATTTGCATTATACAATATAGGAACTTCAATCAATCAAGTCTTCTCTTAGCCCGCCAGATGGCGTGGGCGGGCAAGGTAGGTGCCTCGGAGCGTACCCCTTTGCCACGGCTTCAATTCCGAGGCAACTACCTCAAGGTCCCTTGGTTTTAAGTCGACATACATTGGCGGTCTGTGTATGTCGGCGTGGCATCTTATATAGGGAATAAGCAAGACAATTTACAAACAAAACGATACAATTGTATATGTACAGTGAAGCTTAAGTCTTCTCCGCCTATTGCAGAATCTCAGTGCGTCGCGGCGGCGCGCTCACAGCGCTGGGCTTCGTGTACTTCATGACGCTGTTCGAGCTGCTGAACGTGTTCGCGCTGTACACGGGCGCCGGCGCGCGCTTCCGCCACAAGTACCGGCTGAGCTGCGGCGACGTGCTCGACATCACCAACAAGTGAGCCCGCATACATATATACACAACGATTCTACAATGGGGGGAAGGGATTATTAGTAACGGGGATTAGATTAGCTTTTTGCCCACTGCTTCGTACGCGTGGACTAGTAGGTCAATTTTGAAATTTTACAATACCACTTTTGGACCCCTGAGGAAAAAATAAAATATATTTTTCCATTATTTTTTTTTTTTAATGGGTGATAATGGAATGGTAACCCCGCCCGCGCTATCGGTATATACTGGCGGGGCACCAATGAAGGATGATAGGTGAGGATGAAGCAGGTCGGTAAGTCCATTGTGACGAATTCAGCAAGACTTAATCATAATGGTTTCCAGGTAGAACCGCGTGGAGGTCGACCTGATAGGGTACACAATCCGCCATTTTTATACCCTATTAGATCGACCTCCACGTGTTCCCCTTGGAAACCATCGTGAACAATTCTTGTTGAATTCGTCACGATGGGCCAACTGACCTGCTTCATCCTCACTTATCATCCTTCACTGGTGCCCCGCCGGTGTATACCGATAGCGCGGGTGGGGTTACCATTACATTATCACCCACCATAAAAAAAATCCGCCATTTTTACAATAATCGGAATAGTATACAAATTGACATAGTAACTGAAATAAAGTTTATAACTGTAGTAACCTTCCATGAGACATTATCTAAATGATGGAGAGAAGCCTCAATAAAATGAATTATGTTTTAATAACATAGACAAACAGACTAATACATCATGCAGCTTCAATTATACTATTTAAATCCGATATAAACTCACATGGATTACCATTGATATGGTTACAAAAAACCTTTAGATAAAAATGTGATACCGCGAAACATAAAACATGTGATGGTGTGTGGTGAATCAGCATTACTCAATATGAATAGCATAGAATAGAATAGAAAACATTTATCGTTATAATTATTGTGTATAATAGCAAACAAGCTGACGGCCCACCTGATGGAAAGTGGTAACCGCCTATACACATGAGCAGTACCATGGACATAACGGAGTATACTGTTTCGCCCATGATACCTCCCCATGCGTTGCCATTCCTGAGGACTCGGGTGTTATTCCTCTGTACCCTGTAAATTCACGCCATATCGCACCCTCCAAACCGAAACACAGTTATGCAAACACAACTGTTTCACGGTAAAAACACGAATGGGACAGAGGTACCCGAGCAAACGACTTTTGTACAAAGTCTCCCTCTGGTAATAAATTCTATTATATATACAATAGAATTATTTACAGATACACTAGAATGTACCTACGCTAATAAAAACATATGTACCAAATAGATTTGTTTGCCAGTTGTCCTAAGAGACCGAATACGATTTATTAGTTAATAGATCAATAGATGATGCCAGTATCATCAGCAATACAATCGATTTCGTCATTCCCCTCGCGGTGACAAGGTCGAGTAGACATTTCACTGCAAATAATGTTATTTTGTTGCGTTCGTGTAGCGGACTCGGCTGTATGAGACATTACATAGTCATTTCACTTGATAATTGCTTCCTAAACTCATTTGTATAGATAAGGATTCAATTTAGCGCGTTTGTAGTTAAGTTTTATGTTAGTTTTAGTTTCAGATGGTACATAATTATTTTGACATGACTAGCATTATGGAATTGAATCAACAATATAAAATAATAATAATAAATAAAGCCCATATAATCACAAACAATTTTATGGTCGAGGAATGGGCAGCAGCGTCCCTGTTAAAACATCACCAAAATTTAACTGCGGTTGCTCATCCGCATGCCAAGCGTGGCATCTACTGGCAAACCCAAAATATAATAGGCCAAACTTATGCTCCTTGGAGGTTATGGAGGTGGTCTGTGTTCAACAGTGGACAGTTAGTGCCTGATATGATGATGTCCATAAACCACACCAATTTCCTGGTCCTTAACGTGAACGAATATCGTGACGAGGAGATATTTAAATATATATTATACTGAAACTGTGCCTTAAAGGCATTTAGATATGTCTAACAACTTCTGACAATGTAAAAACTATTAGCAAGCTAAATGTAACAGTCGGCAAAGTTGCATGTGCAGCTTTATCGACTCTTACTTACACTTCCATGTCTTCGCAATTTAAATAGTTAAGGATATAATCTTTAAAATGATGCTGTTTCTGTCCCGTACACTTTATCTATATATGTAAATAAAATTGGAATGTTTATTTGTAATATTGAAATAAAAGGCCGGCAGCACACCTGCAATGCCGTAGGTGTTGTTGGTGACCATGGGCGGCGGTAGTCACTTACCGTCAGGTGAGCCGCATGCTCGTTTGCCCCCTGTGTTGTAAAACAAACCGGTTTTTTACTACATGTATATGACTATACATACATATACGGTACATATACCAAAATCACATTTTTTACAATTTTTGTCTGTCTGTCTGTTTGTTCCGGCTAATCTCTGAAATGGCTGTACCGATTTTGACGGGACTTTTATTGGCAGGTAACTAATGTAATAAGGAGTAACTTAAGCTACGTTTATTTTAGAAAAATTCTTTTGTTTTAGAAAAATAATGTTGCAATGTCCAAGTACTGTCCAGTACCGCGCGCAATTAGGCAGAACGAAGTTTGCCGGATCAGTTAGTATAACATAAAACGATGTCCGCAGGCTAGTGTCGGCGGTGCAGGCGGCGCTGTCGTGCCTCACGGGCGCCGTGGTGTGCCTGTGGTCGTGCACGCGCGACTTCATGCGCTCCTCGCACTACATGTCCGAGGCGTACGCGTGGTTCGGCGCCGCCTACTTCTTCTACGACATATGGTCCATGTACATGGTCAGTTTGTTGCCGGACTCTTTTTTACTGTAACAAAAACAGAGTTATCTGCCCAAATTGAAACCGTTTATAAATGTTATTCGCTAGTACCTCTTTCGTTGTCAGTCACAAATTGGTCCTTCGAACCGGATGTTTGTCGTACAGATGGATAACTCCAGTTTAAGGGTTTACTATGGTCCCGAATATACATGCAAGTCAATCTGAGTTTCTTAATATTCTTTTTGCCACGAATGGTTGTATCTACCTATTTGTAAAGCAAACTTCCGGCTCTAAGGACCAATTTATAGTAGCTAAGTCCTAGTAGCTACTGATGGAGTAGCATTGTTTAGTCGATGTTGATTGTTAATCGTTTAAACCGATAATGTAAACTATGCGAAGCTAAATTGAAGCACAACCTGACTATATCTTTATATATATATATATATATATATATATATATATATATATATATATATATATATATATATATATATATATATATATATATATATATATATATATATATACTGCCTAATTAAAATAAAACGATATGAAATGTTATCAAAGTAATGCAAATATCTCTTCGAGTTCTAAAAATAAATGAAGTAAGTTATGTACTTATGTAAAAATAATCTTCTGGCTTCAGTTTTTTTTTGCCTAACTCATAAAAACCTGCCATTAATAGAAACTCATAAATAAATAAACCTACGCCGTTTCCAGGTGCACGTCCAAATGCACACAGGCGTAGACTACTTCAAGAGTAAACTCCAGCGGAAGCTGTCCAAGAACGGGGACGCGCAGCTGTCGTCCGGGGACGGTGCCGTCGCCAAGCGACAGACGAGGCCTTCCTTCCTGGCGTACTGCCGCCACGAGCCCGTCATACTGATGCACCACCTCTTCATCGGGGGCTTCGGGTTCCTAGTCATCGTTGTAAGTAGTTATTTAAAAGTTTTGCAGTTTATGACGAGATTTTTCTTTGTTATTGTACATAATCTATAAAATATATGATGTCACATGCCAGTACCTCCGCGGTGACCTTGGCGACTGCACCTTCGGCTTCGTATACCTGATGGAGCTCTCCACGCCGTTCGTGTCGCTCCGCGGAATCCTGTCGCGGCTGCGGCTGAAGGCGTCCCGGGCGTACCTGGTGAATGGTTTGCTGATGCTGGCCACGTTCTTCCTGTGCCGCGTTATCAGCCTGCCCTACGTCTGTCTCATGTACAGCAGGGTGCTGGGCCTATCGTACTTTGAGGTGAGATAACGTTCATTATTTTTGTATTCGTTCCTTTCAGCCGTTAACTGTCCACTGCTGGACATAAGCCTTCTCTAGAGGAGTTTTGCCAGTAGTTGCCAAGCTTGGCAGGCGGGTTGGCAACCGCAGTTAAGCTTTTGGTGATGTTTTAAGAAGGTCGCTGCTGCCCATCTTTTGACCTTAAGTTCCCGTAATCCTCAGGAATAAAACATGTGAGGGATATTATGGGCATTGCAATGTATTTTGCGATGTCCATAGTGCTGTACACGTCAATAGGCGATGGTGCCACTGTCCATCCGATGAGCCGTCAGCTTGTTTGCCATTCTGAGTACTCATCATAAAATTGTCTCGCCAGGCAATCAAGTCACTACCGACCGGGTGCAAGGTGTCGATCTGCATCCTGCTGCTGCCGCAGCTGTACTGGTTCTACCTGATGTCGGCGGGCGCGCTCAAGATGCTGGTTGGTGCTGGCGGCGGTGCGGCGGCGGCGGCGGCGGACGGCGCCGGCGACGAGCGGCGCAGCTGATGGCGGCGCCGCGCCCGCAACAGACGCCGGGCCGCGCGGCACTAGTCTGCAGGTACACTGCACCTCCACTCGTGTTTAGCAATAATACTTGAGTTGATGAACAATGTACCTACAAAAGTCGTTACTAGCGTCCTGCACACATAAATAACACCTCATCCATACATTATTCTGTGACGCCCATGGTACCTCTCATACGTGGTGTTCTTGAGGACCATGGTTTTATGTGTTCGTACCTCATAATTAGACTGCCATATCATCCGTCTCTTTATTTCTGTCTTTTACATGCTTAAAGTTATAGTAAAATATAGAGCTGTTTACTCACTGAATAATACAAATTATACATATATAAATGGCGTGAATTTACACGGTACAGAGGAATAACACCTGAGTCCTCAGGAATGACAACGCATGGGGGGTATCATGGGCGAAACAGTATACTCTGTTATGTCCATGGTACTGCTCATGTCTATAGGCGACGGTTACCACTTTCCATCAGGTGGGCCGTCAGCTTGTTTGCCATTCTAAGTCGTTTAAAAAAAAAATTATACCCACATACCTTTAACTGTCCACTGCTGAATATAAGCCTTCTCCTTGTGTGGTTTTGCCAGTAGTTGCCATGCTAGGCAGGCCTTACAGATGTTTAATGGGGGACGCTGCTTCTCATTCTTCAACCTCCCTTAGTCGCCTCTTACGACACCCACGGGAAAGGAAGGGGTGGCCCATTCTATGCCGGGACTATATATTATATTGCAAGGGGAAAATTGAAGATGGGAGCTCATTCCACAACCTATAGGTACGAGGTAGAAATGAACTTTGCATCAGGTGGGCCGTCAGCTTGTTTGCCATTCTAAGTTGCATAAATAATTAAATAAATTGTTTTTCTATGACAGGTACCGACTGACCAGGCGAGGTATGCAGTTACCTATCGTAGTATTTCCACTAGGATTTATTGTGGATAGTACACTATTCTAATTGGCTAATATAATTGTAACCAGCAGAATAAATAATGGTAGAATTGACACATCATCATCGTCATTCCAGCCATTATCCGTCCACTGCTGGACATAGGCCTCTCCCACAGACCCCTATAAGGAACGGTCTGAACCACCAGCATCCATTGACTCCCTGCAATTTGAAGTCGTCACTCCATCTAGTGGGATGGGGGGGGGGTCGTCCTAATTGAATAATCGAATTGACAGTTGCGTGGATTTAATTTTTTTTTAATGGATGATTATGGTATGGTAACCCTGCCTGCGCTAACGGTATACACCAGCGGGGCATCAGTGAAGGGTGATAGATGAGAATGAAAAGGCAGATCAGTTAGCCCATCGTGATGAATTGATCACGATGGTTTCCAGGGGGAACCGCGTGGAGACCTGACAGGGCTTGCAATGGGGCCAGTAGTCCCCATTACTAACAATCCCCGTCCCCCGTGGATTTAATTATCAATATGCTAGCGTGTTGATGCCGAGTCTTTTTATATACAAAATTACCCATGGCATTCCAACAATAGATGTCGCAATGGGAGCGTACATCTCGCTCACTGGTACGCGTGACGCGGCGTATCGTAAAATTATCAACTAACTTAAAAAAAAGATTCTCGATTCGGTTGTATTTTTTTTATGTTTGTCACCTCATAACTCCGTCAGTTGTAAACCGATTTGATTTTTTTTTCTCAAAGGATATACTTACCGATTGGTAACGAAATTTTATCAAAATCGGTTCAGTAATCTAGTTTTTAAATCAAAATAACTGGCTTTGTACACATTTGAAGTCGTTTCCTTTTTTGGGACAGAATCTTTATTTGTTAAATGTGAATAAACTGGCAACCCTCCCAAACCTATGCGCAGTCGAAAGGCAAATGTACCCTACATTTTGGGCGAAAATGACAGTAAAGAATGTATATGAGTGTCACTTCTAACCAGTATATTTATTCTAATGGAATAATCACACAGATCAATAACAACTAGATAGAGCGTTTCCCAGCAAACGCTTCGATAAAAACTTTTTTTTTTTAAATAGCCCGCTTTTATAATGGTATTAATATATAGTACAGTGAACGCTCTATATAAGCGACCTCTCTATAAGCAACATTCTTTGTATTTTATTTATTCTACTCAGCTTAGTTACTGGACGGTAGGGAAAAAAATAAAATTATAATGTAAAAATTTGACGTTCATAAGCGGCTAAAATGTCCTACATGAATAAATGATTTTTGAATTTTGAATTTTTTGAATTTAGTAAAAGAAATTAGTAAAAATATTTTCCTGACTGTAAAGTAGTTTTATACTCTTTTTTTCCCCTATAAGCAACTTTTTCCAATAAGATTTTGTTTAAAATTGGTTGAAATGAGTTACTTACATAGAGCTTTCACTGTATAATAATAATAATAACTTTATTTAAACAAAAATGCGGGTACAAAATTTACTTATCAGTGTTTACTACAGGCACGCAGGCCTGTTTCCTAGTAATCAGTAACTATTAATTTTAAAATTTGCCACGTTCTTTATTATATTTATTTATATCTTTACTATATCATCAATAATATACTATTAAGCTTCCATACACGCTAAATGATCGAATATTTGAACACACAGTATGTAGAAACGACGCATCAGTCATTAGTGGATTGGGCGATTTTTTGATACACGCTCCATCTAGATGCATTTGATCTCTTCTGAATATTCGAGTCACAGAGGGGGTGCAGTCAGCTCGACAGGGGCGGGGAGTTACCATACTATAAGGAGTAGTACTAGACGGACGAAAAAGTTAAGCCAGTGGGTTCGATTCTGATGAAACATATTCTAAACCTATCTCTTAACCCAATATTTTAATTTGATAGTTTGGAGAGATTAATTTTTTTGTGGACTGTCCTAAACTAATTTTGTAATCATTTTAATTTAAATCTATTATAAAATTAATTAATGATAAAAGAATGAATGAGTATATTTGCATTATACAATATAGGTAATAAGCAAGGCAATTAATAAATGTAACGATACAGTTGTATAAGTACAGTAAGGCGGTCTTATTGCTGAGAGCGATCTTTTCAAGATGACCTTAAGGTAGTGGATGGTCCTTAGTATTAAAGATTTCGATGTGATATCAAATTGAAATGTTAATGTTAACTTTAGGTTTAGAGAGATGGCGCCTCTGAATCGAGCCCGGTGCATGTATTGAATATTATAACTCCATTATGTGTTAATAACTAAATTTGTTAAAAAAAAACCATCTGTTTTGCATTTATAATATTCTAAGTAATATTTCAATGTAATAACTACCGGTTTAACTTATGTGTAATTAGATCGTAAAAGCTCGACTAGTTTCGGGATCACTTCGTGATCCTTAATCATGAGCGGCTGGGACTGCGCACCTCGTTCCGCTGATACTGTGAAATATAATGTGTGCTTACGAAAATTTTAACAATACATTTCTGAGCATTGTCTCATGTATCATTGTCTAAATCATGCAATTTAGAGGTTTCGCAACAGATGTCGTGATGGTAATATGCGTCAGAATAGAGTTAAACGGCCTCATCAAATACTTCTTCCATATCTACTTCCCTTCCCAGGGTTGCCAGATGCAAATTTTGATTTTTACGTAAACGCCTAATATTTTTTCTCCAAATAGATATGATATTCAGGATTTTACTCTAACATAAAATTTTTAACCTAAAATTTGGAGAAAAATACCGAATCTGGCAACACTGTTTCTTCCAGTATATATAGTATTGCATTTACTTTATATAAAACTTACTGTTATGTTGTTAGAATCAAGACGCAGCTGAAATTATGCACAAAGTCAACTTGCACATTTATACAGGTCATATTATTTATTAGTAATTAAATATTAGGGTAATATCTGGAAATATCTATATAGTTTAGTTACAATATCTGTACATATATCGGCCCAATAACAGATATATTAGGTATCGGTTATCGAATATATAATGTCGATATAAGAACTCGCTCGTAATGAATATAGATTAGTATGGATGATATCGCAATGAGTGGTTATTAATTTTTAGAAGAACTCGATATATAGATATCAGATATTACCTGTATCTATGTATTTGTAGTATTATTCTGGCCAGTTGCATTTACATGATCGACTCAAATGTTAATATTATGGTTACTCAATTGTAAACTGATTTTTATGTATTTTTAAATTAATTATTTTGAATGACTAAAGTGCATTTTCCAAAATCCAAATGTATGGAGTTTTTTTGTTTGTTATTCTATACAAATTAGAATGTCGAACAAGCTGACGGCCAGCCTGATGGAGAGTAACAGTCACCTAAAGACATGTGCAGCACCGTGAACTTCACAGAATGTACATGGCACACACATGTTGGCATGTGATTACACAATTTTGTTAATTTGCCTCTTTTTCTGCAAAATCTCCATCTATATGCCAAATGTTGTCATTGTATCGTTATTTTTTTATTAGAATCTCATTAAAAACGTTGTTATTTATTTGTAAACATTACTAACGGATGCACATTGGTCCTGTTAAAGGGAAATGTACCCTAATTTATTATACATTAGTTTTAATATCCCATTTTCAATTAGTATTGTCATTTTAGATTTATTTTTTTAAGTAGTTAGTCATTTGTTGCTACTTGTATAAAGTTATTATTGATGTACAGATTGTCCATGTTAACATGGCACGTGCCTCCAACATTTTACTTCAATGTGTGTGTACCATATACAGACGTGATGCTCTGTTTGTGTTCGTGAGGAGACGCCTTCAGTCGCGACCTTGGACCAGAGGAGGAGTATTATACTCCTTGGTCGAAGCCTTGTAAATGTTTTTACACACACATGTTTAATTCTTTGTATGTCGGAGTTACGTGTCGTGTTATCGAAGGCAATGTTCATTAGGAAATCTCACTTTGATATATTGATGTAACTCAAAATTGGTAAAAATTATTTATATTCTTATTGTTTCATTATTATTTATATAAAAGTAGGTTTCTCAATCTAGTAAAAAAAAAAAAGAAAAAAAAATTGGACAGTATGTTGTCTGAGATTTTTTTTCATAACTGGATTGTAAAATCACTCTGTTTTTTTTTTAAACGGTTAGTTCAATTTAGTTAAATAAAATGATTTTTGCCAATTTTAAATTATTACGCTTTTTCATCAACGTAGAATAAATAGTACATGCAAACTACCTTTACGCCAAGCTATCTCTTCCAGATGTTTTACTGTATTAACAAAGTATTAAAATAATGGTTTAAAACCTACATTTTTTTTTTTGTAACTAAGTATTCTAATATTGTTAACTTCCACTCGCTCGCATTTGCTCGTTTTGAACGCACTTGTTTTGTATTTATTGTAAGTAATACTATTATAGCTGTTTTATGTGATCATTCATAGTTTAAGGCCCCCATACACGTTCACTTTTGTTTCCATAATTAAAAACTTTATTGCCAGAACTAATTTGTGTATTCTAATAACTTATTCAAAATGAGTTTTAAAAAAAAATAATTAGTTGTAGAATATGACAATGTGTCCAATTCGTATGCTCTTTGCGGTTTTGGTACTTTTGTATGGACAGATGGTGTTCGTTCTTGTAATGGCCACTGACCTATTTATAGCTATTATATATTACTAGTTTAAGTAAACATTTGTGATTTTTATTATTTGTCGTGAGTGATAACGGAGATGAGATAGGCTGAGTTTTACATTCTATACAAATCTGTCTACATTCATAGAATTTTTTAACTCAACTCAGCTTTTTTTTCTATACGACTAGAACGGCAAACAAGCTGACGGTCCACCTGATGGAAAGTGGTAACCGTCGCCTATAGACATGAGCAGTACCGTGGACATAACAGAGTATACTGTTTCACCCATGATACTTACTTCCCATGAGTTGCCATTCCTGAGGACCCAGGTGATATTCCTATGTACCCAGTAAATTCACGCCATATCCCACCCTTCAAACTGAAACACAGCCATGCAAACACAACTGTTTCACACAGCTTTGATATTGGTATCGATACTGCGCCATCATTCTCTTGTCTAAAATTAAGAATTTAATAATTTCGTCAAAGTACTATTTTATCAATGGTGAATACATCGCTCAACCTTCGATTTGCCGTTACATAGTAATCATGGTGGAAACCCTGGAGGATCTGATGATGACCATTTTATTTTTATTTACATACTTTATTTTAAAGCGGCCATTTGACCGCTCATGGTAGGATTAGGCATATATAAAATGTCGGTAGGTTTAGTGTTTTAAATGCCAAAGAAATCTTTGTCGTGTCGATGTCATTGACTTTTGTCTCTAAAACAAAATGTATCTCCTCCAAAAAATATCATATTTTAATAATTTTTCTATAGAGAACTAAACAGCAACTGATGTCACGAGCGCTATGGCACTCGTCGGCACTCGAACTATTAAAATATCAAATTAAATGGCGTGTTATGGCGTGAATTTATTGGGTACAGAGGAATAACACCTGAGTCCTCAGGAATGGCAACGCATGGGGGGTATCATGGGCGAAACAGTATAATCTGTTATGTGCATGGTACTGCTCATGTCTATAGGCGACGGTTACCACTTTCCATCAGGTGGGTCGTCAGCTTGTTTGCCATTGTAAGTTGTATAAAAAAAAAATTCTATTTTAGAGCTAGAATTAAAGAATTGTAACGCAAAATCGACTTTATTATCTCCATAATAAGATTGTTTTAAACTGATCTTCCAGACTATACGATAACTTCCATGAGCCATTCAAAAGTAAAAAACGACGCCATGTTGTCCATATTTATTTTCAAATATTAATAATTGTCACAGATACTAATAAAAGTAAATATTAGTTATAACCGATAGATAACAAACAGGGTGTCATATGGCAGACAGCGTTGTACATTACATTTATAATACTACTATAAAACCGCATGTACAAGGTGAAACTAGTTTCACCATTTTGTTAAAGTTTTTTTTTTATACAACTTAGAATGACAAACAAGCTGACGGCCCACCTGATGGAAAGTGGTAACCGTCGCCTACAGACATGAGCAGTACCATGGACATAACAGAGTATACTGTTTTACTAATTAGGTGACAAGCTGAGTGAAGCAGTTGTGTTTGCATGGCTGTGTTTCGGTTTAAAGGGTGGGATATGGCGTGAATTTACAGGGTACAGAGGAATAACACCTGAGTCCTCAGGAATGGCAATGCATGGGGGGTGTTATTGGCGAAACAGTATACTCTGTTATGTCCACGGTACTGCTCATGTCTATAGGCGACGGTTACCACTTTCCATCAGGTGGGCCGTCAGCTTGTTTGCCATTCTAAGTTGTATAAAAAAAAATACTGGTCCAATTATAAATAGTTTCAGTAAACTGTTGCTCACACCACATTATATCGCGTAAAATTCGCGGAAAACTTTAAATAACACAATTTCCATACGTTTTGATTAATTGTAACTTAATTAAATTAATTACATCGTGAAACTAGTTTCACAGCATAAATACGGCTTTATATACCTTATTCCTTAAAACCTAAGAACGTTGTATGTTCAAAATCTACACATGTCTAGTTTTATGTACTAAATTCGAGGTGACACTTAGCGGCCGCACGGCGGATCAATGTACTTAGGCAACAATAAAAGCAGTTTCAATATTTAAAAGCAACTTGCGACATCTATCGATAGTTAAATGTAACTCTCATGTGAAAAAAAGTATATTATGAAATGTCTATAAATGTTTAAAGGCCTATTTATCATTATATCGGCCGTTAACTAACAATGCCGAATATAGATTTCCCGCATAAGGGAGGGGGGTTGTAGTTCCCACACTTGGGAAGATGGTTGGCAACAACAATTAGGCTTTGTTTATGTTTTAAAAAGGACGTTTCTGCCCATCGCTAGAAAATTAATTTACCCTAGTCGCATCTTATTTTTCCATGCGAAAGGAAGAAACGGCCTATCTTGAATGCTAAACTGCTGATCGACTTCCATACAGATCTTTTCGACCTTTGAGACTATTTACTAGGAACGGCAGACATGGCTTTGTTAAAGCTCCGCTTGCATCCTGTGGTGGGCATCTGACAGTTCTGAGGCGATGACTTTAAAGTAGTAGTGGGTAATATATAGCAATATTTATATATTTTATTTATAATATCTATATACTGGTCCAATAACGAATATGTTAAGTCTGACATCTAAAAAATAATATCGGATAAAAGACTTTAGATATCCGACCGATATGGGCGATATCGAATTGGGCGATCTGTTTTCCCCCGTCAGTATATAGATATTGAATCGGTATCCATAGTATCCATGCTTACTTTAAAAACGCCTTTTTTCATACAACTTAGAATGGCAAACAAGCTGACGGCCCACCTAATAGTAAGCGGTTACCGTCGCCTATAGACATGAGCAGTACCATGGACGTAACAGAGTATACTGTTTCACACATGATACCCCCCCCCCCCCATGTGTTGCTATTCTTGAGGACTCAGGTGTTATTTCTCATTTCTTTATGCATATTTTAAGGGAGCGACGTGTGGCCGCTAAGAGTTAAAATGTGTGTGCTGTTGAGGCCTAATGTAACATAGTTATTGTAATATTGAAGATTTGTTACCGTTATTTATCAATAAGTGACGTTGTGCACGTACAAAGTACGGTTACCATTGCTAGACTAAATTTGCGTGTAAAACTAGGGACGCTTGCTTAAACACTGAGTGGTTTTTTTTTAAAGAAATAACTGGTTGGTACAAATAAGATTTTGTGGTTTGATGTTAAGTCCGCCGTTTACACTTTCAAGATGTATTAATGTTAATTAAATAAATAATTATAGATAGATACTCTTTATTATTTCCTCCAAAAGATTACAATAGTAAACTTATTATAAATATAAATAATTACAAGAAATAATCACAGTGAGAAAACAATGGGCGACCTTATCGCTAAGAGCGATCTCTTCCAAGCAACCTTTGGATGGAGAGGAGTAAATATCGAGGAGGATACATCGTTGATTGAATTTATTTCGTGACAATTATTCATACTATATTTTTATTGTTAACCTATTTTTTTTTTCAACTTTTGTGTTCAAATTTACTTGTGACAACTGTATTGCCAATGTGTAAAAAAATATTTATCATCTGTACTGTGTAATAAAAGAGTTGTGGGTTTTTTCTTATTTTTTTTTTTTTTAGATAATTTATAGCTAAATGTTATATTGTTAGAGTTGATATTTTGGTTATTGGTAGACGCTGGTGTTGCCAGCAGCAAGCGTCCCTTAAAGTCAGTATGGAGGGTGTGATGTGTGTGGAGCGGCCCACCGGCCGTGCTGCAGTTCAGGGCTGCATGTTGTTGCACTTGTATTTTATAAATGTATAGAATATTGCCATGCGTTTTATTCATTTACCCTAAAATTATAAATATTTAAAATTAATTGACGACTTCACTGATTTCACCTTCGGATGGTTGAGTTCTTTTTTTTAATGGATGATAATGTAATGGTAACCCCGCCTGCGATAACGGTAGACACTGGTGTGCCACCAATGAGGGATGATAGGTGAGAATGAAAAGCTAGGTTCCTTAACACATTGTGACGACGTCAACGATAAATTAGTCACAATGATTTCCATATGGAACCGCTTGAAGGTCCCATTACTGACAATCTCTTCACTCTCCATGGTTGCAGGTTTTTTTAATGGATGATACTGGAATGGTACCCCCGCCTGCGTTATCGGTATACGTTGACGGGGCACCAGTGAAGGATGATAAGTGAAGTGAAAGAGCAGTTCAGTTAATCCATCGTGATAAATACATCTAGTATTTATGGTAGCAAGTTTGAACCCTGTACAAAAAAAAATTGCTAATTCTATTTGAATATTTATTTTTTGGTGATGATAATGGCGGGGTGAAGTCAGAAACGGTCATACTTTTAAACTCGCATTTTATCAATTAATTTGTTAGTTATTTTGTTTTATAAATTTTTGACAAAAAAAGCTACCCGATGGAAATAAAACTGTGTAGGAAACTACGTTAGTCTTGAGCAATGGCAACGAAACGGGCGTGGAGCACATTGCAGTACCGTTGCTAGGGGTATACTCCCATAGTTCTGTAGATAGATAGATACTCTTTGTTTCCTCCATATGATTACAATAGTAAACTTATTATAGATACAAACAATTACAAAAAATAATCACCGTGAGAAAACAATGGACGAACTTATCGCTAAAAGTGATCTCTTGCAGGCAACCTTTGGATGGAGAGGAGTAATTATAAATAATTCTATAGTGCTTCTTCAGATGTGTTTGTAAAGGCTGGTACTCATTAATGGATTCATATCGTAAGACAGAAGAGAACTGCATCCAAAAGGTATTTACAGAGAAGCCGTAATGTCCATTCCTTAGTCACTCGAACACTACGCACAGTTAAGGGCCCAGTGCAACTAATGATGGACATAGGTATACCTACTATTTTTAATATAGTTTTTTTAATTCTTGTTATTAACACTATAGTATTTGGTATTAACCGGGAACCGCGTAGAGGTCCACCTGATAGGTTATATTGCTAGGGAGGAGAAAGGGATTTTTAGTAATACGGACAACCAGTGGCGTAACTATACCATTTGGGGCCTGTGGCAAATTCTTTTGATGGGGCCCTATCAATAAAAAAAAGATACTTTTCACGTAAAATAAAATACTCAGGTACAATGCAAAAAAAATTGAGCCGGGGCCCTGTTGGTTTGGGGGCCCGTGGCATTTTGCCAGCGCTGCCACCCTATTGTTACGCCACTGCGGACTACCAGTCCCATTCCAGGTGTATTCACGATGGGCTAACTAACCTGCATTTTCATTCTCATCTATCCCTTAAATGGTGCTTCGCCTGCGTATATTAATAGTACAGACGAGGTAACCATTTCATTATCATCCTTTAAAAAAAAATAATATAAAACTTCGCTATAGAGTTAGATTTTTGTGTTTAGAATTCCAGAAACTACAGTAGGTACCTACTACTGTAAGTATTGTAATTTGCTTTTTTAAATAATGATACCAACAGGGTCGGATTATTTATTTGGCTGTGTAGGCTACTGCTTAAGGGCCCAACATCGGCTAAGGGCCCAGCGCCCCGTAAAAATATTTCTTCTAGGAGATTTCTTTAAATGAAAATATTAAGCAAACGATCAATGCAAAACAAATTATTTGCTTTTGTATTCATCATCATCATATCAGCTTTTAACTGTCCACTGTTGAACATAAGCCTCCCCCTTGGGAGGTCTCGCCAGTAGTTGTCACGCTTGGCAGACGGATTAGTAACCGCAGTTAGACTTTGGAGATGTTTTAAGATAGACGCTGCGGCTCGTCCTTCGCCCTACCTTAGGCGACTTCTACAACACCCACGGGAAAGGAAAGGGTGTCCCATTCTATGCCGGGACCACACGGCGATGTTTTTATAATACATTGTCATATTTCAGTACATTTCTTAAAGGATGTCACGTTATTATATTTTGAATAATATTATAGCAGCTTTTAGTAAGCGATCCGTGCATTGCCTAAGGGCCCCGATTTGATTAATCCGTGTTGGTATTTAGCTTGAGATATTAGCTTATATTTCCGTAGTGGAAGGAAATAGGATAAACACAATATAAAAGTACGATAAAATTTAATAGAAGAGCAAATACAGAAAAGCAACGATTGTTTCTAACAGTGTGTCAACTAAATTCAAAAACATATCTTTTTAAATTACAACCAGCCAGTAGTTTATAGCTGTATAAAAATAAACCTATTTCTAAAAATCCGGCCCTGGGTTCGGATAACGACTACATCTTTGATCAGCGAAGGATCAGTTTATCAACGCATTGCCTATCGACACTCGAGAATACTCGAGATTACAATCATGGAACGTTCTAAAGGTATACGTTAGAATAAAAAATATGCATATAGTAATAACCCATTGTATTACATTTTCTATAATTTTAGAGCATATACCTCTTTAAAAGTCCTGCAGCACACCTGCAATTCTTCAAGTGTTGCACATACTGATGGGCGATAGTCACTTATTATCAGGTAAGCTGCATACTCGTTTGTTAGTGTTTTATCTATATATCGTATATTTAATTAACTTTTTAAATACCCTCCCCTATTTGATAGAAGGGATTGTTAGTAATGGGACTAGCGGTCCCATTGCTAGCAATGTACCATATCATGTCCTCGGCGCGATAACCCTGGGGGGAAAGAGATCCCATTGCTAGCAATATACCCAACCAAGTCGACCTCCTCGCGGTTTCCCCCTGGAAACTATCATGGTTAATTCCTGATGAATTCATCATGATGACCTGTTTTCATTCTCATCTATCACCCTTCACTGGTGCCCCGCCAGCGTATCCCGTTAGCGCAGGCGGGGTTACCATACCATTTTCATAATTATTACCCATACCCATTAAAAAAAAAAACTTCGTTTACCATCATACATGCTGTGTGCTCATTTGCTACCATTGTATTTGGAAAAAGAACCAGCAAGAAACTTATGGCTATAATGAAAACGGTAAATTACCTGCCAAGCAGCCAGTGCTAGGAGGAGGCCCGTTTTCCAGTACATCTTACAGCTCACTGTTTGCCGATCCGCAGCCACTACCACGATGGTACATCGCGTTATCTCGAAGCAATAGTCATTTTGATAACTGTGACGATGTTAAACTAGCGGCTGAATTAACGGGTAAATCACTGTAATTATTTCGATAATCTATATCTGATATAACGATAATTAATGATCGATTGTAGGCAACTAATGTAATTAATAGCGCGTGATTATTTTTCATGTTAATTGTGACGTCACAGCGACGTCATTTTTGTGATAAGTTAATTTTAGAATAATTTGTTACCTACTCGACTGTTCCAGAGTGACGTTCTTTTAATGCACTAATTATGTTCTTGTTTACACATAAGAGATAGTTTTTTAATGCGTGAAAATGGTGTGGTAATCATGCCTGTGCCACTATTAACAATACGTGGGTGGGGCACGAGTGAATGGTGATAAGTGAAGATGAAAACAGGGCAGTTAGCCTATCATGACCGATTAATTTGAGTTAACTGCCAGGGGGAACTACGTCGAACTGGTAGGGTATATTGCTAGTAATGGGGCTATTTGACCCCAATACTAACACAGTCATGCAAATACAGCTGCTTTACGGTAGAAACACGAATGGGCAGAGGTACCCATGCAAACGACTTTTGTAGTCTCCCTCATGCTCTGGTGTTATATAATTTTATGTCTTTTCAATAGATTTCAAAAAAAGGAGATTCTAAATTCGGTTGCATTTTTTTGTTTGTTAGTCCCACCTGATGGAAAGTGACGACGTCAACGATAAATTAGTCACAATGATTTCCATATGGAACCGCTTGAAGGTCCCATTACTGACAATCTCTTCACTCTCCATGGTTGCAGGTTTTTTAATGGATGATACTGGAATGGTACCCCCGCCTGCGTTATCGGTATACGTTGACGGGGCACCAGTGAAGGATGATAAGTGAAGTGAAAGAGCAGTTCAGTTAATCCATCGTGATAAATACATCTAGTATTTATGGTAGCAAGTTTGAACCCTGTACAAAAAAAAATTGCTAATTCTATTTGAATATTTATTTTTTGGTGATGATAATGGCGGGGTGAAGTGTCATACTTTTAAACTCGCATTTTATCAATTAATTTGTTAGTTATTTTGTTTTATAAATTTTTGACAAAAAAAGCTACCCGATGGAAATAAAACTGTGTAGGAAATCGTTAGTCTTGAGCAATGGCAACGAAACGGGCGTGGAGCCATTGCAGTACCGTTTATCCCATAGTTCTGTAGATAGATAGATACTCTTTGTTTCCTCCATATGATTACAATAGTAAACTTATTATAGATACAAACAATTACAAAAAATAATCACCGTGAGAAAACAATGGACGAACTTATCGCTAAAAGTGATCTCTTGCAGGCAACCTTTGGATGGAGAGGAGTAATTATAAATAATTCTATAGTGCTTCTTCAGATGTGTTTGTAAAGGCTGGTACTCATTAATGGATTCATATCGTAAGACAGAAGAGAACTGCATCCAAAAGGTATTTCGGAGTAATGTCCATTCCTTAGCTGAACACTATGCACAGTTAAGGGCCCAGTGCAACTAATGATGGACATAGGTATACCTACTATTTTTAATATAGTTTTTTTAATTCTTGTTATTAACACTATAGTATTTTATTAACCGGGAACCGCGTAGAGGTCCACCTGATAGGTTATATTGCTAGGGAGGAGAAAGGGATTTTTAGTAATACGGACAACCAGTGGCGTAACTATACCATTTGGGGCCTGTGGCAAATTCTTTTGATGGGGCCCTATCAATAAAAAAAAGATACTTTTCACGTAAAATAAAATACTCAGGTACAATGCAAAAAAAATTGAGCCGGGGCCCTGTTGGTTTGGGGGCCCGTGGCATTTTGCCAGCGCTGCCACCCTATTGTTACGCCACTGCGGACTACCAGTCCCATTCCAGGTGTATTCACGATAACTAACCTGCATTTTCATTCTCATCTATCCCTTAAATGGTGCTTCGCCTGCGTATATTAATAGTACAGACGAGGTAACCATTTCATTATCATCCTTTAAAAAAAAATAATATAAAACTTCGCTATAGTGTTAGATTTTTGTATTTAGAATTCCAGAAACTACAGTAGGTACCTACTACTGTAAGTATTGTAATTTGCTTTTTTAAATAATGATACCAACAGGGTCGGATTATTTATTTGGCTGTGTAGGCTACTGCTTAGGGCCCAACATCGGCTAATAAAAATATAAATGAAAATATTAAGCAAACGATCAATGCAAAACAAATTATTTGCTTTTGTATTCATCATCATCATATCAGCTTTTAACTGTCCACTGTTGAACATAAGCCTCCCCCTTGGGAGGTCTCGCCAGTAGTTGTCACGCTTGGCAGACGGATTAGTAACCGCAGTTAGACTTTGGAGATGTTTTAATGTGTGGCTCGTCCTTCGCCCTACCTTAGGCGACTTCTACAACACCCATGGGAAAGGAAAGGGTGTCCCATTCTATGCCGGGACCACACGGCGATGTTTTTATAATACATTGTCATATTTCAGTACATTTCTTAAAGGATGTCACGTTATTATATTTTGAATAATATTATAGCAGCTTTTAGTAAGCGATCCGTGCATTGCCTAAGGGCCCCGATTTGATTAATCCGTGTTGGTATTTAGCTTGAGATATTAGCTTATATTTCCGTAGTGGAAGGAAATAGGATAAACACAATATAAAAGTACGATAAAATTTAATAGAAAAGCAAATACAGAAAAGCAACGATTGTTTCTAACAGTGTGTCAACTAAATTTAAAAACATATCTTTTTAAATTACAACCGGCCAGTAGTTTATAGCTGTATGAAAATAAACCTATTTCTAACAATCCGGCCCTGGGTTCGGATAACGACTACATCTTTGATCAGCGAAGGATCAGTTTATCAACGCATTGCCTATCGACACTCGAGAATACTCGAGATTACAATCATGGAACGTTCTAAAGGTATACGTTAGAATAAAAAATATGTATGCATACAGTAATAACCCAATTGTATTACATTTGCTATAATTTTAGAGCATATACCTCTTTAAAAGTCCTGCAGCACACCTGCAATTCTTCAAGTGTTGCACATACTGATGGGCGATAGTCACTTATTATCAGGTAAGCTGCATACTCGTTTGTTAGTGTTTTATTTATATATCGTATATTTAATTAACTTTTTAAATACCCTCCCCTATTTGATAGAAGGGATTGTTAGTAATGAGACTAGCGGTCCCATTGCTAGCAATGTACCATATCATGTCCTCGGCGCGATAACCCTGGGGGGAAAGAGATCCCATTGCTAGCAATATACCCAACCAGTTTACCAGAGGGAGACTTTGTACAAAAGTCGAGATGTCCCATTCGTGTTTCAACCGTGAAGCAGTTGTGTTTGCATGGCTGTGTTTCATATGGCGTGAATTTACTGGGTACAGAGGAATAACACCTGAGTCCTCAGGAATGGCAACAAATAATGGGCGAAACAGTTACATTTGTTATGTCCATGGTTTTTCATGTCTATAGGCGAATGTTAAATCCATCAGGTCAGCTTGTTTGCCATTCTAAGTTCTATAAAAAAAAAAAAAAAAAAAAAAAAAAAAAAAAAAAAAAAAAAAAAAAAAATATACCCAACCAAGTCGACCTCCTCGCGGTTCCACCTGGAAACTATCATGGTTAATTCCTGATGAACTCATCATGATGGTCTAACTGGCCTGTTTTCATTCTCATCTATCACCTTTCACTGGTGCTCCGCCAGCGTATCCCGTTAGCGCAGGCGGGGTTATCGAACCATTTTCACCCATCAAAAAAAAACCCTGGAACTCATCACTGTTTACTATTTATGTATTCATCACAATGGGCCAAATGGCCCGTTTTCATTCTCACCTATTATTCGTCACTGGTGCCCCGCCAGCGTATACCGATAGCGCGGGCGGGGTTACCACTCCATTATCATCAATTAATAAAAAAAAAACAAGTATGTTCACATTACAATTAATAGAAATATTGTTTCCAGAGAGACCCATAATATCACTATGTATACAACTACTATGAAGCTCCTAAAACTATGATAATATTATGAATTTGAAAAATTGTAAAATTGCTTTACCGAAAATCGAACCAGGACCTCATTTATCGTAATGAAAAAGTATCAATCTGCCACCCCGTTGTTGTTAGTTTTTTTTTAGTACGTTTGTTCCCTTGTGGAACAGGCTAAGGTCGGAGACCATGCTGCCAATTTGTTGTTAGTTAACGAAGCCGAGTTTTTTTTTATACCACGAAGATGGCAATCAAGCATACAGCCCAAAGGATAGAAGGATAGCGTAAAGGACTAGTATAGTATTATTTTATCTGTGCCGAATATATAATATATATATATATATATATATATATATATATATATATATATATATATATATATATATATATATCACCAATAATCACTTTGATCAGACATTTATATTAATCTATTATTTTAATTGACAGGAAATACCTGATCTGTGATTTTTTTTTAATAAATAAGCTAGATTGTCCGCGTAGCTAATAAATATTCGACGAACGACGACAAACTTTAGAATATTGTTTTTAATTGTAGTTTTTTTCGTTTCTTTTTTTTTTAATGTCACTGTGGTGGCAAACAAGCATACGTCCCACTATTTTATACGAGTAAGATGCAAAACAATGTTTTTCAAATATTACCTAATGTTTAAATGAAATAATAAATTGCATTTAATTTTATACTCAAATGTTAAATGTATCAATAGCTCTAATTATTTTAATTCTTTTAAAAAATAATAAAAATATAATTTAAAAGAAGTCTTCACGCGTATAAACAATGCAATTAAAAAACCAAAATTGCGTCTGATATAGGCATGAATTTTAAATCTATGAATAAACTCATGGAAACAAGATGTCCTCAAGATTAGCGATTAATCAAAAATATATATATATATATATATATATATATATATATATATATATATATATATATATATATATATATATATATATATATATATATATATATATATATATATATATATATATATAATCTTTTTAATGAATGAATGAAGTAGTGAGTGGGCAGTAGCAGTGCTAAACATAAATTAAAATAAATAAAAGATTATGTTCCATAAAAAAATCATTTTAATTGTTACATAACCAGCCATTTTACATAACCACCAAATTTCTATAGGATTAATCTGTAGATATATCCTTTCATATATATAAAAAAGATCTAATCGGTTTGCAACAAACTGACTAACAAACAAAAAAATGCAACCGAATTTAGAATCTCCTTTTTTTGAAATCTATTGAAAAGACATAAAATTATATAAACACCAGAGCAGGAAACCGCCAGAGGGAGACTTTGTACAAAAGTCGTTTGCATGGGTACCTCTGCCCATTTGTGTTTCAACCGTAAAGCAGCTGTATTTGCATGACTGTGTTAGTATTGGGGTCAAATAGCCCCATTACTAGCAATATACCCTACCAGTTCGACCTCTACGTAGTTCCCCCTGGAAACTATCGCAGTTAACTCCAAATTAATCGGTCATGATAGGCTAACTGCCCTGTTTTCATCTTCACTTATCACCATTCACTCGTGCCCCACCCACGTATTGTTAACAGTGGCACAGGCACGATTACCACACCATTTTCACGCATTAAAAAACTATCTCTTATGTGTAAACAAGAACAAAATTAGTGCATTAAAAGAACGTCACTCTGGAACAGTCGAGTAGGTAACAAATTATTCTAAAATTAACTTATCACAAAAATGACGTCGCTGTGACGTCACAATTAACATGAAAAATAATCAGCCGCTATTAATTACATTAGTTGCCTACAATCGATCATTAATTATCGTTATATCAGATATAGATTATCGAAATAATTACAGTGATTTACCCGTTAATTCAGCCGCTACTGTTTAACATCGTCACAGTTATCAAAATGACTATTGCTTCGAGATAACGCGATGTACCATCGTGGTAGTGGCTGCGGATCGGCAAACAGTGAGCTGTAAGATGTACTGGAAAACGGGCCTCGTCATAGTACTGGCTGCTTGGCAGGTAATTTACCGTTTTCATTATAGCCGTAAGTTTCTTGCTGGTTCTTTTTCCAAATACAATGGTAGCAAATGAGCACACAGCATATATGATGGTAAACGAAGTTTTTTTTTTTAATGGGTATGGGTAATAATTATGAAAATGGTATGGTAACCCCGCCTGCGCTAACGGGATACGCTGGCGGAGCACCAGTGAAGGGTGATAGGTGAGAATGAAAACAGGTCAGTTAGTCCATCATGATGAATTCATCAGGAATTAACCATGATAGTTTCCAGGGGGAACCGCGAGGAGGTCGACCTGGTTGGGTATATTGCTAGCAATGGGATTCTTAGTCTCCATTCCTAACAATCCCTTTCCTCCTAGGTAAACGGAGTTACCGTAGCTTATGGGCGCTTGTAACAGCAGAGATGCTACGTGTGTTTTGTCTACCATTAAGGAACTTATCTCTCTCGCTCTTTTTGAAAAACCCCATGTAGTCTCTAGGGAAAACCTTTTTAAGAGAAAACAACAATCCAAAATTAGCAGTAAAATCATAAAAGATGACAATTTAAATGAGCTTTTTAATTTTTATATTTGAATAAAATTATTTTGTAATATTAATTATTCTACCAAAATTATTTCGTAGTTTTTTTTTTTATACAACTTAGAATGGCAAACAAGCTGACGGCCCACCTGATGCAAAGTGGTAACCGTCGCCTATAGACATGAGCAGTACCATGAACATAACAGAGTATACTGTTTCGCCCATGATACCCCCCATGCGTTGCCATTCCTGAGGACTCAGGTGTTATTCCTCTGTACCCTGTAAATTCACGCCATATCCCACCCTTCAAACCGAAACACAACCATGCAAACACAACTGCTTCACGGTTGAAACACGAATGGGACAGAGGTACCCAAGCAATCGACTTTTGTACAAAGTCTCTCTCTGGTATTTAATGTTATTTTCCAGAGAGGCTCGGGTTCTTTAAAAACGGTGCATATCTAGGTAGGTAGGTATAGGTAGACATGTCATTGTAAAGTTTTGCTTGCATTCTGAGGGGTTTTTTTTATGGATGATAATGAAATGGTAACCCGGTCCGTGCTATTTATCATCCCTTACTGGTGCCCCGCAAGTGTATATCGATATATACACTAACGGGGCACCAGTGAGGGATGATAGATGAGAATGAAGGCAGGTCAGTTGGCCCATCGTGACAAATTTAAAAATAATTATTCATGATGGTTTCCAAGGGGAACCGTGTGGAGGTCCATCTGATAAGGTATATTGCTAGTAATGGAGCTGGTAAATCCCCCATACTAACAATCCTTTACCCCCTAACTCGCTGGAGTGGGCACCAGACGATTGTGGGGCGGGCACAGCCCACCTAGACCCTTTAAATAAACCTATGATGGAAACCCCGGAGTTGTGTGGAGGGAGTGATTGTCCAACAGCCTCATTGCTAGCAATAAACCCTATCAGATCGACCTCTACGCGGTTTCCTATGGAAACCATCATGGTTAACTCTTGTCAAATTTATCAGGCTGGTCTGCATTCATCATCACCATTCCCCGTTCATTTTTCACTCATTTCCCACCGCTGTCAGTATATACATTGACAGCAAAAGCGGGGTGGGGTCTCATCCACAAAATTACATAATTGAGAGCTAGAATTGGTTTGGTACATAACAGTTGTTATTTTATTCACGAAATCATTTTTATACACTTGTCTTTTATTTTAAGTATTTATTTATCCGTATCCAATATAACAACGCGTTTATGGTGTTGATGGGATTGTCACCATTCTGTAGCGCGTCAGGGATGTTAGCAGAGCATCGAGTACATTGTTTTTATGCCACGATGCGGAGAAGGTGCGCATCCCTGGTGCGCAGAGTACGTGCCAGCGCCAACAGCATCCTGAGTATGACAGCAAGCAGGCTGCACTGTGTGTACGTTAATCACTGCTTGACAATTTCCAATGGAATTGTACAGCGGTGATTATTTGTATACTATTTTATATTTTATGTGTGTGTATGTGTGTATGAATGCAAATGTGTATGTGTGTGTGTGTCAATTTACTAATATTAATTTTAAGATCATTGTTACTAATAAATATAAATGGATCAAAAAGGCCGAAATATTATTTTTTTTTATTTCGTACAGGTGCAAGCTGAAACACTAATACCTGCCGACTACGTTGAAAATGTTTTCGCCAAATGTAAGTAGCTGCATCACACAAGAGTTCATTGTATGGAATGGAATACAGAACTTGAACCGTAGTCAAAGGATCGAATCCTAGTTCAACCTTGTTACGACCCCCATATGGTGTGAAGTCTACTTTTTATTGCTAATAATGGGGACCTTAATTCCCATTGTTAGCAATATACCCTGACAGCAACCTGTCAGGATCAACCTTTACGCAGTTCCCCCTAGAGACCATTGTGGTAAATTCCAAATTAATGCACGTTTTCACTTTTATAATATTAGTAACCATTAGGTACTAACTATTGTACCATTAGCCTGAATTATATGACGTATGGCCGTATTGTCCCGGCATAGAATAGACCACCCCTTCCTATCCCATGGATGTCGTAAGAGGCGACTAAGTGAGGGCGAGGGATGAGCAGCAGCATCCCTCTTAAAACATCTCTAAAGCCTGACTGCAATTGCCAATCCGCCTGCCAAGTGTGGCAATCACTGGCAAAACCCCCCAAGGAGGAGGCTTATGTTCAGCAGTGGACAGCTGAAGGCTGATATGATGATGATGATGTTAAGACGTATAGGTGACGTGACGTTTATCGAGTTTGCTACTAGGTACCTCCTATTCCAGCATCCCAACGGATAGTGTCCGGTTGGGAGGCGCTGCCGGGCCAGCTGCCTTATCACGTGGCGCTGCGCCAGGTGAACGCAGCCGGCGGCGTTAGCGCATGCGGCGGCTCGCTCGTGCACCGCTCGTGGATCATCTCGGCTGCACACTGCACTGCACTGTACGTACCATAGATTCGCTTCCTTCCGTAGGTTCGCTATTATTTCCTATCATAGGAGTTAGCAACGAACTTTATAAAAAAATGTATTTTCTTTAGCTGATTTTTTAATTTTCTGGGGATGAAGAGCGATGACACATACTATTCACACTGCGTTCCACCGATCCTGTGCACGGATCTTCCATTATTTCACATTACATTTCTCCCACAGTCAAGTGACGCTGGTAGTCCGCGCCGGCGTCGTGGCCCTGAGCACTCCGCAGTACATTTACGAGACGACGGAATGGTACAACCATCCCACGTTCAACGACCAGAACCCAATGCTGGTGCAGCCGAATGATATCGCCCTGATCAAACTGCAGAGACCTGTTACCTACTCCAGTAAGAACATATTTGTTAGCGCCACATTTTTTTTTATTTTTACAATAGCACGACGTGGAATCACGTTAACTTGAGCGAAAACAGTGGCAATATGTTCCATAAATGCCGACCGAACAACCGAAAAGCGAATTTACAATTCGTAAGGGTTTTTTTAATAAGTGAAAATGGAATTGTAACCCCGTTTGCGGTATTGGTCTACCCTGGCCAGACGTCAGTGAGAGATGTTCGGTGAGGATGAAAGCAGGGTCTGTTAACTCATTGTACCGAATTCCATAATCATGATGTTTTCCAGAAGGCACCGTGTGGAGTTCGACCTAATAGCCATGGACCTGTTAAACCCTATTGCTAATAATCCTTTCTCCCCACTTTCAACTGTTTAACGCACTATGCCAACTCCATTGCTGTTTCATGCTGTTTGAAGGATCTGAGGTTATATGATGAAGGGTATCACGAGAAAAAGTATTCCACAATGTAACGACAATTAAGAAATACTTTGAAATGACTCCCAAAAAAAGAAAGGATCTAAAATCAAAATTCAAATATTTACAATGCAGATCCATTTAAGCCACTTTTTGCGTAGCAATATGCAAGACTTGATATACTTATGATATTTAGATATTATCTAGGATAAATACAGTTTTCTGCTTCATCAGGATTGTTGCAACCCATCCGAGTGCAGAGCAACTCCGAAGCGTTTAGAGACTATGGTGACGAGATCGTGGTGGCGAGCGGACACGGCCGATTGTGGACTAATGGTATTTGTATTAAAAGCATTATATTTATTTTAGTATTGTGCGTCTCCGGATTTTACCAACTTAATTAGGATAACAGTGTGCTTTTGGGCAATGTACAATATATGTTGTCTACTTACGTGCTGAATTTAATTCAAAATTAAAAGTTTAACCGTAGCTGAGTAATGATTATGTCTATTAAGGATGTCTTTATAGCACTTACGCTTATATAAATTTGTAGATAGTTATGAAGTCTAAATTCAGATAAAATTTTATATTCAATATGTAAATATGAAAATGGATAGATCAATTGGACCCTCTCCCCATCATTTTACATATAAACCATTTTACAATTATTAGATCAGGGGTGGCTGACTTGACTAGACCCAAGATCAACTATTTACTGACTATCTACGAAATTTTTTTATACAACTTAGAATGGCAAACAAGCTGACGGCCCACCTGATGTAAAGTGGTAACCGTCGCCTATAGGCATGAGCAGTAGCATGGACATAACAGAGTTTCGCCCATGATACCCACCATGCGTTGCCATTCCTGAGAACTCAGGTGTTATTCCTCTGTACCCAGTAAATTCACGCCATATCCCACCCTTCAAACCGAAACACAGCCATGCAAACACAACTGTTTCACGGTTGAAACACGAATACATATTTCTTGAAATCACAAATAAAAAAACATAGTACAGTGCACAATTATGTAGTATTGCGGTATTTTATATTTTATTAAGAGGGAAAACTAAAAATTATTCTTAATAACTACTTATTTATGTTAGTGTAAACATTGCGTCTGAGCATCTTCCACTAGATTAGCAAAATATTAGATATATTTTTGTCTTGTCACGATCAACTGAACTAAAAATCGCGATCAACTGGTTGGCCACTCCTGCTATAGCAGGAGATCATAATGTAATTTTGCAAATATATATTTTTTTTGTACTATTAAGATGGCAAACAAGCTGACAGCCTGGCTAATGATTAGCAAAAACTGGATGCTTGCATTATCGGGAGCTTATTTGTTAATTTCAAAATTCTAGGCGCCTCTCCCGAAGTATTGAACTGGGTATACCTGCGCGCCGTCACCAACGCTCGTTGTCTGCAGCTGTTCGGTAGCACAGTCATCAATGACAACTCCATCTGTGCTGGACCGTACAACGTCACCTCACAGTCTACTTGTCAGGTGAGAGAGCTAGCACCATAGTGCTGAACATGATACCACTCCTGAGATCAATATCTTAGGTGCCTTAGATAACATCTATTGCGACTGTAAGAAATCATCTAAGGTCAGCCTTGTCTGAAAGTAAGAGTTAAAGATCTTAACGACTAGATGCCGTTAGTCATGTGAAATAATACGTAACTTCTCAATTTCAAGATTGCTTTAGCTATCTTATTTTACCAAATCCATTCAAAACATATCTACATAAACTAATTTTAGTTCAATAGAGAGAACAGTAAAGTTAGTACAAGTAGGTATCATAACCTTATCTATCTTTGGCGTGAAAATGTTATAAGCCAGAAATAGTTCAGTTTTTTTTTTTTAATTTTCACGCATGCACGCACGCACACACGCACACACACACGCACACACACACGTACTCACTTTTTCACATAGTTTTCCTTATTTTTTTTTTAAATAAAGTGTACTAAATAGGTAATCGCACTCATAGTCCCCAAGATACAGGTCTGACCTAATTTGGGGACTGATGGTAATGCAGATATTTTCTCGTTGAATATCAATTGTAAAAATTGTAAATTGTACCTTATGCAACTGTATCTTTTTTTTTTTAATGTGATCTTAAAGGAATAGTAACACCGATTGCGCTGTCGGTATACGATGGCAGGGCACCAGTAAGTGATGAAATGATGACAACAGGTCAATTAACCCATCGTGAATTTAAAAAGAATTAATTACGATAGATTTCAGCAGAAACTGCGTGGAGGTCAACCTAATAGGGTATATTGGTAGCAATGGGGCAGTTAGACTCCATTCCAATCCCTTTCCTCCCAATACGTAAGATTGTGGTACTTGCTAAAAAAAACAAACTAGTAAGACCTTTTTTTTTTTTTAATATTTTAAGGGCTTTTACCTTCTTCAGGTATATCAGTCCTATTGTACCCTGAACTGATTTCTCCAACAAAACTTTATCTACCTTCCCTAGACGCGGAAAGAGAAGAATTAATGGGCATCAATAATTTACAGAGATGTTCAAAAATTTCTGGTTTAAGTTCAGCTAACATAGTTTGAATAAGACCAACATTCAATTTATTTAAGTTAAAGTGGCGCATGAATTCTTCTCTTTCCTTCGTGTTAATACGACACTCTAATAGAATATGAAACTAGTAAGACCTTTACTGCAACATCCTTATATGGTGAAACTCCTGTGTTTACGATGGTCGAATAAGATTAAATAATTCATAGTAATTGCTGCTAGGTCACAACGCCTTTGACTTTATTTAATTAGTTATTTTAACACAGGGAGACAGTGGTGGTCCATTAGTCCATGTGTCCAGTGATGGAACGCCAGTTCTGGTTGGCATAGCATCCTTCGTGGCTGGCGGAACTCATGGCTGTCATTCCGGTATTCCCGCTGGTGAGTAACATACTTCCTGATAGCTCCGAACAGCCCTGGTCTGTTTGGAACTCCTTAAACTATTTCCAGACCCAAATAGCCATTGTCGTAATGGAGATACAGCAACGATGTACCCTGCAACTTAGGATATATGTATATATCTTGTCTTATGTTTATACCTCTTCATTTAATTGCAGGTTTCGTTCGTCCAGGCCCTTTCTTAGCATGGCTTGAAGAGGTTTCTGGAATAGACTTTGAGAACATTGAAGAAGATGGAGTTACTACACCAGAACCGGAAGTAACCAACCCTCCCACAACAACTCCTGAACCAGAAGTGACCAATCCTCCCACTACAACCCCGGAACCAGAAGTGACCAACCCTCCCACTACAACCCCGGAACCAGAAGTGACCAACCCTCCCACTACAACCCCTGAACCAGAAGTGACCAACACTCCCACTACAACCCCGGAACCAGAAGTGACCAACCCTCCCACTACAACCCCGGAACCAGAAGTGACCAACCCTCCCACTACAACCCCGGAACCAGAAGTGACCAACCCTCCCACTACAACCCCGGAACCAGAAGTGACCAACCCTCCCACTACAACCCCTGAACCAGAAGTGACCAACCCTCCCACTACAACCCCGGAACCAGAAGTGACTTATCCTCCCACCACCACCCCTGAACCAGAAGTGACCAACACTCCCATTACAACCCCTGAACCAGAAGAGACTAACCCTCCTACGACAACTCCCAACCCTCCCACCACAACCCCTGAACCTGAAGAATCCACCGAGGAACCGGAGACCGAAGAGGAAGATGAAAGCGAAGAAGATAGCTCGGAATCCGATGAGTGTGACCCTGAACTCTCTGAACTTCTTAAAAAATTGCAGGTTCAGGTCAAGGTCAATGTTAAGCTAAACAAATACGGAGTTAAACATAAGTATCATCATAATAAAACTAAAACTCATCATAAGTAATGTGATTCTTGTCATAATAAAGTCAATATCATAATCATTTATTTATACAGAAGTTTTATTCTATTTTACCTATATTTATTATGTTATTTTCTGTGTCAAGAAGCCCGGTTCGAGTGCTAAAGATTTATTAATATAAACTAGCTACGAAAATTAAAGTATTCAGAATGATTAAGGTGAGGAAGGGGTGGCGAAGAGCAACTATTGCTAACAATAATCCCTAACATCGACAACCATCCATCCTTGTCCTTGGAAAGTTTGTGGTGTTTTTGGTGAATTTTTGAAAATGGGCTAATTGACCTAACTTCAGGGGAGGGAGGTATTTCAATGCGAATTATCAGGACCATTGACCTTCACGTGGTCCCCCTGAAAACTGTCGCGCTGAATTTCATGTATGTTCATCACAATGGGCTAACTGACTTGCCTTTTCATTGTCTCCCTATCATCCCTCACTGATGCCTCGCTGAGTGTACCGTTAGCGCAGGTAGGGTTACCATTCCATTATCATCCATTAAAAGATCAAACTTTATGCTAGATGAGGCGTCTATCATCCTTGTGTAAATTGTTAATTTTTAACAAAAAATATTCTTCCAAAACAAAATTAATGGTTTCTTTATAAAAAAAATCAACTGTCAAATGTCAATCTCAAGACGTCAATTACTATCAACAATGACAACAATTTACGTCATTCATTCTCGAAAAGATACTTAGTACTTAGGTATGGACACTGTTTTTTAAGTTTTTATTTTTCCTTTATTTTGTAATAAATGTTTAGTTTTGAAATGAAATGGAGGGATCACACAATAAAGGTAATTTAATTACATCTAATACTTTAATTATTTAATTAGTTTAAGTACAAAAAAATATTATATTCATGTTTTTAGAGTTCTTGTTAGAGTTATTTGTGTGGGCGAAGCTAAAGCTTCCTTCGTTTGTGAATTATCTTTTGTTTGCCTCAGCCTCACCTTTTATACGACAAACTAGATGATTTCGCGGAATGATTGCGAAAGTTCTGTTTATGTGAAATGTCTATTAATCTGGTTTTTTTGATCATTTTATGGTATGAGTATTAAAATGTTTGTATGAAACAATTGTTATTGCACTTCCGCATTAGTTAGAAGTTATCCACAAGGCGATCAAACTAACTGGAGACTAGAGTTGAAGGATTTTACCTGTTACTTTAAAAATACCTATTCTATATGTTACTCAATATATTGTTATATCAGAACAGTTTTCCTTTCTTGTCAATACAATTCTACTGGTTCATTATTATTTATTATCACGGTTTAACATAATCTTTATATTAAATTATTAAAATAAATGCACTTTATTTTTACTATTGATTTTAATTATTTAAAAATTAAAATATTAGCTTTGATTCTTCCCTTAAAGTTGTTGCTAATTTTGTTTTTTTTTTTAATTTATCTTTTTATACTGCTCAACATGGTCAAAATTTTTTTTTCTTTACGAGTTAAAGAACTCATGGAAGTAAACATACAATGTGAAAAATTTATTAGATCACAATAGAAAAATCAAAACAAGCAGGTGCTATATAAAAAAATAAATAGGTATTATGACAAATTATGACTAGTATAGTGTACAAGAATTATATAAGATAGATACAACTGCTTTTCTGTCAGTCCTTTGCTCCATATCACATATGGGGATACCACTAATAAATGCATTCCCAAGAAGAGTTGATGTCAAGCAAGCAGTCAATTGTAAAACCAAAACCCGAAACCTTGTGTATTAAGAATAAAAACATGTTATACTGGCCACAACTAATTGGGATTAGGGCAGAAACATATAAAATTAATAATAATAATAATGAGGTGGCTCACTTCTGGGAAATATACAGAAAGCAATGCTCTTAGATTCTGCCCGCATTGTACGCCGGTTTCTCTCCCTGGGGCCCTGAACCCTGGCCGACTGTGCTTCTGCCGGGGTTAGTTGCCGTCTCCTCTCCTTAAGAGGGGAGATGTGAATTTTTGTAAAAAATTAAAAATGTTTTAGAGATGTCATAATTTATATACGCAATGTATTGCAGAGTCCCTCAACTGTGCCGGATGCCTGAATGACATTGGAGATGATGACTATGTGTCTGCTTTGGGACAAGACTGGCATAAAGACTGCTTCAGGTGATACCTTCATAGCATACTCGTAATAACTAATGTAACAGCAATATTTTTTTATTTTTTATTTATTTATTTAACAAAGTATTTATCATTGCTTCCTACACTAGGCTGAGCCTGTCCTAGGAAGCAGTACTCCTGTTATCATATACATGCATATAGATATTAAACATAGGCTTTTTAGCAGTACTGACAATTGTGTAACTAATCTGTATAATACAATTATTTTATTTATTTATTTTTTCTTTCTCTCACCACCAATACACATGTATAAATAAGTATTATGAATGAGTGTGTGTGCATGCGTGTGTGTGTGGTGTATGTGGTGTGTGTCTGTGGTGTGTGTCTGTGTGTGTGTGTTTGTGTGTGTGTGTGTGTGTGTAAATATAAAATAATTGTTCAAAATTGAGATTTCTTATTAGTGCAGGCAATTGTTATTGTTAATTGTTAATCATCAAATGACATTATTAATTTTGTTTGACATAAATCAATATAATATTTAAAATAATTGACTATATAAAATAATTGACTTTATTTGAATAATAATTGAAATAACTCTTGTGCTGTTTGACACAAATATGTTATTGTTTAATCAACTTTTGTTTGAAAAATGAACAAAGTTGAGTTTCTTTCCTGTTCCTCTCAGCAGCATTATAAATTATACATATTTTTTTTTATACAACTTAGAATGGCAAACAAGCTGACGGCCCACCTGATGGAAAGTGGTAACCATCACCTATAGACATGAGCAGTGCCACGGACATAACAGAGTATACTGTTTCACTCATGATACCCCCCATGCGTTGCCATTCTTAAGGACTCACGTGTTATTCCTTCATACCCAGTAAATTCACGCCATATCTCACCTTTCAAGCCGAAACACAGCCATGCAAATACAACAGCTTCACAGTAGAAACATGACTTTTGTACAAAGAGTCTCCATCTGGTGAATGGTATATATCCCTGGGTGGTATATTCAAGGATATTAATAAAAAAGAATAAAAATACTTGTAATTAACTTTACTAGAATAAAACTATTCTTATTACCAGAACGATTTACATGAATTTTGAACTTTATTAAACATACCACTAGTTAAACAGTACTATTTTATTTTTGTTCAATGCAGGTGCTCAGTTTGTGATGCGTTGTTATCAACATGGTACTTTGAGAAGGCGGGACTGTTGTTCTGCCAGAATGACTACTGGATGCGATTCGGTGAAAACTGCCAGCAATGTGGACAGGTAATTAACAATATACTTAAGGAAAGCTATAAAAGTTGTCCGCTTGGATACTTCTGTCCCACTTGTGTCTATGCTGTCAAGCAGCTATGCTCATTTTGAAGGATGGGATATAGTAATGGGATTACAAGGTATGGAGACATTATATCTTAGTACAGGGGGGGGATGGGATTGTTAGTAATGGGGAGGTCAGTCCCCATTTCTATCAATATACCTATATAATAGTAATGCAAATGGGGTTATCATTTCATTATCATGCATTAAAAAAAATCTTAGCTCTCAAGAATCTTGACATGTGTTCTCCATAGAGATTCTGTGTTGTCAACAGCACTCTTCATATCTATAGATGTTGGTCATCATTGTGACCAATTATCCTGTTTCTAACTTCAGGTTGCATAAACAAAACAACATTTTAAAAGCTAACGACTTGTTGTAATAGTACTACAGTTGAATATCCCACTGTAATATATCCATTATGTAAATACCTCTGGTATTGCAGGCGTTCAAGGCTATGTTACCATCAGGTCTATGCTTGTTTATATATATATATATATATATATATATATATATATATATAGAGCATTGTTTAGTTCAATTATTTAGATAAATAAATAGATAATAAATAATACTGGCAACTGAGAAACGCATGCATTGCCATGTTGACCAAAAATAACAGAAAAAGTTAATTCTCATTAAAAAGTATTCTTCTACCATTACAATGTTTTTTATTTGTCACAAAATCAATTAAATAAATCGAGTGGTTCCTCAAGATCCTCATTAGTATCGATCAACTACCCTGACAAGCAATTTGCTATGTAATTTAGAACTTTAAATTCTCTACTGCATGATACATTTTGAGTTATTTTATTGAACGAGGTTATCAATCCAATTGGCAGTATATCATAATGACTGTGTAACTGTTAACATTCTATTTAATGCGATAAATAATATTAACAACAAATGTATGCCTTATAAAGAGAGTGTTGCATTTTCTAGTAATAAACATGATGAATTAAAAATGCATTTAAATTTAACTTTACCCCCTTTTTTTTCTCCCTTTTTTAGTCTTGTTATTTTTCTCTTATGCATTGACTGGACACAATTTTAATTATTCCTCTCCATCCTAAGGTTACTTGAAAAAAATCGCTAGGTACCAATATGGCCGATCATTGTTGCCTCTTTATGTTGTTTTTATGTCATTAAATATTTATTTTGTTTGTGTACGTATTGTTAATCTTTATAATTAGTACCAATCTTTGAAGGAAACAATAAAGAGATTTCGTTTATTCAGTGTTTTATTACTGAATTAATGAACATGATATTGAATTTTGATATCCCAAACATGTTGAGCATCTCATGCTCAATATGTTTGTTAAATTACCAATGTTATATACACTGTATTTATCAGACTTATCAATAATCCCTAAAAAATTATACGATTAATTATTTTTTCTCTAACTACACTGGGTTGGCTGGAAGAGATCTCTTTTAGAGATAAGCACTCCTTTGCTAACAAGTGGTTAAAGTAATCGTTGTATTTATATTTTTAGAGCTTTCGTGCTAACCATGTGGTTATATTATAAGGTCTACTTATAATGATGTGAAGTTATAATGAAGATGCAATCGCTAGGTGATGACCGGGCCGGTGATGTCGGCCGGCGAGCACCGCTTCCACCCCGAGTGCTTCGCGTGCTGCCGCTGCGGCTCGCACATCGAGGACGGCGAACCGTACGCGCTGCTCGACCGCACGCACCTCTATTGGTCAATATTATTATTACTCATTATTTTAATTTCAAATACATTACCAGAGGGAGACTTTGTACAAAAGTCATTTGCTTGGCCACCTCTGTCCCATTCGTGTGTCAACCGTGAAGCAGTTGTTTGCATGTCTGTTTCGGTTTGAAGGGTGGGATATGGCGTGAATGTATACACTAAGTGTAATAAGAAATAGTTTGTTTCCCAAATAAAATACTGTTTTTAATCATGATGGTTTCCAGGGGGGACCGCAAGGAGGTAGACCTGATAGGGTTTATTGCGGGCAATGAGGTTGCAGTCGCCATTACCCACAATCCCTTTTCCCCCCATTCAAAGTATGTTGCATGTAAACTTTGATTTGTGTACCAGTGGTGGGTGCTACGGGCAGTCGGACGGCTGCGGCGGCGGCGCAGGTGGCGGCGAGGAGGTGGCAGCGGTGGCGGCGTCGCGGCCGCACTCCATCCGCGTGGTGGAAGTGCCGGCCGCCGCGCTGCGACGCCCGCCGCTATTGCACGCGCTCGACGGCTCACAGTCAGTAACCAGTCCTCTATTTCTACCACACACACTGTTGTAACAGGTTACATGAGAACTTGTAACATCGTCATAAATAGGATCACATCTAGATCTTGAATTGAGTTTAGCTTTCAGTGTCAGTAATTTCTTAACATTAGAAGATTTATTTAAAAAAAAGTATTAACCCTTTATACTCCAACCTAGTAACTCATAAAAAATGCCAATAACTCCACGACTATATTAGTTACTTGTGATGTAAAAGAAAAATGTAGTCGTTGCAATAAAACAAAACATTTATTTCTTATCTATTTTATAAAGGGCGCCGAGTCAGTAAAACAATCGTGTCTCCGTAACCGCGACATTGGATTTAATGTTAGCATTTTCATGTCGCAAATACAATGGATTGCAGAGGATTAAGTTTAGAAGTAATGTGTATAATGAATCTTTTAAAATATTAAATGATGTGGAACCTTCATTCCAAATTGAATAAATACTTAGAATTGATTTTGCCACAAGTAATTTTTTTAGGAAAACACTTAAATAGAACGATACACGCTAATAATGATTGCTAACTGCAGACATTCAATTTATTAATATAGGTCCAATTAGAATAACAAAAGTAATTAAAAAATTCTTTATATCCCCACATCCTAATTTTTAATCGAATACTAATTCTGATTTTATAAGCTGGAGATCAACTTAATGGAAAGTACTAACTCCTATTAATTTTAATTTCACCCCTCATGCTTTAGCATAAAGCTGCAATTCCTGAGAACGAAGATGTAATTATATTAAACAATAAATAGCTTTAAATAGGTCCCATTTTGATTTGTTCAAAAATAAAGAACACTTTCCTAGTAAATACATTAGAAGACATTGTAAGAAATTAGTATTACCAACAATAAAGACATCCTTGTGTAACTCAAATTGTTATTCCATGGCAGTCAGAATATGTAATAAAGTGCCAATAAATATAAAAAATGTAAACTGTAATAAATTTAAAAAAAGAATTGCTTAAACGGCTAGTAAATAAGTGTTATTATAGTGCCCAGGAATATTTACAAAATATAAAATATTGACATATTATAAAAGATTGACATTTCTGTATTGCAATTGAATTAACGTTTATAAATTGACATAAACGTTTACATTATTGATTTTTTTTTATCATAACTTTTATAATGACTGTTGCACGTCAGTAATGACAAATTGTGTGAAACTATTGTAATATTACCATATCTCCTTATTGCACTACATTTTTAGCAATAAAATTCATTCATTCATATAAAAGTGCTTCGTGAAAAGATGTGCATTGTGTGAAATGTTTTCTCGTTACATTTCACCTAATGCATATCACAGTAAATAAATGACTCATTAGAATTTATTATTACATTATAATTAAAGTTAACATCTAACTGACCTCCGTCGACCGGCGACCTCGTTGATAACCATAATTTATTATTTAATGAGGATAAATTGTCATGCTAATTGTTTTATATATATATATATATATATATATATATATATATATATATATATATATATATATATATATATATATATATATATATATATATATATATATATATATATATATATATATATATGGATTATAATTATAATTACAATATAAAGATCTTAAAAATAGATACAATAATCAGCTATTTTAATTCTGTTATATTTATTTCTGTCTGACTAGACTAGAAAAGAGCTTTACATAAAGATGTGATCGAACTGTTTTGTTCTTAATGATTAATTAAGCGATTTATCGATGAACGGTCTTATCCCAACCAGTCTAGAACTACATCTCAGACTGCAGGTGTTCATAGGCTACGGTAACCACTTACCATCAGGCGGGCCGTACGCTTGTTTGCCACCTCAGTGGTATAAAAAAAAGACGGTTGGGATTCCGAGGCGGCTCACTCCCGGGAAAGATGCAGAAAGCAGTGTTTTTAGATATCTGCTCACATAGTACGCCGGTTTTTCTCCCTGGGGCACTGAACCAGGGGGGTTAGTTTGCCATCTCCTCTCTTTAAGAGGGGAGATATGACTTTTGTTTAAAATAATAATAATATATGATTTAGATTTATATTTTTAAGATTTTGTTATTGCTCTCACTCTATCATAGTTTATTTATTATATTTGGTGTTAGAGACGTATCTGTCATCGCCTTGAAGGAGAAAACTCCAATCTCTTATCAAACGAAACATTAACACCTTTGTTCTCATGAATTGCAACGCACGAGGGATAGCATTGGTAGTTTTGTAATTTCTCAATTAGTTAGTGATTTTTGAGAATACAACCAAAAACTTGCTTAAACAAAAACTTGAAATTGACTAATTAGGAAATTTCAAAACAAACGTTCAAATTAGCGAATAATAAATTGTACACATCCCTTGAAAAGATTTTACGAATTCCACGTTAAGGAGACACAATGGATGCGTTATTACAACTTACATGACATTACGACCTCATTACAAGACGTTACTAACGTGAAATTATTTTAATATTAATTTGTCATAAATAACACCCACTAAAAATCAAGGTTGTATTTCATTGGTTCAAATACTAATTTCATATTGAAGATGTTATTACACAACTGATGCTCCATAATAGACTGATTGAAAGTCTGCCTTTATAATTGACTAACATCTAATTAATTGTAACCATACAATACAGCAACCGTTGCGCTGGCAAGCTGTCATGGTTGGCGCGCGCGATGCTGCGGGTGGCACTCTCCGCCTGCATACAACTCACATGTCATAGGTACTAACACAAGTCCCAGTGTCGCTTAGGCATGTTTAATATTTTCGTTATTACGGCGCGCTTGGGCATGTTCAACATATTCGTTATTGCAACACGATTGGGCCATGTTCAACATATTCATTATTACAAAACGCTTGTGCATGTTCAATATACTGATATTATAGCATGTTAGACATATTTGTTATTTCAACATACAATTAAAATACACTTAAACTAAACATATATCCTCTTATAAAGGTATACCTTAGTTCCTAACATTATATATTGTATAAAATGAAGTCAGGATATAAATAGTAGATATGAAATTTTTACAAAAGTGTTAATGAAACTTAACCTTCCTCAAGGAAAATGAAGTGAAATCTATTTAAGGTAACGTTATTGATTAACATACATCTAAATTGCTGGGTCTAGAATCACAAAAATAAGTCAGCATAAGCAGCCACAAAAAACGATCAGTATAAAAATACTTTCCTTTTGAACATTTCATACTTTTATACAGAATTAATTTAATTTTTTGACCCCAATTCCTTGAAGATAGTTCAGTTTCTCCTATGTGTGTGTACCTTATCTTTTTCCGTTACAGTTTATGTTAACAGTATATGATAATAAGAAATTTTAGATGAATCGCTTTCTTCGTTGTAGATATAGAAGCATAGCCATGAATGTCGCATGCGCATGTTCAATGTGTTATTTTAGGAAAACTTAATATATTTGTCAAACATGTCACCTTCTATGGTATAAAACAAAGTCGCTTACCGGTCTGTTTGTCGCGCCACCTACCACTATCTATCTATCTGTTCTCCTTTAACCAAAGATTGTCTGTAAGAGATTGCCTTAGCGATAAGACCACCTTTTGTACCTTTATGTTTATATTTTCATCTGTACTTTATGCTACTCTATTCTACTTGAATTGTTTATATGTCATTGTTAATTATTATGTTTCTGGTGCAATAAAGAGTTAAATAAATAAATACGGGTTTCACACGAGCAAAGCCAAAGCGGTTCGTTAGTTTATCATATGAAATGTATTGCAATATATATGACAATAACAATATATAACGATAAATTGCATTTAAGTATCGCATGTGTATCCATCATATTTTACAACATGAATATGTTCATTATGTTGTAATTGGATAATCAACATGTTTATTATTACAAATATATTACAATACAATGTAAATGAACACGTCATATTGAAATAGGCAAGTTTTTTCAATGATATCCAGAATATGAACGAAATTTCAAGTGCATATCTTGTATTTTTATGAATTAAATGCAATGTTTTAGTGATTCATTTAAAATATTTTGATACAAAAGATTATCCGTTTATTAAGTCATAATGTAAATATGAAATATCCCCGTGTCACACGCCTGAGTCAGAGACATCGCGTGATCGATGGACGATCGCCTGCATTGCCTATATACATACTCAGTACTTTCCGTGGGCTTCATTACTCCATATTCGACGTACTTTAAATAAAAGCCGGTCAAGTGCGAGTCGGGTTCGTGCAACGAGGGTTCTGTACAAAGTCATAAAGTTAAAACCTTTTTTGTGATATAAATACAAATTTATATTTTCGGATTTTTTCCTTCACTTGTGCTGCATGATATTGCTTCTTGCCTCTTCATGATTCTAGATTAGCGGGATGATTTGTTTATACCCTATAGGTTTTGATGGATGTAATTTACATGTACTTTATAGAAAATTGTCGCATGTTATATCTATATGTGTGTGTGTGTGTGTATGTGTGAACGTACGTCGCGACACCTCACAGGCGGTGCTGTTAGTCAGTCAGAAGTCATGAAGGAACGTCCCGTGTCTCCCTCCCGTTCTAACATAATACCTTTATACATTTGAATCATATAGTGAGTGAGTGATACACGCGTTTTATTATTTTAACAAAATTATAAATTATTCTATGTATCCTGTGTCTAAATCGAGTGTGCATTGCTTCTGAATATAGCATTGGTTATCACAATATTTTTTAGGTAATTTTTCCTCTTTATTTGTTGATTTAAATCAGCTGTGTAACAGTAATAATAATAAACTCTTTATTGCGCACATTAGAGATGTATACAAGGAGTATTTATACAGAATGTGCATATACAAAAGGCGGCCTTATCGCTAGAAGCAATCTCTTACAGGCAACCTGGTATAAAGTATGGATAAGTACAGAGAGAAAGGTAGATGGCGCTAGTCAGGGTAAATACAAAAAAGTAAACAAATAAAATATGTATTATTCTAAATATCATTTATATAAAAGTAAGTAAATTATATAAACATACATTTATAATATATTTAATAGATAGATAGATAGATACTCTTTATTGTTACCTCCATAAGATTACAATAGTTAACTTATTATAGATACAAACAATTGTAAGAAAATATTACACTGAGAAAACAATGGGCGGCGTTATCGCTAAAAGCGATCTCTTACAGACAACCTGACATTAATAGTTACCAGAGGGAGACTGTACAAAAGTCGTTTGCTTGGACACGTCTGTCCCATTCGTGTTTCAACCGTGAAGCAGTTGTGTTTGCATGGCTGTGTTTCGGTTTGAACGGTGGGCATATGGCGTTAATTTACAGGGTACAGAGGAATAACACCTGAGTCCTCAGGAATGGCAACGCATATACCCCTCACGGCCTATTGATGGTGGTTATATTTTTATTTTCTTTTAAAACGGATTATGACATGAGTAATTTTGTGGTCAGAATTGATTCAGCGTGCGGTCTGCTGACCCTACACATCGGGGACAGGATATTGGAGATAAACGGCACGCCTGTACGGAACCGGCCCGTCGATGAGCTGGACAAGGTGTTGGCGAGGCCCGACGCCGTTATACAGGTAGGTTGTACTCCATTTTTTTTATACAATCCCACCAATCAGTCCCGGTCCTCTAGCTGGGGTATATTTTTTTTTTATGGATGAAAATGAAATGGTAACCCCGCTTGCACTATCGGGATATACTGGCGGAGCACCAGGGAGGGATGATAGGTGAAGATGAAACACGTCCGTTGGCCTATCGTGATGAATTCATCAAAAATAAACCACGATAGTATCCAGAGGGAACCGCGTGGAGGTCGACCTGTTAGGGTGTATTGCTAGTAATGGGCCTATTGGATCTCATTACTAACAATCCCTGTCCCCCTCTAGCTGGGGTATTAGGAGGAGGAACCTCTGGGAGACGCAACTCAGAACACCCAGACACGAGGCAATTTAGAAAAAGTAATTTTCTAAATCAGTGACGTGGGAAAATTTCATAGTTTTACGATATCAGCAGAGGGAGACTTTGTACAAAAGTTGTTTGCTTGGGTACCTCTGTCCCATTTGTGTTTCTGCCGTGAAGTAGGTACACGCATTCTACTCTTAAAATATTTTTTGTTTGCATGGCTGTGTTTCAGTTTGAACGGTGGGATATGCCAGTGGAATTACAGGGTACGGAGGCACATAATAACACCTTAGACGTCAAGAATGGCAACGCATAGGGGTATCGTGGGCACAATAGTGTATTCTGTATTGTTCATAGTACTGTTCATGTCCATAGGCGACGGGTTACCGTCCACCTGATGGAATATGGTATTATGGTACGTTCACCGTCAGGTGGACTGTCAACTTGTTTGCCGTTTTAAAGGTGGATTCGACTAAACGAGAATAGATTTTATTCTTAAATTAAATTTATTCGAGAATAAATTAATTTTACGTTTTACCATTCACAATTCTAAGATTAACGATCTTATTCGGGAATAGCTACTGTACCGCTGTTTTGCGCCGTATAACAGAAATATTCCAAGAATATTAAAATAAAATGGCGTCCTAGGACCATATGATCTAAAATTCGTAAGCTGTCAAATGCGTGTGGTGATTTCTATACGTAGGTACAATTATGTACTGGTAATCTTATATTATAGTGGGTCTCCACTAAACTTAACAGTAACTCTCTCTCTCTCTAAATAAATAAAATAAAATTAAAAAAAACTCAGTAAATGTATAAGCCTATTACTCACTAAACGATTACTTGAATGACGAGTGTGCATGGCAATAGTTGTTCATGCACTGAATTTTCATTTAATGTTAGACATAGACACCTATATAAATATACATTGTAAATAAACTGGCTTTAAAAAAAGTAATTCAATTGAGTTTCTTGCCAGTTCTTCTCAATTGGATCTATATACCGAACTGGAAGGGAAATAAATAAAATTATAATGTAAAAATTTGACGTTCATAAGCGGCTAAAATGTCCTACATGAATAAATGATTTTTGAATTTGAATTTGAATTTGATAATATGACAAAGATATGAAGGTTGTCGCATTAAAACATAGCGACAGAAGCAATGGAAAAAAAAACTCCGATTGGCAACACGTTTCCGTTTATCTTCAGCCATTTTCTTGCAAAAAAAAGTAGAAAAAGCAGACACTACACAAAAATAACTAATAATATGCAACAAATGTACATATACCACGTGGTTGTCAGTTGACATTGACAAAATGACAGCATTGTTTTTTTCATTCACTACAACACAACAAAAGTAAGTTGATACAACATAAGCTTTTATGTCGTCTCCTTGTAGAACAACGTTAATTAGTCGGGTATCATTTTCGGTCACCGTTCACTTTACTAGCCACGAATAGTTGTTCCAAGTATAGTTATACGTTAGATTGCATGGAAAAATGAGTTTTAAATAAATAGTATAATAACTAGTAAACCTGTTTGTCTGTATAGTAATTCTATTTGAATGTGCAAATGAGAAAAATCAATGTAATAAAATAATAATTTGACAGTTAACCATAGAGCACAACCCAGAGACAACAAACAACAACAAAAGAGCGCCAATGTGTAAAATTATCACTGATCTCGAAGACAAACCGAAGCATGATATCAAATCGCCTGTTGAAAGGAAAATATTAAGAGAAGACTTGAAGAAGAACATTCCAATTAGGCATTCCAATGAAGTGACTGACAACGAGGGCGAGGACAGTGGCGGGAAAAAGGAACGGCTGTTTAAAAGGAAAGGGGAGGATGGGGGGAAAGTGAGATTGAAGCGGAGGCAGACGCCCTCGTCCCCGCTTTTGGGTGATAAGGAACGGAGTAGCAGTATGTCAAAATTGCTCGATGTGAGGTGAGTGCGGCTTCAGTGCTCACTAATATTATAAGTGTGCACGTGAGTTTGTCTGCTAACATATATCGCTTTAACAACTCGACCAATCACTATGAAATTTGGTATGAACGTACTATATGGGATGGAGAAGAATATAGGCTACATAGACTATAGACTTTTTAACCCAATCAATAAATATGCTTAGGTATATCTGTCCCATTCGTGTTTCTACCGTGAAGCACTTGTGTTTGCATGGCTGTGTTTGGGTTTGAAGGGTGGGATATGGCGTGAATTTACTGGGTACAGAGGAGTAACATCTGAGTCCTCAGGAATGGCAACGCATGGGGGATATCATGGGCGAAACAGTATACTCTGTTATGTCCATGCTACTGCTCATGTCTATAGGCGACGGTTACCACTTTCCATCAGGTAGGCCGTCAGCTTGTTTGCGATTCTAAGTTGTATAAAAAAAAACCCGGGATCGCGGACGAAGTCGCGGGTAAAAGCTAGTATGGCTATAAGTAGACTATTGTTATTTTTTCAAATTTTCGAGCCTCCTATATTAACAGCTGGACGCGTTAGTATGAAAGGTTTAAATTCTTTTGATTCTCGATCCATGTTTTCTTTGGTAAAAATGTTTAGTCTGGTATATTAATTAATACGAAGGATACCAATTAAACCCTGTATAATATGATTAGAGATTTTTTTTGAAATGGATGATAATGGAAATTATTCCATAACTCCGCCTGTGTTAACGAATGCTGGTGGGACTCTAGTGGAGATGGAAATGAGTGAGGATGAAAAAGCAGTCGGTGCATCGTAATGAATACACCGGGAATCGAGCACGATGGTTGCCAGGGGGGACTACGGGAAGGTCGACCTAATAGGATGTATGTATAGCCAGCGATAGTAATGCGTGTGTGCGTGTGTGCGTGTGTGCGCGTGCAGCGCGGCGGACGCGCGGTCGCGCTCGTCGTGCGAGGAGCGCGGCGTGCTGCACGAGCTGAGCCGCGCGCGCTCGTTCCGCGCCGCGCCCGCGCCCGCGCCGCCCACCGTCTTCCGCGCCGCCGACCTGCTGCAGGTACGCCGCACTCGCCCCACACGTCGTCCCCCGCACGACGCACTCGCCCCACATGCTGTACTCGCCCCACACGCCGCACTCGCCACACACACCGCACTCACCCCACACGCCGCACTCGCCCCGCACACCGCACTCGCTCCACACACCGCACTCACCCCACACATCGCACTCACCCCACTCGCCACCCACGCCTCACTCGCCCCACACACCGCACTCGCCCCACACGCCGCACTCGCCCCGCACACCGCACTCGCCCCACACACCGCACACATCGCACTCGCCGCACTCGCCCCACACGCCGCACACATCGCACTCGCCCCACACATCGCACTCACCCCACTCGCCACCCACGCCTCACTCGCCCCACACGCCGTACTCGCCCCGTACCACACTCACGCTACTTGACACAATCACACCACACAACCCACTTACACCTACTCAGCCTACACACCCCTTTTGCGCCACACACCTCACTTGCTACATACACCATTAATCCAACACGCCCCACTTAAACCCCCATACAATTTACTCTTCTTACACCTTTTAATTCCCCAAATTGCCAATTCATCCCACACGCCCCTTTCACTCCACACCCTCTACATGTCACACCACACTTATTGCTGCAGATAGCGTCTACTGCAACCCCTCTCCCCGCCCCGACATACCCATACTCACCCTACGTATTCAGTGCCATCAATCTGCTACATCATTCATCATCATTTCAGCCACTACCCGTCCACTGCTGGACATAAGCCTCCCCCATAGACTGCCATAAAGAACGGTCCTGAGCCACCTGCATCCACTGACTCCTTGAACCTGCTCCAATACTACACACTTTTTAATAAAAGAAACAGGCAAAAAACATTTCAATGTATTTTTCGTCAGGGCGAGCTGCTGGGCTCCGGTTTCTTCGGCCAGGTGTACAAGGTGACACACCGCGACACCAACGAGGTGATGGTGCTCAAGCAACTGTACAGGGTCGACGAGGACGCCCAGAGGAACTTCCTCAAAGAGGTATACTTTTAACAATTTTTTTACAAAAAATAACTATTTTTTTTTAAATGGATGATAATGGAATGGTAACCCCACCTGCGCTATCGGTATACACCGGCGGGGCACCAGTGAAGGATAATAGTTGCGGATGAAGTAGGTTAGTTAGCCCATCGTGACGAGTTCAACAAGAATTGCTCACGATGGTTTCCAGGGGGAACCACGTGGAGGTCGACCTAATAAGGTATATTGCTAGCAATGGGGCTGTCAAACTCCATTGCTAACAATCCTTTTTCCCCCAAAAAAAACTATTGGCTAGTTGATATGGAGAAAATGGATGAAAGAAGAACTAAAAAAAAGAGATTTATTGACAATGAATGGATGGAAATGTCAGTAGGGGCCACCCTAGACGGACGTATGTCGATCTAATAGGCGACGTGCTGAAGAAGGGCCAAATTAAAGTACCCGTAACCGGCGAGTTTGTATGAATAGATTGATGAATGTGAAGGAAGCGAAAGAGCTCTGTTTGAATCGAAGCATTTCATCATATCAGCTCTTAAATGTTCATTGCTGTTATGTTCAGCAATTCAAATAATATTCGCTTGCTACATGGTACAATAAGAAGTTACATATACAGGGGCACATAACATGCAGCACCCCGCAGACGTATGTAAATGTTAAACTGTATTTAGTCCAGTAGTTTAGTCAATTTGATCATTTATATTTGCCGCAAACTAACTCAATGATATACAATAAAAGTAGTTATATGATGGCTATTAAAATATATAATCATTTGCCAAATAACCTAAAAGAAGTGCCTAATACAAAATTCAAATTATTATTAAAAAAATGGCTACTTGCAAATGCTTTCTATAATATGAATGAATTCTTTGCTCTTTGACATTTTTCTTTTTTTTTACATTGACATTATAAATAATTTAATTAATATATAAGATGATAATATGTTCTAATGGTGACCATGAGTTAGTTTGTGACTGCTGATTGACATGTTTTATTTTATTTTCAATTTTATTGACAATTTTAATGTATGACTGTAAAATAATTAATGTTTTGTAATTATTCGTATTGTATGCCCGATGTATGGGTAGGCTGTTTTCCTTTGAGACGTTAATAACATCTTACGAAAAATTGTAACATACAGCTCACAATAAATTTATTCTATTCTATTCTACATTATATTACAATTAAAGTTCAAACATTTTCCAAATTACAATATTCTCTATGTCAAATTATCATATGAAATTATGGTTTATATTTTAAGTAATTTTTAATACATTACATCTTTTATTAAGTTCACAGTATCTTTATGTTCTACTGCATAAGCATCTTGTAATCATGTTAGATAGATAATTTATTTGCATTACTTACAGCACACAAATTATAACATATATAGATATATATAAAAAGCGAGATAACATAAATGATATCTTATTAGCCTTTAATTTACCACTGTTTAACATAAGCCTCCCCAGAAGGGGAGCTTGGTCAGTAGTTGCCATGCTTGGCAGGCGGGTTGGCAACCGCAGTTAGGCAAATAAATGGAAATATGTTATGTATGTATAAATGGTAAAAAAAAATGATTTTGTCTTAACATGATGTCACATGAGGTGCAAAAGTCCACATGTAAGAATATCGTGGTTTCAACATAAACGAGTGCGGCGTGTGCCGGCAGGTGGCGGTACTGCGCTCGCTGCGGCACCCGAACGTGCTGCGGTTCGTGGGCGTGCTGTACAAGGACAAGCGCTTGCACCTCGTCACCGAGTACGTCGCTGGCGGCACGCTGCACCATCTCATACAGGTACACGCGCACACACGCACACACGCGTGAACACACGCACACACGCGCGAACACATGCACACACGCGCGAACACACGCATACACGCGCACACACCCACACGCGCGCTACACGCACACGCGCGCACACACACACACGCGCGAACACACACACGCGCACACACACGCACACGCGCGCACACACACACACACACACACACGCGCGCGAACACACGCACACACGCGCGAACACACGCACACACACACACACACACACACACACACACACACACACACACACGCACACACACACACACACACACACACACACGCGCGCGCACACACACACACACCTGATATCTATAATATTACATGTCCCAACTGGATGTAGGTTGTATGCTAGTGTATGTACGTGCGTACAGGACCCCGGCGTGTCGCTGAGCTGGGCGGCGCGGGCGCGGCTGGCGCGGGACGTGGCGGCCGGCGTGGGCTACCTGCACCGCCGCAACGTCATCCACCGCGACCTCAACTCGCACAACTGCCTCGTGCGCGAGGTAACCACTGCATCAAAACTAACTCCACTCGGTCGCAAATCCCGTAAAAAAGATTTTTTTTTTATTTATACTACTTAGAATGGCAACAAGCGTCGGCCCACCTGATGGAAAGTGGTAACCGTCGCCTATACACATGAGCAGTAGCATGAACATAACAGAGTACACTGTTTCGCCCATGATACCCCCCATGCGTTGCCATTCCTGAGGACTCGGGTGTTATTCCTCTGTACCCAGTAAATTCACGCCATATCCCAAACCTTCAAACCGAAACACAGCCATGCAAACACAACTGCTTCACGGTTGAAACACGAATGGGACAGAGGTACAAGCAATCGACTTTTGTACAAAGTCTCCCTCTGGTATAAATATATGGCGCCACACTTGTTTTATCCTCTAAATCAGGGATTCCCAAACTCATTTTGTCTACTGCCCACTTTGAGAATAAATTATTTTTTACCTACTTTAAAATTGCCCCCCTTTAGGGCTGCAGCGCCTACAAGGGGGCTTCATCGCCCACTTTAGGAAAGGCTGCTCTAAATCATCATGTAAGCTGGTAACTGTCCAGTGTTGAACATAGCCCTCCCCCATGTGGAAGGTTTTGACAGTAGAGTTGTCACGCTTTACAGGCGGATTGGTAACCGCAGTTAGGCCTTGGTGATGTTTTTAAAGAGACTCTGCTGCCCATCCCTGGACAATTAATTTTCCTTAGTCACCTCTTCCGACATCCACGAGCAAGAAAGTGGTAGCCCATTCTATGCTGGGACCACACAGCGAAGAAGTGACCATTCCACAATAATAATAAGAAATTTTTAAGCCAGATATGATGTACAGGATCAGACGGTGATAGTGGCAGACTTCGGCCTCGCCCGCATCGTGCAGCGCACCGCTAGCAGCACGCTGGAGCGACCGCGAGCCGCACGCGTTGCGTCCGCCGGCCCCACCGCACCCTCCGCCGGCACGCTGCGCCGCAAGCGGTACACGGTAAATATTAATCTCTAGAGGTTATTTTAGGAAGAAATTGTAAAAATTGTCCATTTTTATACACACACTTCTCGTGTCGTTTGTTTCATAATTTGTCCCATGAGACAAATGCATGTTTTCATTCAAAATGCGTTTCTATCGTGAAGCAGTTGTGTTTGTATGGCTGTGTTTCGGTTTAAAGATTTTTTTTTAGGGGTGATAATGGATTGGTAATCCCACCCGCGACATTGGTATACGCTGGCGGGTCATCAGTGACGATAAACCAGGTTCGTTAGCCCATCGTGACGAATTGCACTAGAATCAACCACGATGGTTTCCAGGGGGAACCACGTGGAGGTCGATTTGATAGGGTATATTACTGGCAATCGATCAGTTAGACCCCATTACTAACAATCCCTTTCCTCCCTCGGTTTGAAGGATATGGCAGTGAATTTACAGGGTACAGAGGAATAATACCCGAGTACTCAGGAATGGCAACGCATGGGGGGTATCATGGGCGAAACAGTATACTCTGTTATGTCCATGGCACTGCTCATGTCTATAGGCGACGGTTACCACTTTCCATCAGGTGGGCCGTCAGCTTGTTTGCCATTCTAAGTTGCATGAAAAAGAAAATAGATAAAAACGTTTTGTTTATTTTTTTCAGTATCAAATTTCTTTAAAACTTTTAAACTGCTACGTGCTCTTTATATTGGCTCTGTCATTCCATTTCTAGTCTGTACATATTGTTTATAATTATAATGATGGCGTGTTTCCCAGGTGGTTGGCAACCCGTACTGGATGGCGCCGGAGATGATGAACGGCAACTCGTACGACGAGAAGGTGGACGTGTTCTCCTTCGGGATCATACTGTGCGAGGTACTCACACACACATAAATATTTGCTAAGTTTCAAGCAATCTATACTTATAATAAATCTGTAGAGAGGTCAATTCTGTACATGAAATATATTTACAAAATAACTATCAGGCGATGATTAGTGATCGATACTGATGCCAAAAATGCAATCAGTAAAATTTTTGTCTGTCTGTCTGTATGTTCGTTATAGAAACAAAAACTACTCGACGGATTTTAACGAAACTTGGTACAATTATTCTTGATACTCCTGGGCAGGTTATAGTATACTTTTCATAACGCTACGATCAATAGGAGCAGAGCATTGAAGGGAAATGTTAAAAATGGCCACCCGTGCGACGCCGGGACGGGCCGCTAGTTTATAAATAAAAATTTATTTTTTCTCTGTGTCTATGCCAATTTTATTTATTTATTTATTCTTTATTGCACAATAAAACTCTGTACAAATGGCGAGCTTAATGCCACATGGCATTCTCTACCAGCTAACTATTGGGTAAAAACAGAAAGCGTACGAAGGGCAGATGTGGTGGGAAATATGTGGCATGCATATGTAGCAACATGATATTATGATATATTATTTATTTTTCAAACATTATAATAATTTACTCACCGTTTATTTATTTATTTAAACTTTAACGCACAGTAAAATTCTATGTACATATGGTGGACTTAACACCGGACGGTGTTCTCTACCAGTCAACCATTGGGCACACAGAGAATTACGTAGGCGGTGCATTATTGAATAGAGGAGAAATAAAGCAATACTTGATATATTCATATAATACAAACATACACATAATATATTAAATAAATAAATAAATATATACATGCAGTAAATAAATACATAAAATATTACTATATAAAAACAAATGATTAACTGTATTAGAAGAACAAATAGCAATCTATGACTCAAACAGAGTAACCAGCAAGATTAAGTTTAAAGGGAACGTGTGAAAAAAAGTCAAACAAGTTTATAAATAGGCCTTTTTAAAGTTTGCTGTGTAACTTCTAGTACGTGCCAGCGCCAACAGCATCCTGAGTATGATGGCAAGCAGGCTGCACTGTGTGTACGTTAATCACTGCTGCGGAATTTCCAATGGAGTTGTGCAGCGGTGATATATTGTGCTTAATATATTGTATGTGTGTGTGTGTGTGTGTATGTATGTGTATGTATGTGTGTGTAAATTTACTAACATTAGTTTAAAGATTATTGTTACTAATAAATATTTAATGGACCAAAAAAGTCTGAAATAAAAATTATTATTATTATATAGTTTTTTTTTTATGATATCAGTCATTGTTTTTAGAGCAAAATCAATTAATGTGTTTATATTTTTTAATTATTTTAAAAAGCATTAACGCGGATAATGAAATTGTTGGCTTTTTTATTTGTCTAAATAAAAAGAAATGTTACAACATTAGTACATTACTGCAGCGGCCAGCAACTGAGGCATTGATGGACGAACGTGCAAATGTGGGCCGAGGCGTAGCCGAGGCACACATACGTGGTTGATTTTCATACAACTTTTGCCGGCCTCTGCCCGCATGTGTTTGGCCAGTACGGCAATTTTGATTTATCTCTAAGAAGATTGTCAAAATAATGCTCACATTTCCAAGCATGTTTGAGAAAAAGATATAACTAGATATTTCATCGTCTACGGACAAGTCTGTCGTCGAAAATAATTCTGTCGGTGGATGGACAGGTCTGTTTTACTAATACCGTGTCAAAGCACCAAAAATTACCAAAATACTCCCACCGATATTCATTATTATTTGTTAATTATATTATAATGAATATGATACGTAGATAATCGGGCGCGTGTCTGCGGACCCGGACTTCCTGCCGCGGCGCGCGGACTTCGGCCTCAACGAGACGGTGTTCGTGGACAAGTTCTGCCGCAGCCACGCCTGCCCCGAGCCCTTCTACCGCGTCGCCTTCCGCGCCTGCCACCTCGAGCCCGACTGCAGGTACCGCCCCCTCCGCCCCTCCCCCCTGCCATCCGCGGCCGCTACACACCTCCCGCGCCTGCCGCCTCTATTATTTAAAACTACTATTTACTACTAAATATTACTATTTACTACTAATTGTTCATATAAAACTGACTATTTAAAAGTGCTTGTTGATAACAGGCCAACGTTCGAGGTGATAGAGATTTGGCTGGAGACGCTGATCCAGCAGCTGTGTGCAGGCGCGTCCACGGCGGCCCTGCTGGACGACATTTGCCGTTACGGGGCTGCTCCCGCCTGCGGCCTGCAGCGCTCGCCCAGCAAGCTCAGCGGTGGGCAACTAACGCCCGACGGTCTCGTTAAGGTATATTTTTGGTTTTTTTATGGGAAATCTCACCATATATACAATACTTTGATATTACAAAGTCCTCTATTGAGGTTTTAGGACGTTGCTATACTTGAGGAGTTTTTTTTTAATGAATGATAATGCTATGGTAACTCCGCCTGCGCTAACGGTATACGCTGGCGGGGCACCAGTGAGGGATGATAGGTGAGGATGAAAAGGCAGGTCAGTTAGTCCATCGTAATGCTGTCATTAGGCACTGTAGTGCTACTCAGTTAGGAGTGTCTCCATTGCTAGCAGTTGGGGTGTTTACAATAAATCCCCATCCCTCTTCCGCATAAAAAATTAAGGTGAAATTATGGTGTACAGTCAAAGTCGAACGTGACGATCGAAGGCGAGGCGGCGGCGGGCGAGGCCGGCGAGGCGGCGGGCGGCGGCCGCGCGCTCGGCAAGTGCGTGTCGGCCGGCCACATCAGCGCCGCGCGGCCCGTCGTCACCGTCACCACGCTCAGCCGCAGCCACCACTCGCTGCACCCCGCGCCCGCCGGCTACATCCTGCGCGCGCACGGCAACAGCATCAACATCACCAAGGTAGCTTCCACAACCCCCCCCCACCACCACCACCACCACCACCCCCCACTCCCACTACACCCAATCCAAGCACACTCCGCTTCTGTCTCGCCGACCATATTGGTAAAATAATTAAGACTCTTAACTAGTTCATTATGCCTATTTTTTGACTTGGTGTTACAATATTAACTTCAGGATTTGCTTTGCCTCAAAACACAATGTAATATTTAAAAAAAATGTGTTTAACTTGAACATGCTCTGTGTTCTCTTTTATTATTTATTATATACATGTTAGGGTACTTGATACGACATGACGAACTCATGAAAATTATAATAGAAGGTAAGATAGAAAGAAGGAGCGAAAAGAGGAGACCAAGGCATAGATACATCGGGCAGATCAAGGAAAAAGTTGGTGTCGTATCAAGAGGTGAAGAGACTCGCTGAAAATCGTAATAAATGGTAACAGCTCCACCGACAAGAAAGCAGCTCTTAAATAGACTTTTTTTTATACAACTTAGAATGTCAAACAAGTTGACGACCCACCTGATGGAAAGTGGTAACCGTCACCTATAGACATAAGCAGTACCATGGACATAACAGAGTATAACAGACTAGATAGTGTACATTGACTGGGCCCAGCGCCATTCATTGCTGAAACATTTAATTTAGCAGAGATTGTGTGAAAGATAAGCTGTAGCATCTGACTTCATCACTAATTTCAAATGAACAAAGTTGCCATAGTATCTGCTTTGATCATTTATAGTTACAATATTTTAATTAACAGGTTGATGACATCAGTAAGTGGTTGGACTCCCCCCCGCCACTGAAGCGGACCAGCCCCGACTCGCAGCTCAACACCCTTACCTTGGAGCACAACAACAAGACCAGGAAAGTGGACGCCGCCCTCGGACAAGGTAACCTACCCTGCTTTCTCCGCAATCAGTCGGTCGAAGGGCTGGAGAGCAAGTCCAAACACGATATGGACCCTCCGCACCCTATATGTAGGCACATCAGCATTCCAGATGATTGTGAAATCACCCGCGATCAGGATACTGATTCGTCCGATGACGATGATGACCTTGACATCGCAGACTGGCACAGGAACGTAAGTACATTCCAGAAGGTAGAGAGAATGGATGTGGACCAATCGAAAAATATCCTTACGGGATTAATGAAGAAAGGTGAAAATTTATTGGCGAAAAAGTCCAGTTACGACGTTACAGATATATCGCTAAGGAACCCCGAGTGTTTGAAGGGAGAGAGGAGGATTCCAGAGACGGATTGTAGGAGGTACAATATAGACTTTTTAACTAAAAGCCCTATCATGGCAGAAGGTGTGAAAAACATTCCAAAGAGTTTAGAAGTACGTGAGAAACCCACGGAGAAATCTGGGTTCTTTACTAAGAAACTGTTGTCGCCAAAGTTCAGTAGACTGTTTAGCCCCGAAGTATCAAAAAGTAAGCCTGAAAACTGTGAGAACAAGGAGGAGAAGTCAAGAAGTAAGTTTTTCATCCATCGACCAGCGTCGCCCAGTAATATCTGCCGGTCATACAAAGTGAGACCCTCTGAAGATCGTGACAGGAAACCGAACTTGAGGGGGGATAACAGTGATGTCTTGAAAAGTGACTTAAAACTGGCCAGTTTAGGGAAACCGATGACGCCCATATTCAGGCGTCACCTGCCCACAGAAAAGCCGGAGTTCGCCGACGGTCGGTTTAGCTACCGAGACCGGCGTTCCAAGTATGACGGTAAAAGTCAGGAGCCCAAATTTGTAGAAATCGGCCGCAACAGGATCAAAGCACCGATCAATGCGATGGAGAAGAATAAATTAACTCCTTTAATACGTAGTTCCCAGATCAATACCATGCCCGCTCTGACTCCCGTATTGGAGAAGAATAAAGGGGAAGTTAAGGAAAAGAAAGAGGACGTACCGAAGCGACGGGAGGTGACCATATCGAGAAGTAACTACGTGAGCCTCGCCAACCTGAAGATCAACAGTAAAGCGAGGAATTTGGAGAAAACGGTACAGGACAAGTCCAGGAGCACTGTAGATGAGGGTTCGCCGGTCGAACGGGTTATTTAAGTACTGAGGATATTGAAACTATTAACAACGAGTAAAATACAACGAATTTTTTTTTTTTTATAAGAACCAATCAGGTTGTGTTCGTTCAAAAAAACAATATTTAACTTTTTTTTTTATTTATTTATTTAACTCTTTATTGCACCATAAATAAAAATATACAATGACAAGTGAATAATTCAAGTGAAATACAGTAATATAAATACAGATTGAAATATACACATAAAAGTACAAAAGGCGGTCTTATCGCTAGGGCAATCTCTCACAGACAACCTTTGGTTAAAGGAGAACAGATAGAAATGGCCATTGTATGGGATTTGTACCATGAGGTTTGGAACTAAATGTCATTTTGAAGCCAAAATCGACAAATTTACCCTTGTCGTTTTACTTTGCCGTTGTCACAGATAAAAAAAGATTTAAAACAATAGTGAGTTGTCTCTATCTTACGTACATTTAATAAAAAATAGGGTCTTTTAAGGTTAAAGAAAATATTTGTTTGTACGCTTGTACAGTACATTGTCTTTCCAATACATTTACAGTACAATTATAGTAAAGTATCTGAAAAAATATATAAATATATTTTCCGAGAAGTGTCGACTATTTGTTTTCAAAATTAATTTACAAAATAGTTGGAATAAAAATTGGCATTAATATTTCTTTTAACATTTGCGTGTATATATTTATATTTTCGATTCTATTTTAAGTATTTATTAATAAAAAAGTGTAATATTTTCGTAAATATGTCTGTTGTTGATAGTTTCATAATCTATTAAATATTTACAAACAATACTCTTGCCATGTTGAAATATTCAGGGCGCTTGAAGTATGTAACTTGATAGCTGCATTAATAAAATGTATTAAACAATTACATACATTTATCGATGGTTGAATGGTCACCAAACAAACGTGTAAACATTCCCGCCAATTTTTTATAGAGTAATTAATACCAGAGACTATATTATTTAGTTTTTTTTTTCAATAACGTTTGTTTCATAAAGAACAGGCTAAGGTCAATGATCATACTGCCTAGTCTTCAGTTTTAGTTTAAATATTGCTGTTAATTACACGAAATTAATATCTTCGATTGACAATTATTTATATTTCACATTTCATTGTCTGAATCATAATTCTTTAGTGACTATATTATTTAATCTTCAATCTGGAATGCCAAAAATCTTTCACTACCATAGACTACATTGTTAACTTTTTTTCTCGTGAATGTCAGCGACTCATCAAATATTGATAAAAAAATAATCACTGCTTCCAGCGCCCTGAGCCTAGTTGATATACAATTGTTGTGTTTGTACATGTATACATTAGTAACTGCGTTGTTATAGCATAGATAGTGCACGATAAGAGATCTAAGCTTCGATTGACTTTACGCGAGGGTTGACATATTTAATTTTAATTTCACACGAGTTAAATCTGCATCGTTAAATAATTTGATTCAACGAATTTATATATCCATAATATCGCTCCATAACCCACTGTATATTATTGTTTAAAATGAGTTTAAACCTTTTTATAAGATTGAGAACAGATCGGCTCTCTACTTTGGTGTTTCTAATGACTATTAGTTACTTCTAGCCAAAGTCTAAAAAAAAATTGTCTATGGATTGCAATAATCATTTACAATGGTAAGTAATATGATAAGGTCGCTTGTTCTTTTGTTAAAAAAAAAAACTGTACTACATAAAAAAATTTAAAAAACTACAGAAAGACAAGAAAATGGTATTAAAAATATACAATCATATTTTATCCTATCTAAGGAATGAATTTCTTGAGATTGTAAAAAAATTTGAAATGTTAATTAAAAAAAAATCAAAATGTATCTCATTAAAACTTTTTCAACTTATTCTATCCATTCGTTATTCGCTTACAAGTTTTGCTTAACGTTGAAAGGTAACCTAAAATTGGGAAAATATTGGCAATAAATAAAATAAAAAAAAAAAAAACAAAAAACATTTCCAATAAATTATATATAAAATTCTAAATTATTACTAGAACCTATGAAAATTGATATTTCAATAATATTATTACATATTTGAATTAAAATATGTGTAAAACATAAGCGCTTTCAGTTGAAAGAGAAAATAATGATCAATTTACTTTATTAATATTCAGCAAAAACTTATGGCGGATAATCTTGAAAATAAATTAAAAATAAAAAAAAAATCTTGTCTGAAAAGTTCGAGCACATAACGTCATCTATCGACGACTATTAAAACTATTGAAATAGGCTTGTTTGCAAATACTTATATAAAAGGTCGGCAGCGCACCTGCAATGCCGTTAGTGTTGCGGGTGACCATGGGCGGCGGTAGTCACTTACCATCAGGTGAGCCGCATGCTGATGTCCCGTGTTGTAAAAAAAATATATATATTACACAATTTTACTGTAATTTGGAAAGAGAAAATTTAAAAGAGTTTATTTGAAACTCACCAATTACTCTTTTGTAAATCAATCTACATACCGTTCAAATAAAAAAAATGGGCGTGCATCTATTCGAAATACACTTAGTAAGGACTGCATACACTTAAACCATCTTATTCATAAAAATATGAAGCGACTAGTAAACCTATTTTATATGTTGAAGTGTTCTGCCTTTTTCTTTCGCGCCAATTTCTCAATTTGGTAGAAAGTGACAATAGTATAATTTCTAAAATAGGTTTGTACGTGGTATTAATTTTTATGAGAGGGTCAGTGTTTTCAGATATATCGTCACCTCTACGGCAAATTTACGATCTGCAGTTTTGTCAAATTTGACATTTCTTTAGAAATCTACATTTTGCGCCATACTACTTATTGTGGCTTATTTTCAAATTTCTATCTCTAACGGTTGAAGAAATCGAGTAGCTCGAATCTCCATATTTTTGTGATATACCCAAAGTAAACTTACTTAGCATATTTTTATAGTATTTTCAATAAACACTTTAATTTGAAAATTTTAATAATTATTTTAACAATTTTTCAATCCTAATTTAGTTATTTTACATGAATGATTGCTTTAACGTTGTTATTTAAACTGAAGTTTTCTCCAAAACACGTGATTTATACCTTGGTATATTTACGAAAGTGGCACTTTCGTTAGTTTGCCAGATATTAAAATAAATTATTTTCTTTGGCAACTTACGAAACTGCCACTTTCGTAGATTTGCTGTTGTATAACTCAATACCTAGGAACTCTCATGTATGAAGGTGCAAAGTAACGAATATGCATTTATTTCTGATACTTGTAATATAATAATAATTAATTAAGTGCATTCAATAAAAAACAGGATTTTAAAACTAAAATGCTAGCATGATCGTTTACAGTAGTCTTCTGTCAAAAGTTATTTGCATTCTAATGTTTCAAAAGGTTCCCCTGTAAAATGTATCTTTTTCAATTTCGTAAGTTTACCGTAGAGGTGACGATATTATGTGTGTGCGATTATTTGTGTGAAATCAGACTGTAGTTATTAAACGCCTGCAGCGGTGCCTTCGTCACAAGACTGCCTAGAGGTCCGCATCGTCAATTGTTTATATACACTCCATGTGGACGGTACCCCGACGATTAGAGTGGTATAACACTGGTACAAGTCTGAAGATTAAATAGTCGCTTACAGTGCTGTTTCAGACGTGTTACCTCCCGCGTTCTAGCTGTGGAATAAGCTCCCTGCCGAGGGTTTCCCTAGAGACTACAGTATGGGGTTGTATTTAGGTTTCTTCAAGGTCGACAACACGCACGTGACGCCTCCAACCCTTAAAAGCCTGATTTTTTTAAATAAAAAATATATAAGTGTACCCTTTTACTGTGTTTACTAATGGGGAAAAATAGTAAAAAAATCAAAACGATACATTTTTAATTATTTATTTTAAAAAAAAAAAAAAACGTTTGGTATCATTTTTGATACTCCAGGCATTACGGTAATCAAAATATTTAAATTTATTTATCAATGAAACAATGCAAACGTCGGTATCAAATTTGAAACTTCACGTATTTAAGGGCTAATGTTGCAGGTGACCATAGACTACATTGACTGACTGTAAATGCTTGTTTGCCATTTTTGTGGTATAAAAAAATAACGCCACGTTTACTATAAAACAATACATGTTTATGGTATTGAAGACTGTTTTCCACATGATACTTAGGATGTCAAATAAGTTGACGACCCACCTGATGAAAAGAGTAATAGTTGATGGTGAGATCTCTTTTAAAATGTTTTCAAATAAAAATATAATTTATCTCCGTCCTACTTGTGTTTTTTACATGTAGAAACTTAGTATGAATAAAAAGTATGCAAATTTAGTAATAATCAATACGGTAAACGATTTATTTACAATTCTCATATACGTGTAGTTCGAAACGAGGGTTTTTTTATTAATGGGCGAAAATGGTATGGTAACCCCGCCTGCGCTAACGGGATACGCTGGCGGCGCACCAGTGAAGGGTGATAGATGAGAATGAAAACAGGCCAGTTAGCCCATCATGATGAACTCATCAGGAATTAACCATGATAGTTTCCAGGGGGAACCACGAGGAGGTCAACCTGGTTGGGTATATTGCTAGCAATGGAATTCACAGTCTACAATACTAACAATCCGTTTCCCCCCCGAAACGAGGGTTAAAATTATTCTCAATGGTACTGTCCAAATGGAACGTATCAAAACTGTTTGGTATACAATTATACACAAGTTATGTTCACTGTTTGTAGTTTTATACAATGTAGCTAATAAGTATTGTGACGTATCAGTAAAGATCGATTTAATAGTAGTAATAATTTATACACAATGGGAAAGGCAAAGTAACTAAGCCATACATCCTGGTCTCTAGTAAAATCAGTAACAATTGTTTGTTTACAACGAAAGAGGTAAAGGCACAAAGATATACAACCTTATTCTCAGTAAATAATAGATTAAAAATATAAATAAAAGTGCCAAGGTACTATAAAATTCTACAACATAATTAAATATTGTTTTTGTAAAGTCATTTGTGTAAGTATTCGTTTTTTTTTTTTAATAAGTATGTACTTTTAAATAATATATCAAAATATTTTATATTTTGTTATATTATGCAATAACGATTGTATTTTTTTACATTTTGTTCTCTGTAGACTCGTAATAAAAATATAATATGCTTTAGTGATACGTCACAGTTATGGTAACGCGCAATAATTATAGACAATTTTTACGAAATCCAAAGTATTTAATCTCTTTGTCTATTAATTAGTAGGTCACATTTTTTACATGTGTGTGTATTAAATTTACTCCTGCGAGTGTAACGAATCTCTGTAGTGCCATTGTATAGGCTTGTTTATAGTTCACTACAGCATCGCATGATTTGACTTTTACGATTATAAAATAGAAGCGACATGTACGCGATTGTATAGAGACTATTTAAATTCTCCAATTATGAGAACGTATACGACATGAAATTAGGTTTTTAACATAATATAACGAAAGCCTATTGTCAATTTATCTCGATTATGCTGTTGTGTACACATAACTAAACTTCAGCTTTAGTCTGTAATTATTGGCGGGAAAATATTAAAAAAAAGTTCCCGCCAAATGGACTTTTTTTAATGCACATGACAGTACACTTTTAAGTGACGCTATTTGCGCATAGCTTTACGTTCCTTGTTGCGTACATTTTTATTTTTCGGTTACATATATACTGTCTATAGAATCATGACGTGTGAAGGTAAATAATAAATAGCCTATAGTAATGATGTTGGACACTTGGCTCGAAGTGGTGTATACGTACTTATAAGATAAACTGAATGTTTTCAGTGTTTTTTTTTTCTTACTAAATGTAATTGTTAAGTATATAACTTAGTATTATGATAAAGTGCCCCTTGAGCCGAGTGTATCATCACATCCCATAAATAATTTGACGTTAATTTTAACTATGAAACATAAAAATACATTGCGTAATGTTGTTTCGCATAGTGTGTTTGCTGCGACCATATTTTTATAAGACATTAACATTTTTTTCTAACAAAATAGGTGCGAGGACTAACCGTTTCGGTTGCAATATTAGCTGAACATGTTTTTTTAATTATTTTGTTAAATTCTATCACAGCGAACACGCTGTAGAGTTGCGTTTCCTAAACATTTATGGCCGCAGAATATTCCTTTTTTTTATTAATCCTTATTCCTAATTTCTTTTGATCTAATAAAAAAATAATACATTTTTTGATAACTCGTGCGTGATTATACATGGAAATAAAATTCAACATGGGAGACACGATTTTTAATGTTTGATTAATAAACTTCGTATTCCTTAATTAATTTCTGACATTATTATAATTAATTTTAGTTTTTAAAAAACTAATTTATTAACAGCAATATAGATTAGATTTAAGTTATAGACAATATAGAAGTCTGACTTTTTAATGTTTATTACACAGGGTGCCATTATGTACTTTATTTCAAATATATTAACTAGGAGAGCAATGTTCGATTATAATTAAAAAAAAAAAGAAATTTATTTACCTATTATAAAAGTAAGTACTTGATGAAATCAAAGTTTATTTATAATCGCACATTGCATTTATTTTAAGGATCTGTTTGAAAAATCTCATTTTTATATTTCGTTTACCGATAGCTTGTGCTCATTTTTTATATCTTATCTGTGATACATTTTGTTTGTAAAACGTTCTCTGTATTGAATATTTTGTCTCATAATTTTAATACTTTTAAAATTATGGACTGGTTTCTGTACCTTTAAAAAAAATAAAGATTTTTGTATTGTAGAGAGACCGCTTAATTTATAAGTTAACATTAAAGTTTAGTTTTAGTAATAACAACTGAAGCTCTTTGCGGTCGAATAATATAGTACATACCTATCCATGTACAGATTAGGCTAACAAACTATCGTAACGATTGTTTTTTTTTCTATATCGTATTAATCTATGTATAATTTTTTTTTTTTGCAACTTTCCCGCCTTTTGTAATTTATCTATGATTCAGGTTAATCTATATTTGAAGGCTTTGATTTTAATACCTACTATGTATACTTTATGATTTTATAAGATTACTTATATATTTATATTTTTATGAACCGCATAAGGGCTAAAAAAACGTTAACACATTAATTGCAATAACAACGACTCTCTCCGTCTCCTAGCATTCCACGTGTCTTTTGTAATTGTTTATAAGTACAAATAAATAAAGGATTATATTGATATTTTAAATGTTGTTTATTTTTTTAGTATTCCCTATAATGTTTCTTCATATAAAACTGCATGAATATTTCTGCCCTATTTGCATGGCTATGTTTTCTTATGGATATGTCAATAAAATTATTGGGCGATGGCAGTGCCCCAGCGGGCATAGAGGACAATGGGGCGCATAGGGGAGAAAGGGATTGTTAGTAATAGAGACTCAGAATCCCATTGCTGACAATAGGATTCTGAGGTTGCAACCAGGTCGACCTCCTCGCGGTTCTCCCTGGAAACTATCATGGTTAATTCCTGATGAATTCATCATGATGGGCTAACTGGCCTGTTTTCATTCTCATCTATCACAATTCACTGGTGCCCCGCCAGCGTATACCGTTAGCGCAGGCGGGGTTACCATACCATTTTCAACCATAAAAAAAATGGGGCGCATACACCAGGAAAAAGTTTCATGAAATTTAATTCTTTAATCAAGAGGGTTTTTTTATGGATGACAATGGAATAGCAACTTTGCCCGCGCTATTGGTAGGCGCTGCTGGGAAATGATAGGACGAGGATGAAAGCAGATTTATTGGCTCATCGTGATGACCTCAAAAAGAACTAATCACAATGGTTTCTAGGGGAAACCGTGTAGAGGTCGACTTGACGCTATAATATATATTGCTAGCAATAAGACTTTTAGACCTCCATTATTAACAGTCCCTTATCCCTCTATTAATCTGGGATTTAGTGTACTAATAACCCTGTCGAATCTTTCCGTATCTCCTGTAATTTATTCAAATTCAAATTCAAATTCAAAAATCATTTATTCATGTAGGACATTTTAGCCGCTTATGAACGTCAAATTTTTACATTATAATTTTATTTTTTTCCCTACCGTCCAGTTCGGTATATAGATCCAATTGAGAAGAACTGGCAAGAAACTCAATTGAATTACTTTTTTTTTTTTTTTTTAAAGCCAGTTTATTTACAATGTATATTTATATAGGTGTCTATGTCTAACATTAAATGAAAATTCAGTGCATGAACAACATTTATTGCTTTTAAAAGCGTCATCAGCAGCTTTACCTAGGGGCGCTAACTATGGCCGACTTGCTATTGAAATATATTCTTGTTCAAAATTTGTAACGTAAAGCTATGAACACCAGTGCACTATCTAATGTCAATGGTGACAGCGAGATTTAAACCCTCGGTAGGAAAAACCTATAAATTTTGACCTATTTATTGATTGATATTTCCTAAGTGTCACAAAACCCAAAATGTAGCAATCACATTATTTAATACTAAAATATATTTCTAAAATATCTAACTTTTTTAAACTACTTCCATTGCAGGCCAATCACACCCTTATTTTGTTAGAAAAACTTGCCAGAGGTAATGCAGTCGATCTGGGTTACCATTTCTCTAAACTACTTTATACCTAATATTTTAATTTAACAATTTCGAATTTATTATTTTATGGACTGTTATAAAATAAAATTATAATAAATTGACTTAAATCTATTACAAATTTAGTTCATATTGGTATTTACAATAAATATGTCGCTGTGATATCAAATTGAAATTTTAAGAGATAGGTCTCGAGAAATGACGTCTCTGAATCGACCTCGATTATTAGAGGGGTTACATTAAGACAAATGTTAACCGTAAAATATTTTATTTGAAAACAAATCATAAAACAATGGGGTACAATACAAAATCCGTTGTAACGAATACAATAAATCAAAGTAGAAAATATACAGTTAGTACTCTTCGAAAGAAACTAGCTAACAGTGTGTAAGTATAAATTATATATACGATAATCCAAAATAAAGACAACTACATCATAGATAGGAATACAGTGCAATATTGTCGTCATTGGACATCGAGAGTCAGGCTCATTCACTATGTCACGGTTATATTGTAATTTATATCAGGCACTGGCTACATTTTTTATTGTCATGGATGCAAACCATCTAATGGAAAATGGCTAACATCGCCTATGAACACTACAACACTAAAGGTCGTTACCAGCACGGTGCTGATCTTTTAAAATAAATAATTAACAAAATCGGATTAATGTGGACAAACATCGTTACACAACATGACATATATATTTATTTATTTATTAAAATATTAAAATAAATCTCTTGGCAAAAATAACTGGATGAATATCCATCTTCAAGCTTAAACACCTTACAGATTGGTTCTGAATGAACTTCGGGATCATTTGTCGGGCGGTTGCACCTAAAGTTAGGATTCCATGATATAGTTAACTACAAATTACAATATAGCCGTAACACAGTACGCACCATGTTTGACAGAGTTAAATTTTGTTTATTTTATGAAATGATTTTTTTTTTTTTTACTTTCAGTACCTCTCCAATTCAATAATAGACTGTACAATAAGGTTTCTTGTTTTTATAAAATTCTATCCTATTTTTTTTTTATTTGCATAAAACATAACAATAATTTAACTTTTAATATAATAAAGCGAAACAGTTTTATTTTTTCGCGCCAATCTCTTGAACAACCAATCGGATTTAAAAAAATCTTTTTGTATTCGACAGCTCATTACTTGAGGAAAATTATATTCAACATTACGATACAAAGACAGAAAATACCACAGGATTTTACAAATACCGAGTTTAACTCTCGCCAAACATGGCCAACTTCGGAGCCTATAATTATAGGTTATTAATTACAAGTTAAACTACCAAAGGCCGTAGATTTAAGTAACACAATATCGTTAGAACTCTTGTAAATATTTCTACAAAGTTTACATTACATACGACTATAAAATATATACGTGACGAGTGGTAAATTGTGCACAACGCGATCACAACGGTGAGTATAAATACTGCTACACGGCGGACTTGTTTCGGTAAGCGACCAATAGATAGCAGTGAATTAAGTGGCGGGAAAATGTGTAAAAGAAATGTTAAAAAAATACTTGCAAATTTTGTTTAATTTATTAGATGACAACTTATAATACAAGATTTAGAAAGTAAATTTTTAAATATTAATAAAAGTATACAATTTATTAATATTTAACTATAAAGTATGGGAAAATTTGACTTTTTTTATGATTCGAACCCACATTTATTTGCTATTCGTGCCATTGTGTTTCTATACATATCGTGGAAGGAATCCTATCAGTTGGCAAATTTTCAAACGTCATTACATTTGTAGTACCCGTGGTTTGGAAATTCACGGATGTGAGTTCGAATCCCATGGGATTGAGACGTTGAAAATTAATTTCTAACCTATTATTTATGATTGCCGAAGACAGGCTTACTCGTTTTAAAATATTTTCAAAGCCACCGTGTAGAAGTCGTACTATTTAAAACTTTAAATTTAATAAGTGTATTACAGATCGTGCTATAGAAATGGACGTGCTTGAGTATTCGTGTAAATATTAAAAATGGATTATTATTTATTTTGTGTGTGCTGTAATTGTGTGGGTTCAGTGACACGATGCGATCACGGTCACAGGTCGCATTTTTTTTTAACAAATGTAATTTAGAATTATATTCACAAATTAGTCTCAATATTAAATAAGTTTAAGTTCGTATGATTGATATACAAAAAACTTTAGATTCCCATACAAAATGGGTCTAAATATTTTTTACAAATTCATATAGAATAAAATAGAAAATATTTATTGCCAGAAAAATACATAGTTACAACAGAAAATACAGAAATATTATATATAAGTGACTCATATCAGGCAAAAGGAACTGGTTGAGCTGATGCTGCGAGTGTCCCAGTGCAGTGTGTACAGCTGCACAGCGCTTGTTTACAGCCAGTCCCTCTCTTAACAAATATCAATAAAAATACAAACGGGTACAATTGCAACTACATATTACAAGAATGTATCCTTGACATTCATATTATAAAACTATATTAAAAACTAAAGAAATAAAACTGATCGTCGCCACACGTACTATGAAACCGTGATAGATATCAAATTAAAACTGAATCCAAAATATATTTACGAATGAAATAACAGTTATACAGTTATTAGATTCAGAATACTTACCGGTAAATCGACAAATTTTGCGTTCAGATATCACATTATATACAAAATTTAACAATATTTCACCATGTTTGAAATTAGCGTGAAATAAGTGCAACTCAAATGATGCCATTTGTTTGTATACGCTCTAATTCCTATGACGGTATGTACATCTTGAGTTTTTTGTATATCAATGGTTCATAATGTACACAAAGATTAACAACTGTTAATGCACTAAAACCGACAATCGTTTACTTAATCTGTCCAATTAAAAAAAATGTTTTTAGTTTATATTTACTTTATAATTTTCTGAATTATCTTAAATTTTCCTTATTGGGATTTCCTAATATTTTTTTACTATTTAGTTCTCCAAGTATATGAGTAATTTATAAATTATATAGGAATAAATAAAATTAATTATTTTATTTATATTTTGGCAGGTAATACAGACATTGCCGATGTTATGACATCGCTGTCTTATTACTTATTTCGTTTATCATCAACATGAGCAATTTTTAAGCATTTTGACACAATATCTGAGCTATTTGCAGACAATGTACATTCAATTTGACAGTACAACAATGCGTTTCCTTATATTTGTCTATGGAATTACTGTCAAACGACCATCGCTGCAAAGAATCGCTATAACGCATAAATATTAAAAATAAATGCTATTTAACATCTTAACACTATTATTCTATAGGACGATGTCCTAAAACTTTCTATTTAACATTTATTTTCGTTTCCTTTTTTCTCTCGACTCTCATAAATATAAAATCACCATCGTAAAACAGGCCCGATGTAAAACATATCAAAAAACATACAGGGAACTATAACTACCTAATCTAAAAATCAGGTATACTTGTTAATTTAGACTTAGACATAGTTTCAGACATGTATTTCCCTTAAATACTACGTTTTTGACTAAATAACGAGGCAAATTTAATTTTGAGTTCAGATGAAATATGTTCTATATTGGTGATTGATGATACTATTTCGCGCCAAATTAATAATAGGTATTTATCTCGTTTGCCCCCAAAATATAAATAAGTACAGAGTAGACATAGACAGACGCGTTCCAGAAAAAAAAAATGTTAAAATTTTATAAAATTAACGAATATTTATTTTAAAATAAATGAGATTAGACTTCAAAATTATACTTCGTGATTTTTATAGAGTATTTTGAATCTCCATTAAATAATATTTAGTTTAAAAGCCTATAAATGACGAGCCAAAAAAATACCATCCCAATATTAAATTAGAAACGAACAATCACCAATATACAGATCATACGGAAAGGGTATAGAATTGATAAGGATATTTTTAATCTATAACATAAAATTATTTCTCATTTTTAAATATTTATGGAACATTTAACAAAATAACACTTTCAGTATGATCTTTCCGCGCCATTTTTAATCGATTCCCGCGTTTATTTCGTGAGATCACTGTTCTCAAAAACGTCAAGTAAGCATCAGACATGCAAGTGATATGTGCACTCACTACCTCACTACGCTATGATAGATAGCCCAAAGTGAGCTTTACAAAAACTATGATTTTCAAAAACATGGTCACAAATAATTTTTTTTCTAAAAAGTTACCTTTCATATCAGCACACCGTATTTATGGAAACATTTGAAATTGGCACATTTTTTGTGCATTATTTTCATGCCTAATTTCTTCGAATATCTATCAACTACATAATATATGACCACATTTTGAAAATAGATCTAAAATATATGCTAATAAATGCAAACAATATGACTATAAGCAACATAAAGAGTTTTAATAACGAATCTACAAGAACATACATAAAAGCAACAGATCCGAGCGCTGCTGATGTAGCTACATCCCCTACTGTCGATTACTATCAATATATTAGCACACACGTAAATTCGATTCAGACGCTGGTATCATTTTCCAATTGACGTCACTTTATTGGCCATTTGGAAAGTTTACTGCACACCAGGTTCCTGCCCGGCCATTTGCTGTGTTCATGCAAACACACCCTTATTTTCTGTGTCGTAGATTTCTTTATCGAAAGCAATTGAACCGTTTAACGCGTACGAAAATATAATATTTCAGCAAATAAATTTAAGTGACTCAAAATTACATAAATATTATTTCATGCCTCCTTCCATATGGTATCAAATTAATAACTTTTTATTTAAAAGGTCGCATTCACTAACAACCTTGGATATAGCACCGACTTATAATTTATAAAAATAAGGAGTAAAATAAAAATTATAAAAACTAAGCAGTCATATTAAACGACTAGTAGCAAATTAAAAATATTAATTTGCTTTGAACAAACTTAAGCATAGTTTATATTAAAATCTATTGAAATAATCAAAATCGAGTTTTTTTTTTTAAATTTACATTAGGCAAAGGGGAAATATTCTTCTTCGTATTTTTCTCAGAATGGGTAGTAATAAGTTAATAATAAGTTACAGGTAGATCTATCGTTTGTCCTGATTGTATGACTAATAAAACCAACCAAAAAAAAATTACATTTATTCTGAAGTGCCATTCCCTAAACCAGTGTCTGAAAAACTAAAATTTTAAGTGATCTTCTAAAAATATTATGCCTAGATCCGCTTTTGAAATACTACAGGCTCTAATCTTTATTTCCCTGTAATTTCCAATTAACTCCTTACAGGCAAACGCAGTGAAGGACGACCCCTACAAGATGGGGCGACGACCTCAAATACAATGCAGGGGGTCGATCCGTTCCTTATGGCAGTCTATGGGGAAGGCCTATGTACATTTAACGGCTGAGTTGATGATCCATATGGAGTCTATCTAAGAGAGTATATCTATGTTCATGCGTGCAAAGCAATAAAATTGTTGGTTTACTAAGAAATTTAATAATTGTTAATTTAGCAATGCACGTACTAGGTCAATGTATCGCCCCACCAGTTTTGTATTAATTTCCTATATTTGCATTTAGTATTTGAAAACATTTTTATTTCTTAATTTTGACAGTCATAACCGAGCTATTAGATTTTTTTATACAACTTAGAATGGCAAACAAGCTGACGGTCCACCTGATGGAAAGTGATAACCGTCGCCTATAGACATGAGCAGTACCATGGACATAACAGAGTATACTGTTTCGCCCATGATACCCCCCATGCGTTGCCATTCCTGAGGACTCGGGTGTTATTCCTCTGTACCCAGTAAATTCACGCCATATCCGACCCTTCAAACCGAAACACAGCTATGCAAACACAACTGCTTCACGGTAGAAACACGGACAAAGGTACCCAAGCAATCGATGTACAAAGTCTCCCTCTGTATACATGTCTACCAACCTCGTCGTCTCAATACAATATCGCAACAATCCAATTAAGTCTCACATTTATTTAGAGATCATGGCACTTCAGAATCGATTTCAATAAGTAATTCTATTAAAATTAATTTCCTAGCAATGGGGCCTATTCTGAGACGTTGTTACTCTAAACCTATGTGTAAAATTTCAATTTGATATAACATCGAAATCTTTATTCTAAAAGGACCAATATGAACTAAATTTCTAATAAAGTCCAAATTATTACAAACTTAATTTATGATGGTCCATAAAACAGTAATTTCCCAAAATTATTGAATTAAAATATTAAGAGATAGGTTTAGAGAACTTGGGGGCCTCAAAATCGACCCTAATATAAAAAAAATACTAAATAAACAAATTATCAGTAATCCTACTGATTTAAAAAATATTAAGTAGTTTTTTTTTTTAATATGAACACAAAATGGAAATATTAAAAAAATAAGTATACAACTATGGCGGGACAGCGGATATAACCCTTCTTTGCATGATGTTTTTTTATTGGTGAAATAAATCAAGGTGATATAATTCATGTTCAAAATTAAAGGAAAAATGATTAAAAAAATAAATTTGACAGCTATGTTTTTTTTTTCTGCAATGGACATTAAAAAGGTATCCACACACGATCAACTTAAAGTGTACTTGTTCTTTTATATAATTTTTGGGCATTCAATGTTATAATGGAAATTTCCACCATTATGCAAAGAAGGGTTAGCTCATAATAGATTCTTATTTAATAAGATATTGGGTACAATTTTCGGTCAAACCGGTTCTGGGGATATTTTTTTTTAATTGACTTGGTTCTACAGTGGTACACAGTGTACTGTTACCACCAGATGTTTATTGTCCGGTTTGCCATATAGATGCTAGTTTTAGATCCGAACGATAGGTATTTTTGGCACTTATTATTATTAATTTCAGACTTCACACGCAATGCATACTTTGAAAATATGCCATCATTTATATTTAATCCAAATATTTCTTTTCTAATTAAGATTATATAAATCAAAAGTCTAAAACGTAATCTACGGTAAATATATCAAATAATTTTAAAATAAAAAATTACAATAATAGTAAAAAAAAAATTGTATGGGTAAAAATCTCCCTTCTGTCTTCCGAAAACGCAGGTCAACGGATCTAATTTCGAATACTGATATAAAATCCACGTTTTCGTGTTTTAATGCTAATTCAGCTAATATTCAACTATAACCTACAGAATTAAAATTAACTTTTAGTATTTCAGTCGAAAAGAATCTTGCCAATTGTACTCAGGTGAAATTGGACTAAAACACTATTGCTACAAAGTTCATAATACATTGCATTCAACAATTGAAAGGCTATAAAAACCTATTTAACATACACACAGCAGTTATTGCTAAAATACACACAACATATCATGCGGTAGATATTTTTTTGCGATTCCATTAAGAATATTTATTTATAATGAGAGAATTTGTACATACATACAGACTGTGGCACTGACAAATAGACAAAAATAAACAGGTATTTTTAGTTTGATTTCCTAAAGATGCAACAGAACGATCAATAATTTTATTTTACGCATATTTTTATAAAGCGTTAATTCATTATGAATTTTGTATGCACATTATACCACATAATTCAATAAATGCAGTCATTAAATGTTGTAATCTAAGTGACTTACGACCATCTAGTCTACGATCATATTCCGTCACGTATAGTTCGTTTAAAAATCAAACGATTAAGCTTAGATATTATCTTAACTTCCTGCACTTATTGCTTTGAGAATGTTGATCGCTCTGTCCCACCAAGTACAGTCGTGTTTACTTTAAAATTTATAATCCCATATTATTGAAACGCTAGCTTATTTCATTAAATATCTCACTCAAAATGGAGATCAAACGTATGAAGGTATAAAGGTATCGTGCTAACGCTGTGCTCGTAGATATAATTAAAACTAGATGTAGTTATTTCTAAACATTGGCACATCATATTCGTATTTCTATCAGTTACGACTTAGGTACACGATGTCCTTCTACGGGTTGGGGCACTATGTTGAGCTATTTCTTAGTATGTATGTTTATCATACTTCATTTGACCTCTCATGTCTTTTTGACAAATGTATATTGGATAGAATAAGATTAATTTTGTAATTTTAATAAAGGAAAACTCAAGTAATTTCTTTCGTTTAAGTTTTCCAATGATAAATTATTTCAAATTAGGTGCCGTGACCAAGGTTCCTATATTAATGGTAGACATGAGGGGCAGTTAAGTAGTGAAGTTCAACGCGGCGGGGAAGCAGCCGCCAGCCTCTGCCTTAGACGCGCAAACTTGCCGTGAACGAGACGTAATTGAGCGCGTAGCCGCGAAGAGAGCTCCCTCTGGAGGGCTTGTACCTCTACTAGCTCACGACGTAACTGCTGGTAGTCGGAACGTACCTGGAGAAAGTAGTCATTGGTGGATACGAGTATAATACATTAAAATCAAGCAGAAAAAAATGAACTGTGGAGATGAAATATTAACGGAGCATTTCTACAATTTCTATTATAAGCATAAAACTATGGTAATTTATGGGATTACTTAAAAGTACAATAATATCCTTGAGTTGCGTAATGGTATTTCCATGGAAATTCCCATAAGAACGGATAATAATGGAAGCAAAGGGACCCAAAGCAACAAGAAACAGCTAATTTAAATAGTACTAGCGACCCGCCCCGGCTTCGCACGGGTGCGCATTACATCATATCACATTAGAATTCTCTAAAATTATCAGTATTTCTCTACTATATTATGAATGTATTATACATATAAACCTTCCTTTTGAATCACTCTATCTATTAAAAATAGTCGTACCAAAATGTATTGCGTAGAGATCTAAGCATACATAGGGACAGACAGACGAGAAACGACTTTGTTTTATACTATGTGTGTGATATATGTGGTGATATTGATGTATGAACTCCTACGATAGAAGTAAGTTAAGAATTAAAATATTTTTATTTTAAACTGACACAGTTCGAACGTAAAGGATTTGTTTCTAATGAATAATCGGGTCCTTGTTAAGGTCTTCCATCATTAATTCAGTCTACCATGAATTCTAGATGATATAATGTACTATTCAGATATCTATAATGACATTATAACAATTTTATTAATAATCACCATTTCAAATAAAATATGAAATATTTGAGAGAGAAAACATGAAATAAATATCTCAAAACATTGATATACCAGCCAACAATAAATTAGAAATGGTTAAAACTGAGAAATGCTCCGTTTATAAAAAAGAGAAAAATACCTACTTATATATAATAACTGAATTGAGACTCACACAGCTAATGGACTATTGTTATTAGATCTTTTACATTATTTATAAATGATATTTTCTATTTATACTGTGTCAATAATACTACTAATCGTATGAAGACGGCGGTCATTAATTCCTTTAGACCATATTAATGGTACACGCGCCTCTATGACCTTCAAAAATCAAGTGGAAAAAAAAAATTAACACCCGACATAAAAAGATGTTAACCTTTCTTTGCATGATTTTTTTATTGGTGAAATAAATCAAGGTGATATAATTCATGTTCAAAATTAAAGGAAAAATGGTTAAAAAAAATAAATTTGACAGCTGTTTATTTTTCTGCAATGGACATGTAAACTTGTTCTTTTATATAATTTTTGGGCATTCAATGTTATGATGGAAATTTCCAAAATTATGCAAAGAAAGTTTAACAAGTTTGAACATAGATATGTTAGTTTCATCTGTGGCATCGTAACTCCAAATTTAAATACTTCAATTTTTTTTTTATATTAAGACTGGTTTATTTGGAACATGTCCTAATTATATTTAATGAAAAACTGTTTGGTGTGTCAACTTTCAATTTATAATTTAACACTTCTTATATTATTTAAATATGAGTTTGAACAATTCCAAAACCTGAATTGGAACGTTATGATCCATACACGATTAGCAGTAGTACTGAACGTTTTAGAACTGGCTGATCTTTTAGCATGCAAATAACGAGAATTTGTGATCACACAATGTGACACGGTGTACACCGTGTCTGAAGTATCATATGTGTAGATATGTTAATAAATATATGTGTAAGAAGAGGGATCAAAGAGGAACGTAAATGGAAGCCTATAAAACACAATTATATAAATATATACCACAAAACAATAGCCTCATAGCCGTTTCACTGTCGAATAGTCGCCGCGCGGTGTTCTGATACATGTTTATATTATTTTTATATAATATATATAAATTTATATATCTATATTATATGTTGCATACGTATATATGGGCAATAAAAAGACTATTATTATTTTTTATAAAAATCAAACGATGTTTACTGGAACCAAGACAATTAACTAGATCCTTCATAAGATTACAATAGTAAACTTATTATAGATACAAACAATTATAAGAAGTATTTACATAACTAGTAACCTATTGAGTTGTGTGTGTATCGTGTAGTAACTCCGTGTGGTCCCGGCATAGAATAGACCACCCCATCCTTTCTCGTGGGTGTCGTAAGAGGCGATTAAGAGACGTCCCTCTTAAATCATCTCTAAAGCCCAACTGCGATTGCTAATCCGCCTGCCAAGCGTGGCAATTACTGACAAAAGCCCTCAAGGGGGAGGCTTCTGTTCAGCAGTGGACAGTTAAAGGCTGATGTGCTGATAATGATGATTATTGTTTTGGTTCCAGTAAATATCACCTTTTTTATTTTTTTTAAATATTGCCTAATCGTATAAAAATACACCCATATCAAATTTATTGACATTACTATTTACTTATTTTAAATAGACAATCGAGAGTTAAACTTTTTTTTTTATTCTTATAAGCAATCGGCGACTGGTCGTCAGTGTGTGGTCACAGTAGCACTCCCGCAATGCATATAATTAAGCCTTTTGATGAAGCAACACTGGCCCTGTTCAGAGGGCTTTATTGGGCTTAAATTTGTACCACATTTAAGCCTGATTTCAGCTAATATCAACAAGCATGATAGATTACAGCTGGTCATTTTTCAATTATTACAATATTATTTTTATTTTTTATTATAATTAAATTGAAAATAACTTTTTTAACAAAATAATAATTAACTGTCCAATAACAAAATTTTCCATAATGTAAAATTAAAAATATGCACTCAACTGTATAATTAGGAAAAAGAGTTGTTAGTACAATATTTGAACTAAGCCATAGATTATTGATATAAAAAAAAACAAAAGTATATATATATATATATATATATATATATATATATATATATAAGAAAAGAAAAGAGAAAATATATAGCATTATATTTTTTTCAAGTAAATGAGAAATCACAAGCTGTAAGCAACATGACAATGGGTACACTAGTATATTTCTGACCTTTTTTTCAACACAATTACGCAAGGGGCTGAAAAATAAACATTAATATTTTTTTAAAGGTTCAAACTGTAGGCATGTTAGTAACCATTGTGTGTCTAAAAATTTAATTACATATACAGGTTAGACAGAAAGGGTATATGAACCTGAAACCCAGAGACAGTGTCCAGAGAATTTAATATGTTCCATTTATGGGCAATTGCAAAACAGCTATACTCTTTACATAACATCTGTTCTTGTTTTTTGGTAAATAAATAGCTAAAATTGCTTATATAATATTATGGAAATTACACAATATCTAGAATATAATAAGACTATAATAAACTTTACCCTTACTAATATACTAAGAAGGGGGGGGGGGGAGGGGGAGGGGCGGATTGTTACTAATTGAGATGTTAATCCCCATTCATAGCAATATACCCTATCAGATCGACCTCCACGCAGTTCCCCTTGGAAACCACCCTGACTAATTATTGGCAAATTCGTCGTGAAGAGCCGACTGACTTGACTTTATCCTCACCTATTATCCCTCACTGGTGTTCCGCCAGCGTATACCGTTAGCGCAGGCGGGGTTACCATTTCATTATTATTCATTAAAAAAATATAATAAACATATAACTTAGTCGATGTTTACACATTGGAGATATCTTGGAAATAATTACAAATGGGATTTTAATAAGAACAATAGAAGCAAAAACAATAATTATTGATAATAAATGGTAATTTGAAGCATAGAATTTACTTATTATTTGACAATCACAAGTAATGTTTTGCTTTTAGTCACATATTCAACTAAATTAAGGCTGAGTCTAGTCATAGATGTCGTTGCACTTAGTGACACGTATTGTTAAAGTTTACAAAATATATACATTTTATATTGAGCTATTATTTAAATAAATATTACAAGTTAGTTACTTCTACAATGTTATTAAAGTCTTTTTACTAATAAATTAATAAAATATTAGTATTGTTATTAATAATATTTTAAGTAGAAGTGCTATTTGATTTTTTTTTATACAACTTAAAATGGCAAACAAGCTGACGGCCCACCTGATGGAAAGTGGTAACCGTCGCCTATAGACATGAGCAGTACCATGGACATAATAGAGTATACTGTTTCACACATGATACCCCCCATGCGTTGCCATTCCTGAGGACTCAAATGTTATTCCTCTGTACCTTGTAAATTCATGCCATATTCCACCCTTTAAACCGAAACACATCCATGCAAACACAACTGTTTCACGGTTGAAACACGAATGGGACAGAGGTGCCCAAGCAATCGACTTTTGTACAAAGTCTCCCTCTGGTAAATGTGATGATGTACTGATGTGGTAAATTTGTTTGAATGTAAATCACTGATTATTAAAGAAAAATTATACACTGATATTATACTGAATTACTTGATGCCTTGTGGTATGTAGCATTATTTTTTAGATTAAAGTATTAAAGCATATATGAAGCAATATTGATATTAATATAATTTGAATTTAAATATATTAATAAGAGAAAAATAAAATAAAAAATACAATTGCAATTCTGGAGGGGCAGTCAGAAACAGTAGGGAATTATTCCCATTCTGGTAAACATAAATCTTTACATTGTAAAACATACATACATACATATCTGTCACGCCTGTCTCCCATTAGGGTAGACAGAAACAATGGAACACCAAATGCTCCAATTTAAACAAGCCTCTATCTCTTCCTCCACATTCATCAAACTTTTCATACACTCTTGCCAGTTATGAGTACTTTTAATTTGGCCTTTCTTCAGCATGTCACCTATTTGGTTAACTTATGTCCATCTAGGGCGGCCCCTACTGATATCTCCACTCATTCTTGCTTGATAAATCTCTTTTGTAAATCTTCTTTCATCCATCCTTTCCAAATGGCCAAATCAATGCAACATTCTCTTTTCCAGTTTTGTCACTACATCGTCTTTGAGTCTATACTACTCTCTAATCACATTATTGAACAAATTTCAGTATAATGTGACAAGATTTCCATTTTGGAGTAATTAAATTTATTTATAGTGTTAACAGTTTAAAAAATAGTCACTGATACTAATGCTATAGAAATAAATACTTTCTCTTTGTATTGACAAGTAATATTTATAAAGAATAAAATTGAATTAATTAGAATTCTTTGAAGGAAGTGTTGTACCCCGTCTTTAAAACAAGCATTAGTATTCATTAATGGGGCCTAAAAAAAATACTTTCCTTGAATTTTTTTATATTAGGTACTAAAAACTAAAAAGTAAATTAAAATTCTCGAAACATAGAAAACAGGTATTTGTAGCAAGTGCACTACACAGTACAAGGTATGTACATACCTGTCATTATGGTTGTACTTGATTTCAAAAATTTTAATTCATTTTTACTTTTTGGCAATATAAAATAAAATCTATTTATGTTATTCTTTTACATTAATTACACATTATTACATGTAGTTCCTCAAGCCAATTTAAATTGCATTATTAAAATAATATTTTGTCATGCATTTGGCATTCTATTATTTCTGCCTACCCTAATGGGAGACAGGCGTGACAGATATGTATGTATGTAAAAAAGTAGGAAAAAAAATTAAAACCCTATTAATACTAAAACTAGTTTTAAAGAATGGATTACATACACATACTGTATATTAAATACAATACAAATTAATTTCATTGAACTAGCCTTGTTTACAAGTTCTATTAAATCTGTTTTTTTTTTATGATAATATATTATTATTTAAATACAAAGTTATAACAACATTATGTAAATGTGTGTTAGCAGAGTGTGGTATCACCTCAGAGACAGATTTGAGTAGGTTGATGACACAAAGGTCCTGAGTGTTGACCGGTTCCACCAAGTCTCTCTCCACATTGTCCATTTTCCACTCCATCAGGTCTAGCTGTTCATCTGTACGCTTCACCTGGCATTTATTAGAAATATAATTTAATTATTTATATATCAAGAAACTTACTGCTAAAGTAACATAATTAGTAAATAAGCTGACAGAAACCATTAGCATATTTTTAAAGGAATTTGATCAGTGTATTTGGGCCTTTTTCTTAAATGAACATAGATAAAGAAAAGTAAGAGAATCATTTAGAATTTCCTATACAAACTACCTAGTTGGATGGTCATAGACATGGTCTATGTTAATATGGTATAATCAAAATTTTATATTGTTTTCGGGGCTTTTGAAAAAATGTTAAATTTTACTGGTATAATACTTCTTTAAAAGGATACTAAAGTATTAAATTTCTTACTCTATATAATATAAAAAAATAATTAAAATACATTTATCATATGGAACTCATCACATAATCATTCATTACATCTTTAAATCAACAAATACATTGACAGATCTATTAACTCAGAATCAAAATATATATAATTATAATTTAACTAAGAGTTATTCAAAAATAATTAAAATAAATTAATAAATAACATACAAATGTACTTATTGTTAAATTTATTGTAACTGGCAACAGAACAGACTCAACAGGAATTTAACTATATTGGAAATGGATTATAAGATATAAGTTTTAAATTGGCATAATTCTAATTACTATTATAAGTAGAAGCAATAATTTATGTGCACAATTATTTTAGACTAATTACACATTACTATATATAGTTCCTCAAACCATTTTGTGTCAGCAAAATAATATTTTGTTATGTCATATGGAAATGAAATATTTTTTTATGGTACAAAATCTTGAAATATTCTTAACTGATGCTTTTTTATTTGTTAAGCATGTATTGTTCAACAAATTAAGTTGAAAATCATAAATTATTCATTGTAACTAAACAATTTATATATATATTTATCAAAAGGTCATGCAGTCACTGACTATCTATTCTGCTATAATTAGCAATGAGATACTAAAATAATCCCATAGACATTCCATACGCCCATTCACAGATAAATAATAAGTGACCTTTTACAAATTACTTCTTCAATCTAATCTAGTATTCTAGACGGTACTTAGCAAGGGTTGAATGGCAGAATCAGGGCTTATTGCTTCATACAATATCTACATATTATAATAGTTTATTATTTATAGCGGAAGCGGCGCTCTGACCCAAATTCAAGACCCGCTACATACCGTGACCGTATTGCCTTCGAAACATTAAATGTAATAATCTAACATACCGTCTCTTCTAGATCCTCTAATGTAATTTCCTTATCAGTCATATTTTCAGATTACTAATGATTTTATGTTAGAAATTTAATAAAAATATTACAACTATAGGAAAACGACCATTTCCTTCCTCATTTACTGAAACAAATGTTTATTTTTTTTTTTTTTTTTAATTTATGCTGCCTAGTCTTCAAAAAGATAATTTGTCTGGAATACAAATGTTTAATTTATAAATATCAGTATGTTGTCAATTTTAGTTTGTCAACTGTCAGCGTAATTGACATTGACATATGTCAATGTCTATTGCGTTTTGATTATACCATTTTTTTAATTATTACGTTACGTATCTTTCAATGTATACTTACATAAAGACTTAAGATTACAATACAGGACAAAACTTTAAATACAAAAGAATTTAAAAGAACCTATATTAATTAAAAAATGTATAGATCAAATGTCCTATATGATCTGAATAATATATACTAGAATGATTAAATGCTAAAAAAAACTACTAAAAACGGGCAAAGTTACAATCTATGAATAATAACTAAATTCAATGCATAAAGCCAAAGGGTTCCCAAACTTATATTTTGTCTACTGCCCACTTTGAGAATTAATTATTTTTTAGCGATCTCTTTTTTTTTCACCTACTTAAAAACCACTATTATTTCAAGATCAACAAACCACCCCCCAAGCCTCTACAAAACGCTCTACATTTTTTTGGGTCTCTTATCGCCCCCCTTTAGGCCTGCAGTGCCCACAAGGGGGCGTTATCGCTCACTTTGGGAAAGGCTGGCATAAAGATATAGATAACTAAAGGATTTTCTAAAATTGCTACATATACAATGAAGACATAATTAGCTCAAAAAGCAAATTGCAAAATACTTATGTAAATTGCAACAGGTAACAATAGGTAACAGGTAGTCGGCCCCTTTTATAACGTAGTAACCACCACTTATAGACATAAACTGTAACGATAACATGAATGGAGCTTAAACTTTAAATTAAATTTTATAAGATGTAAATATCTATTAGTTGTTGGATATTTCCAATTTCCAGGAGAATGGACAACAACGGATTCACATGGGGTCTCAATGGGAAATAGGCAATACAGGTCAGTGGATAATACACAAATAAAATCAAGGATTATTTTATAATTATATACATTTATTTCCTGTCTTTATACACTAAAGACATCGAGACAAGAATATGAGACGGTGCGATGGACACCGTACCTGCATTTAGTATGAACAATCAATAGTGTTTATTAGCTTAGAGTATCGCATAGTATTAACAGACTTTATATTTTCATTGTGTATTCTACGTAAACATGATAACACCACAATTAAATTATAAAAGCTATGTTTTTTTTTTTCAAAATAATCTGTCAATATCTGTTTTATGTACTAACACCTAACATAATTAACAGTTGTATCAATTCTGATGCGATCACAGAATTCAGATAGATGGTAGACTAGACAAGTCAGACGATTCTAAAATGTGGTATCATCAAATAGAAATGTGGCATTACTGTTCTCATAATTTTACAGTGAGGGTTTCTTTTGGTGAATATTGTTATTCATACCTAAACAACTTGTGTGTATTATTTATTAGTATTTACTAAATATATAAATAAAAAAAAAACAACTGTAACTGTAATAAATAGATAGATAATTTGCATTATTTACAGTACACAAACAACAAACGACACAGATAAATATGCATAGAGAGAAAGAGAGAAATAGTAAGATAAAGACAGAAAGAGTAAGAGAATATAAAAAGGGGAAATTCCATAAAAGCAATTTCTTTTTCTTTTTGAATAAAATAAAATAAATTAACCTGATAAAGTTATTACGTTGTTGTATTAGGCATGTTACGTTGCTAATCCTGACCACAGAAACTATGATTACCTAATGGTGTTTATGACTGGACTTGCTCGACGTCACATCAGAATCCGGTCCACTGTTTACTCTATTCAATGCTTAATATAATAACTAGTCCCTATAAAATTTACATATGAATTGCAACTGAATTGGATACAACTGGCTGTACTAATCTAAAACACTATGGTTTCTGGTATTTTTTTTTATCAATTAAAAACAACGAGACCATAAACAATTTTTTTTTAAATAAAAAAACGGAAGTACATACAAGACATTTTAAATAAATATATTTTTTTTTCTTGTAAGACACATGTGTAGTAATGTAACTAAAGTAAATCTATTGATATTCATAAATATGGAGGTGTTATTATGTCCACATTTATATATAAACCATATAGCTGAGCGTATTTCTTACAATATTTGCTCTAGGAGTTAGCTACGGGCAGATAATGTATTATTATTATTTATTTATAGCTTTATTGTTAATTTGCTAAGTATCAGGAGATATTAACAGATTGATAAAGATAATTATTTAAGTACCTATTTTATAACTAAACTAAACATTAAAAATCCGACGAAAATCTTGAAATAAGTTCAGATCGAATTTTTGGCTAACATTTTCAACATACTAATGCGTTAATACTCGCAGACCAGAGTCGACTTGTACGACACATGTAGTTTGAATTGACCCATCGCGTTCTAATTCCAAATTGCTAAGTTGACAACTAAACCCATAGTTTTAATTTAAAAACATTCTTTTTTTTTTTAATTTTATATCTGTGAATAAAAGATCAAATATTTCAATATACGAGCAAAAGAGTGGATTGAGTATTAAGTGTTTTAGATTGGCACAGTTGTACATGCGCCACCTCGGTGCCCGCGGCCTGCGGCCCGCAGTCATATTGCACTCCCTTATAACACGTATAACATACAATAACATCGCTTAAAATCGATACACATACAATATCGTACTAATTTATAAATTATGTTACACAGGTAAACAGTTGAAATCGATATAATTAAAATAATAATAATAATAATAAAAAATTCATCTATAACTTGATATAACACTAGATATTTGTACAAAAATTAAAATTCGATTCGTATACGTATACATCGTGCCCGAAGCTGAATATTTGAAGTGTTGACATTGAAACTAATAAAAAAAAAACTGACGTATAATATAGTTGGTTGTGTATTACTTAAAAATATGCCGTATGCAGTGTACATAAAGTTTACTTTGAGTAGACTTAAATTAACGTACATGTCGTTGATCACAAAACCGAACGTCGTGTCTGAACATTAGAGAAATAAAAAGACTACCATAGATAAATCTAATTTGCATATTATTTTTATTTGCTTGATATCATCTTTTCATGTATCTTTATTTCTCTACACGACGTGGTAACAAACACCGCGTTTCCACCCAGGCTTTTTACATACAACATGTATTTACATGTGCAAATCAACCAGCTGGTTTACATCAAAATATACCATTATTTTTATACATGTTTAAGACAATATTTCGCGTATCTTTCAAATCAAGATCAAGACAGCACGTATTTTGTTTTTATAAATACCGGTACAAAAAATACGTCATAAACAAGTATAAAACATTACATGCACAAGGCATGTTTTCTACAAGTCTCGCACAGAACATGTGTGTGGGTGGAAACAAGGTGTTAGTAATAATATCACAAAAGTCAACGACGCTCAGTAGCTAACTATAGAAAAATCAGTCGTACCGCATTGCTTCGCCCGTAATTGACTACGTTCGAGAGCCGCCGTCGTAAGGCCATTCCTCGCCTCCCGCCTCCCAGCCGGTGGTCAGAGCGTACCGGCTACACGTAAATAAAGAGATAGAGGAACTGTGAGTGGGGTCCGCGCTAAACTAGACTTAATTACTAAACATGTAGGGTTCATTTGAGCGTGTCCGGCTGTTCGAAGTTTTGCTCGGTGACGGACACGGCGTCCGACGAGAGCGTCTCCTTCAGTGGGTCCACACAATTCTTTGGAATCATCGTGCCTGCGGAACAGGACAAAAAATGTATAATTAGTAACATGTATGAGCTTGTCTTGTGTATTAATAGTTGTTTACTAAGTTATTTTCGGGTTCTTCTCGCGAGATAAAAAATATATTTAATTCAGCGTTGGAACCATCAATTCTATTTATACGGATATTAAAAAGAGGAAAGATTTCATAGTTTGTTTGCAATTAATAAACTCAAAAGCTACTCAACTGGTTTTAAAAATTCTTTCAGATTCTTTATTTGTATTAAACATGGGTTATATTAGTTATTCAGTTGTGTACGCTTTGAGCCACATGTTTCATCAAAATACTGGTATGTAATATTTATTAAAATACTTATAACTTGGCCATTTTATACATATATTGGTATGTAAAAAAATATATTTATCATCAGAGAAAATTAATCGTTAACACTTGAACAATAGATACACGATTAGTTTAACAATTGCTAGGGGAGCGCTTATCTCTAAAAGAGATCTTAGCCAACCCAGTGTAGTTAGAGAGAAAATAAAATATTGCAATTGATCAATCGTTACCTTACTTTTTTATATACATATACTATTTAAATATATATTAATTAATTAATTAATTGAGAGGCAAAAGTTAGACATTCCAGCAAGTTACCTCTATGTTCCATTTGTCTGCTAGATAGACTGTCATATCTGTCTGTTTACTGTATATCTGTCTATTTATTGTGCAGATAATCTGTAGTATTGTTTTATTGATATTCCCTTTGGCCGCAACAGAATATCAGTGCTTTGCTCTTTTGAGAGAGAGAATTAAACTGAGTTGTGACCATTTTGTATTGCTATGGCACACTCACAAACGAAAATTGTATTTAGCTTTGTGTATTTTTTTTTATCATTTATGTTATCTCGCCTTTTTTTTCTTTTTTTTTTGTATATGTATGTTGTAATTTGTGTGCAAATAAATTATGTATCTATCTATCTATATTCTTTTTAATTGCCATTCCATCTTGTAGCTTTTTATAAGCTACATTATTAGCAAGAAATGAGGCTATATTTATTTTCAAAATTTCTGTCGGAACTGGGCTCCTAAATAGGTTAATATAATAATCTGTGTTAATGTGAAAGATTCAATTGTCTTTGTATATTTATGTGTGTGGTGCAATAAAGAGTTGAACAAATAAGCGGGGCCCCAAATAAGTAGTAGCGGTACGCACCGACGATCTTGAGGCCGCGGTCGGTCTTGATGCGCACGACCTGCATCTTGTTGAGCGCCGAGCGCGCGGCCAGCACGGCCTCCACGCGCGCCCACACGGCCAGCACCGACCCCGCCAGCACGTGGTACGTGCGCCGCCGCAGCCCCACCTGCACCACCATACGCTAACTGACCACGCCCTCTAACTCTAACTCTAACTCTAACTCATTCTATCTCACGGACTCGCTAGCGATATCGATTCCATCGACCAATTCGCTCGCCACTTGTCTAAGAGGGCCTGATTTTTCATCCTCACCTATCATCCCTCACCGTTCTTGACAAGTGAAAAGACAACCATAGTTAGGTTTTGGTGATGTTTAAAGAGGGACACTGCTGCCCATTCCTCGACCAATAAGTTTTTTTTAGTCATCTCTCACGACACCCATGGGAAGGAATGACACATGTAGCACTTTTAGTACTTGGTTTTGTAACAGTTGCCATGCTTTTAGTTAAATCAACAATTCTACATTCTGCTTCGTTCTTTATATTTCTAATTATAATTAGGGTTGCCATCCGTCTGGGTTTCCCCGAATTTGTCCTAGTTTAGAGGGCATCTGGGGAGTGCCCGGGCGGGAATAGTCTTGATTTAAAAATTTAAAGTAAAAAAAAGTAAAAATTAATAAAAACGTAATGACATTTTCAACTGTTTTTTATTGCAATGACTATGTTTAAAAAAACCTGTTGATATGTTCGAGTCCTGGGCTTTAAAATCCGGGGTTTGCACGCGTCTTCTCCTTGTTGCCAAATTTTAGAGATGGCAACCTTGATTATAATTAATAATTTTAAAATATTGTAAACTTTACAAATATATATTGTATCTCTGTTTTATTACAGGTCTCCTAATAGAATGAAACATTGAATATTGCTATATCATAAACTCACTAGTGACAACTATTTCATCGATAGATTTAGTTTACCACTTGTCTATGATTCTTTTTTTTTAACGAGTGAAAATGGAATTGTAACCCCGCCTACGCTATCTGTATACACTGTCGGGGCACCAATGATAGGTGAAAATGAAAGCAGGTCAATTTGCTCATCGTGAAGAATTTAACAAGAATTAATCACGATGGTTTCCAGGGGGAACCGCGTGGAGGTCGACTTGATAGGGTATACTGCTAACAATGGGGTTGTTAGTACCTATTTCTAACAATCTCTTTCCCCCATATCTATGGTTCTAGATCGTTTACTGGTGGCATACGCTGTGCTATCGTTAATAGAGTCGCTTGTGCAGCGGTACCTCGCATTCGGCGGCGCCGCGGCAGGCGCCGCGCCAGTAGGCGTGGCTGCAGACGCGCAGCGAGGCCGAGTACTGGCCGCGCCACCACGACTCCGCCTCGCTGCTCTCCACCTTCTTGTACTTCTTCTCGATCTCCGCCAGCGACTCCAGCCGCAGCTGCAGCCCCGTGTTCGGCCTGCCGGCGAAGCGGGACGGTTCTAAACAAACTCTCACGCACAAGGTGTCCTACCACGTGGTACGAGGACAGAACCCCACAACATGAACTAATTCAGAAAATTTCCATTCTTGTATTGGTAAACGCAAGAGCAAACAAAGTATGTCAGTTGTATTGTATTGTAAAATCTTTATTGTATATAATTCATACTGAATACATTAAAAGATTATCCCATAAATGGATCTCTTACAACCTTTGAGAAGCTGAAAGAAAACTGTAGAATGTACAAGGGTAATAACCGTTGTAATTTATGATCCCTCGAGCCGGATATTTATAATCAAAATATTAATATACCAACGTATGTAATTGTTACATTAGCTATCTTTCGCGTATGTATTATACAAGTTATGGTCCTTCGAGCCATATAAATAAGATACATACAACTAAGAAATTGAAGAAGCCTACCTATACAGCTGAAACATCTGTTCCTTCTTGGAGAGCTTCTCCTTTTTATGGGGGTTGGTGTGCGCGGCGAGGCACAGCACGGCGGTGTACTTGTTGTTACGCGCCGCCTGCGACAGGTAGAATCCGTCCTTTGGTCCCGTTGCGCTCGAACACTTCTCCAGCGCCTCCATCCACTCCATGCCGCGCTGGAATATGACATATGCGGTTATCATATGTAGTATATTCAACTTATTATTTCTACCAAAAACTCTTGTCAAAAGACAAGTTTGTGAGATGTATTTTAGTAAAAACAATTGATGTGATATTTTACACAAAAAAAAAAAAACATGTTTTATAAATATATGTGTAATAAGAAGTGTATGCAGCGCATGATCTCTTAGAAGTTCGTAATGTGTGTATTAGGGGTCCGTAGGAAGTCAGATAATAGTAAAAATACTTATTAATTGTGTAGTAAACTCGACGAGACGCATCGTCGTCGTCGTCAGGCGGCAATTTTAATAAAATCTATTGAAACTACCAATAATAGTATTTTTTTAAATACAAAGCATTTTTTCTTTGTTAAATCTTAGGACCGAACAGAAATGTTTTTTTGACAGCGAGGACTCGTGGGATTGTGTAAATGGTGAAAGTGGTACCTCCGAGTGCACGGTGTGCAGCTCGACGGGCGCGCGGCCGGTGGCGTGGCGGCGCACGAAGCGCACGCAGCGCACGCGCCGCACGAGCTCGCCCGCGCTGCCCAGGTCCAGGATGCCCAGGTCGAACCGCCCGCTGCGCTTCGCTGACAACCACACGGCACACGTACAACGACCACGCTCAACGCACACTAACTGTACACATGTTTGTAGGCAAATGTTCTAACATATCGTTACACGGAGATATTTCTGATGTTCGAAAAATATACTAGATTATGAAATATAGTACATTACTGCAGCGGCCAGCAACTAAGGCATTGATGGACGAACGTGCAAATGTGGGCCGAGACGTAGCCGAGGCACACATACGTGAGTCCATCAATGCCTAGTTGTGGCCAAGACTTATACAGTGCTTTTCCCAAACAATGCGCGGAAATCAAAAACACAATTTTACTTTCTAAGAAGCTAAAATAAACAGGTTTCTTTTTGCAAGCCAGTTCGAAATTTAAATAAAACCTTGTATTAGTTACCTCCTTGGTAGCCATGTTTCGAAGTAAAAGGCCATTCCATTTTTAAATTACAGGACCAATATGAGTTTACATAGTAATTTATCTGGCCGCAAAACACGACAGATATGGATTTTCATACAACTTTTGCCGACCGCTTCCCGCATGTATCTGGCCAGTACGGCAATTTTGATTTATCTCGAAGAAATTAATTTTTCAAACATACTTGAAAATGTGAGCATTATTTTGACAATTTTCTTGTCTTGTGTAGGTTTATAAAGCCTACCAAATCTATCATAGTAGTATCGATCAAATTAATAAAATTATATATATTACCTTGCTCCATGACAGCCGTGAGTGTGTCCGTGAAATATTTGAAGAGTCTATTTTGCAGATCTACTGGCATGCCTAATATCCTGTTCAGGAATTTTGACATATTGTTGTAATCCTGTGAACCAAAATAAAACAAATACATTATCTAGCCTCACACAGTCTCAGGACTTTGGAATAATTGTTATGTTCATGGTGCTGCTCATGTCTATAGGCGACGGTTACCACTTTCCATCAGGTGGGCCGTCAGCTTGTTTGCCATTCTAAGTTGAAAAAAAAAAAAAAAAAAAATAAGAGAATCCAAGGAAGGAATAAGGTGCCACAGATCTACCTTCAGATACCTCCACATTGAATAACATAATATAAAAGCTTTACTTAAATATTATATGTAAGTTTTCTGTTATTCATTTGTGCATGAATAGGGATACCAGAAAGCCTAGTTACTTTTCAGTAAGCGTTAGATATGTATATGGTAAGGCTAAATAAAAAAAAAATACATTTTTTTTTTCGTTAATAATAGAAAAAAAATAAAACAAGGCAAATAGAGCATACTAATTCACAATTATGTCATTTTCACTGATTAATTTGGATCGATATCTGAGATGGATTTTAAAATATGAAACAATTATCAGAATCGTTAAAAGTGCTTGTCATTTTAACAGGACGTACATACATTAATTTGTACAAATTAATATTACATGAAACGTTAGTTTTCGACTAAAATAAAAAAAAAAAAAACACCTAATTTGGGGAATTTTTAATGGAATTACAATAAAAAAGTGGCAGGCTTCGTTTTGTTTGACATTCGTTTTCACCGACTGAATTTTAGCGCGTTTCTGATATTAGATGCGCCATCTTAAAATCTAAGTAAGCTGTTCACATTAGCTAGTTCTAAAGATTTTTTTTCTTTTTAATTGCATCCAATTTTAAGATCAATTATCATTATAATTAAATTTAAATCCATTTGCGCAGTCGGTATATGGTCGTGGTGGTGGGGGGGGGGGGGGGGCAGTGAGGAATGATAAGTGAGGATGATAGCATATCCAGTTAGTCCAATGTGACGATTACGTCAAGAATTAACTATGACAATTTAATGGATGATAATGGAATGGTAGCCCCACCCGAGCTATCGGTATACACCGGCGGGGTACTAGCGAAGGATGACAGGCGAGGATGAAGCAGGTGAAACCATGACAGTTTAGAGCCGAAGTGAAGTCGGCAGGATATTTTTTAAATGAATAATAATGGAATGGTAACCCCGCCTGCGCTATCGGTATCGATATCGGTGTTGAGGACGGTGTGGAGGTGTGGAGGTGTGGAGGAGTGACCTTGTCGAGCGACAGCACGCCGGGCGCCGCCTCGCTGTTGACGATGAGGCCGACGCCGACGAGCGCGCTTGCCACGTCCTGGAAGAAGTCGCCCGCGTAGTCGCGCGGCGCCGCCACCAGCGGCGACTCGTACTTCATGATCGCCTTCATCACCGCCTCCAGCGCCGCGCGACCTGCACACCACCAACCGCACACATTTATACTTTGCCAGTAATAATATTAAAAAAAAAAAAATCAACAATAAAAGGGAAAAAAAGCAATTTATTTTGCTGGTCGCTGGAGCCGCCTCAGCTGTTGCTATATATGTACAGTGTACAGCTCCAGCGAGATGTACCTATACAGCGCTGATTTTCAGGCGGCCCCTTAACTCCTTCACCTTTAGCATGCGTGCGGTTCGCCAATACCTATTTCTCGGATGGGAGACTTGACACGCTCAACGAGTACAGTGAGCGTATAGCATCAGACGGGCTGTATGCTTGTTTACCGCCTTCGTGGTGCACCTTTTTTTTATATAACTTAGAATGGCAAACAAGCTAATGGTTCACCTGATGGAAAGTGGTAACCGTCACCTATAGACATGAGCAGTACCATGGACATAACAGAGTATACTGTTTCACCCATGATACCCCCCAGGCGTTGCCATTCCTGAGGACTCAGGTGTTATTCCTCTGTACCCTGTAAATTCACTGTCACATCCCACCCTTCAAACCGAAACACAGCCATGCAAACACAAATGCTTTACGGTAGAAACACGAATGGGACAGAGGTGCAAGCGGCGAGGGGCGGCGAGGGGCGGCGAGGGGCGGCGAGGGGCGGCGACTAGGTGGCAGCGTGGGTACTGACCGTACTTGTTGTCGATGTTGAACTGCGAGAGGTCCCTGGTCTCGGTGGCGCGGCGGTCGCCGTGCGTGAGCGCGCCCAGCGACTCGAGGCGCTTGGCCACGGTGGAGGCGAAGCGGCGCTCGCCCGCCAGGTCCGAGATCAGGAAGATGTACTCCGGCGCGTTCACCTGGTTCGACCGGTGCGTGCGCCCTGCCGCCACCACACACATCGTTACTAACACCATTTCACACCCTATACACCCTATCAGAGCAACCTCCACGCGGTTTCCCCCCGGAAACTATCGTGACTCTTGTAGAATGCGTCACGATGGACCAACTGACTTGCATTTTTTTTGTTTTATGTGTAAAAATAGTATGGTAGCCCCGCCTGCGCTAACGGGATACGCTGGCGGAGCACCAGTGAAGGGTGATAGGTGAGAACGAAAACAGGCCAGTTAGCCCATCATGATGAATTCATTAGGAATTAACCATGATAGTTTCCAGGGGGAACCACGAGGAGGTCAACTTGGTTGGGTACATTGCTAGCAATGGGATTCTCAGTCTCCATTACTAACAATCCCTTTCCCCCCAAACTGACTTGCACTCATCCACACCTATCATCTGCCACTGGTGAATATATGAGTTTTATAATAAAATAATTGATATTTTTCGGATATATACCCCATGTATATCACACCTTTTAACTATGATCGTATTTTTATACATATTAAAAACTTGCCAGTAACTACATAGACCCGGGGGGAAAGGTATTGTTAGTAATGGAGACTAAAAATCCCATTACTAGCAATATAGCCAACCAGGTCGACCTCCTCGCGGTTCCCCCTACAAACTATCATGGTTAATTCTTGATGAATTCATTAAGATGGGCTAACTAACGGCCTGTTTACATTCTCATCTACCACCCTTCACTGGTGCTCCGCCAGCGTATCCCGTTAGCGCAGGCGGGGTTACCATACCATTTTCACCCATCAAAAAAAAAAAAAAACTACATAGACCTCCCCCTCGTAAGAAGAGTTTTGCCGGTAGCTGCCACGCTTGACAAGCGGGTTGGCAACCACAGTTAAGCTTTGGTGACGTTTTAAAGGGAATGCTGCCTCCTATCCCTCAACCATTCATTTCCCTTAATCACCTCTTACTACACCCACGGGAAAGGAAGGGGTGACCCATTCTCTGCTGGGACCACACAGTGGACCAAAAACTTGTACCTATTGATGAGATAAGGGTAGAAACACTCACCAAACTGCTGTATAGCCCTATCCGCTGACCACGGCAGCTCCAGCGTTATGTGCACCCTTCGCCTTTGGTTTCTAGCCCTGTTACCAAATTGAACACTTAATATCATCTACATATTTATTTATTTAAACTTTAACGCACAGTAAAATTCTATGTACATATGGTGGACTTAACACCGGACGGTGTTCTCTACCAGTAAGTCATTGGGCAAACAGAGAAATAAGTAGGCGGTGCATTATTGAATAGAGAAGAAATAAAGCAATACTTGATATATTCATATAATACAAACATACACATAATATATTAAATAAATAAATATATACATACAATAAATAAATTCATAAAATATTACTATATAAAACAATTAAATAAAACAACTGCAATTGAAGAGCAAATAGTAATTTATATAAAAAAAACACATATATATATATATATATATATATATATATATATATATATATATATATATATATATATATATATATATATATATATATATATATATATATATATATGACCCACTAATATATATCAAAGTACAGCCAAAACAGCTGGGTGACTTTGTACAAAAGTCGATTGTTTGGGCAACTCTGTCCCATTCGTGTTTCAACCGTGAAGCAGTTGTGTTTGCATGGCTGTGTTTCGGTTTGAAGGGTGGGATATGGCGTGAATTTACTGGGTACAGAGGAATAACACCTGAGTCCTCAGGAATGGCAACGCATGGGTGGTATCATGGGCGAAACAGTATACTCTGTTATGTCCATGGTACTGCTCATGTCTATAGGCGACGGTTACCACTTTCCATCAGGTGGACCGTCAGCTTATTTGCTATTCGAAGTTGTATAAAAAAAGAATTATTTTGTATAAAGAAAATTATTGTATTTGAGTTAGATCAAGAACACGCTGTTTCGCCCATGATACCCCCCATGCGTTGTCATTCCTGAGGACTCAGGTGTTATTCCTCTGTATCCTGTAAATTCACGCCATATCCCACCCTTCAAACAGTGTGACAGAGATGCCCACGCAAACGAATTCTAACAAAACTTTAAATTTTTTCTTCAAGATAAGCAATTATTTCTCCTGTCCCCACTATCTGTTTAGTAGTTTACATTTGTTTGACTGGTTTGGACAGTTCTGCTATAAAGCATTACAAGTACGCTTGATTTAAGCGTTACCTCCTATCACTCTGCAGCGATATCCCGCTGGAGGCGGCCTCCGAGATGATAGCCACGTCCTTCTCGCCGTCCATGAAGCGTTGCTTCTCCGTGAGGTTGAGCGTCTCCAGCGGCACGTCCGCCTCCGACCGACTCTCGTACAGGATCTGGCCGTCTTCTGTTTGCACCACGCGACCCTTGCGACCCGTCATCTGTTATACAATGCATTAGATTGAGATTAGATTTGATAGATGATACTCTTCATTGTTTCCACCAAAAGATTACAATAGTAAACTTATTATAGATACAAACAATTACAAGAAATAATCACAGTGAGGAAACAATGGGCGACCTTATCGCTAAGAGCGATCTCTTCCAGGCAACCTTTGGATGGAGAGCAGTAATTATAAACAGTTTGATCGGAGGCACGATGAAGATCCTATTATTTCTAAATATGGAGATGAAATACATGTAATAATGTAAATAGAAATTCTTACTCTGATTCTAGATTTTTTAAGGCTTGATGGAAAGTGTATGGTGAACGGGTGAAGAACATATTGTATCTAAAACTTATATCAATATAATACAGCATTACATAATTAAGTTATCCAGAAGTAATCTTAATTCAAATAAACTTGTTTACAGGCACTTTTAAATAGTATGGTATTTTTTTTTAATTTATTGCAGGGTTTGGATAGTTATTTATTTATTTAACACTTTATTGCACCAACATAACAGAATTCGTTGGGGGGAAAGGGATTGTTAGTAATGGGGTCAAATAGCCCTATTACTAACAATATACCCTGTCAGGTCGACCTCCACGTGGTTCCCCCTGGAAACCATCGTAACTAATTCTAGTTTAATTCGTCAGGATAACTGACCTACTTTCATCTTCATCTGCCATCCTTCACTGGTGCCCCGCCAGTGTATACCAATAGCGCAGACGGCGTTACCATACCATTATCACTCATTAAAAAAACAGGATTTGTTGTTATCTGTTGTGAAGAGCCCGGAACAAACTCAACAGTTACTCTTTTAAATCTCTGTTAACATTATGTATATTTATTTAAATGTACTATGTCTAAAATTACATGGTCGTTAAAAGCCCGTGCATGATCGACTAACACCATGCACATTTTTTTTTACAACACAGGGGACAAACGAGCATGCGGTTCACCTGGTGGTGACTAATCAGCAGCAGGTATATCGCTAGCAATGGGATTCTTAGTCTCCATTACTGACAACCCCTTCCCCCCTGTATGGTGTAGTTGTGTGGTCACCTCTGCGACGTTGTCGGTGCCGCCGAGCTCGTCGACGAGCTGGTCGAGCGTGTTGGGCGGCAGGCGGCGGCCGAGCCGCTCGATGGCGGCCAGCAGCTCCTCCTTCATGCTGCACGCGCGCTCGATGGCCGACCGCGGCGGCGGCTGGCTGCGGCTCGGGCCTGCACCACCCACCACACCACGCAACGTCACACATACAAATCTACTATGTTACCAGTACATGGTGTATACAATACTATCTTTAATATGAATAAACACATTATTTCTTACTACAGAATATTTTTTATACAACTTAGAATGGCAAACAAGCTAACGGCCCACCTGATGGAAAGTGGTAACCGTCGCCTACACACATGAGCAGTACCATGGACATAACAGAGTATACTGTTTCGCCCATGATACCCCCCATGCGTTGCCATTCCTGAGGACTCAGGTGTTATTCCTCTGTACCCAGTAAATTCACGCCACATCCCACCCTTCAAACCGAAACACAGCCATGCAAACACAACTGCTTTACGGTAGAAACACGAATGGGATAGAGGTGCCCAAGCAAACCGACTGACCGAGGTAGAGTCCGTTGGTGCCGACGGGTGTGCCGGTGATCAGGCCGCCGGGCGCCGCCACGGTGACGGGGGCGGCGGCCGGGGCGCTGTTCTTGCGCTCGAACATCGTCTCGATCTTGTCCTGCGTGCTCGCCGGCTTCTTCTTCTGCGCCGGTGCCTTTTTCTTTTTCGTGATCTTCTTTTTGCGGCCGATCCACGGATCTGTTTAATGGATTACTTTTTGAATTATTTCTTTTTTAAATTCCGCTACCATTAGTATGCGTGCGACTGCCGATAGTTGACGATTGACTACTATTATATATTTATTTATTCATTAGTACATATATGTGTACATGGCGGACTTAATGCTAAAAGCATTCTCTCCCAGTCAACCGTAGGGAAGTGTCAGAACACTCGAATGCGGTACTAGTAATTATTGATATACATACATACTAAAATTATATATATAAACGAATAAATATATATGAATAACAAATATACTTACACATATATGATATATACTATATTATACACGAAATTGAGAATAATATAAAGCACTTTTGTTGTTAGTATAAGACTATGGCCTTCCTTATTAATTATCAATTCTGTTATTATTGTTATTATATTATTAAATTTAATTCTTCGATTCGATCATCATCATCATTATTATTAAATATTACATTGTTATTAATAATATAATATTATTATTATCAATTATTATTATTACCATATATTCTTCATCTCTGAATGAGGCATCGCCGCAGATTATGCCGAACGGTCAATACCACAGTTCAAGTAGCAATCTTTTAATTTGCCTGAAGTGAAGTCGCTCTCGTACAGAAGTAAAACACGTGTCGCAACAAGTACATAGAGTGAACAACAGAGACTGATGCAAATCATTGGCGTGTGTATATATGTGCTCTGTGAATTGTTTTTTTCTACCCGAAGTAGTGGTAATTTATACCAACCTAACACTGAAACTAGCTTTCCTCAAGATAGCGGGCATTGTGTGGTTTCAATTTGAAACGATTCTAATCATGTATCTGTGTCTATGTGTGTGCGTGTGCGTGTGCGTGTGTGCGTGTGCGTGTGCGTGTGTGCGTGTGTGTGTGACTGTATGTGTCTATATGTGTCCGTGTGTGTACGTGTACATGTGTGCGCGTGTGTCCGTGCGTGTGTGTACGTGTGTTCGCGTGCGTGCGTGTCCGTGTGTGTGTGTGTCCGCGTGTACGTAGGTGTGTCCGTGTATAGTGCGTGCGTGCGAGCGTGCGCGTGTCCGCGTGCGTGTACGTACCGTCGTCGCTGTCGCTGCCGGCGCGGAAGGGGTTGAAGTCGCTGAGGTCGGAGTCGGTGCGGCGTGCGTCGTCGGAGTCGCGGTCGGCGTCGGCGTCCAGCTCCAGCTCGTCCTCGGAGCCGCGCACGAACTCGTCCGACGACGAGCCGCCGCGGGCGCGCTTGGCCGCCTGGTTCGCCTGCTGCCGCGACGTCACTGCGGCCAACAATCATTGGCTTACATTAGACAATGTCTCAGTACATTTAACACGAATGTAAATACTTCTGACAGAATTCTACAATTTAAAATATTGTAATTTAATTAAATCTCTTTTCAGCCGGCTGCCGGCTGAACGGAAAGGACAGCAAATTCGGCGCCGGACTCAACGTGTTAATGCTCCTCTCCACTCAGGGTTTGCTGGATGAGAACTCTTGCAGAGTTAAGCTCGCCTGTTGTACATCTTCATTTAATATAAATTATATATTTTGTAATTTTTGTGTGTACAATAATGTATAAATAAATCCTCATCTCCCTAGCCTTATCCCAATTATTATTTGGGGTCGGCGTAATATGGTTTTATCCAAACCTCTGGTATTGCAGGCGTTCATAGGCTACGGTAACCGCTTACCATCAGGTGTGCCGTATGCTTGTTTGCCACTTCAGTGGTATAAAAACAAAATGAATCCACCTGGAATTCAGCACGATGGTTTCTAGGGGGAACCACGAGAAGGTCGACCCGACCTATATTGCTAGCAATAAGACTGGCAGTACCATTACTAACAATCCCTTTCCCCCGCCAAGTTAGTATTAGTGCAAGCAAGCAAGCGCAGTGGACTCACGCTTCCTCTTGGAGGTGTTAGCGTCGCCGTCGAGCCCGTTGGGGTTGTAGTGGGCGGCGGCGGCGGCGGCGGCGGCGGCGGCGGCGGCGGCGGCGGCGGCGGCGGCGGCGGCGGCGGCGGCGGCGGCGGCGGCGGGGGCGGCGGGCGGCGCGGCCTTGCCCTTGGCCTTGGCCGGCTCGAGTCCCAGCAGCCGGTTGATGCGGTTGCGGTCGGGCGCCGGGAAGTGCTTCTCCACCAGCGTTTGGAACACGCCCCTGTACGTAACACAATTAGTTATATATTTATTCTTTATTGCACAATAAAACTTTGTACAAGTGGCGAGCTTAATGCCACATGGCATTCTCTACCAGCTAACCATTAGGTGAAAACAGAAAGCGTATGAAGGGCAGATGTGGTGGGAAATATGTGGCATGCATATATAGCAATATACTGAAAGAATTATACATAATATATACGTATATATATACAATTATTCAGGTAAATCAATTTTATCCCCTTCAAAGCATTCTGTGACATAATGCACTTGTGCCAACGCCGTTTCCACTGTGAGAAGGCTCCTTGAAAGTCCTCTGGTTGTAGGTTTCTGCTGCCCCGTCGTAGCTTTTTTTATCTCATTTATGTCCCCCAAATGCCGCCCCCGAAGTACCAATTTGGTTTTTGGGAACAAGAAGAACTCACACGGGGCCAAATCCGGCGAATACACCGTAATGGAATTTTTCTCAAAAACTCACGGACAACTTATACATATGTATATATATTCTACTCGTGCCACACGAGCTTTGAGGCGTCTGAGCACATCGACGTAGAATTTTCCATCAACTGTCTGGCCTGGAGGGACGAATTCTTGATGGACAATTCGAAAAAAACAATCAACATTGTCTTGACATTTGAGCGGGATTTTCTTGATTTTTTTGTTCGTGGTTCCCCGGATGTCTTCCATTATTTTTCACGGCCATTCTTGCCGAGTTTCGAGAGAAACTTGATTACGACGCGCTGCTCTTCAACGGAAGCGGGCTTGCCGACGGGGTTTCGTTTTTCACTCGTGACAAACTACCGCACGGCGGTCAGACCAGAACTGAAGCATTGTTAGGGACAGAGATCTCTTTCTCGATCCAGAACACTTTTATACGAACTTTCCGGACAGACCTCGTATATAAGATATATATACATATCAAAACAACTATAAGCATTCTGAGATATAATAACTATTGAGTGACCTGTAACTAGATGGTTTTGTTCAACAAGTAATTAAAGTCCTGTAAAATATATATATATACATATGTATATATATATATATATATATATATATATATATATATATATATATATATATATATATATATATATATACACTGGGTTGGCTGGAAGAGATCTCTATCAGAGATTTTGTTGTTAAACTCATCGCTATATGTATTGATGTAATAAAGTATATATATATAAAACTATATATATATATATATATATATATATATATATATATATATATATATGTATTTATGCTTTAAAATAATGTTTAGTGAAAAAATACGAGACATGTCTTATAAAAATCTGACATAGAACAAACACTTATATATATTTTTTTTTTTTTTTATACAACTTAGAATGGCAAACAAGCTGACGGCCCACCTGATGGAAAGTGGTAATCGTCGCCTATAGACATGAGCAGTACCTGGACATAACAGAGTATACTGTTTCGTCCATGATACACCCCATGCGTTACCATTTTTGAAGACTCAGGTGTTATTCCTCTGTACCCGGTAAATTCAATAGTTTTACAATGACTATAAATTCATATCTGTATTTTATTAACATATAAATACAATATTTTATCTTAGATTATATATAGATAGATCATCGAACCTCAAAAACGGGTCAACTTTTTGTCAGCTAATTGTCAAATTAGCTGACTCGTTTTTTTTTTTATCAGTATTCTATATATTTACGCATAAAATGTATTTTGACGTATTATTTAATAAATAAAATTAATGTTTACCGCATTAAAAAAGTGCAGAATTTATAAGACAAAATAAATATACAAGTTATAAAGGAATCACTCGTAACTATTTATCAAGCACAATTGTATGAAAAATTTGGGTCAACTTTTTCTCGAAACATTTTACAATCTAAGTATTTTATATTTAGACGTCCTTGAAATAACATTTACATTAGCAAAACAAAAGATATCGACTTTCGTTATCGCCATATTTCAAATTTCCCGCGCTTTTTGTACCGCGTATCTATAAAACCTACTCGCTCCGAGTCACGAGGTCGTTCGCCCCGGCCGCCATTGTCCGAACTCGGTTATTACGCATCAGAAATACCAACTCGGTTCGGCGCACGGCGACACATGCGCTTTTCTTTCAACATTGATTTATTGTAATTGTGTGATACCGTGTAGGTTTTCAATGTGCATTTTATATTCTGTTATTGTTTTAGTGATGTAAATATTCGAGTGAGGCATCGTTCACTAAAAATTCTAATTTGATATATTATTCTACGGACCAGTATAAACTAATCTTTGTATTCACAATATGTCTCATAAATGTATTTTAGCAATTGAAGTTTTGTCTTTTATTGCCTTGAATTTTCAGTTTTAAAGAAAGTGATAAAAAACTCCAATAGTTAAAATAGATTTGTAGGTTTTAATTTTAAACCGACTTAAAAAAAAGGAGGTTCTCAACTCGGCTGTATATATTTGTTACTTCCTAACTCCGTTAGTTTTAAACTGATTTGGAAAATTCTTTTTTCATCTGAAATGATATACTTACATATTGGTCCCATAGAAATTTTATCAAAATCGATTCAGTAATTTAGTTTTGAAATCAAAATAAGGCTTGTCACAATTGATGTCAGTTTTTTTTTTTTTTATGGAAGACAATCACAACTAATTATGTTTTTTTTAAATAGAATTGCATCAGATCTGCATTATACTTTAATTCTTTATAAACTCGTAGTTTCGCTCAACTATCAAATTAAACTTATAATTTTAGAAATAAATTTAAGCATCTCAAAATCAACCCTAATGTTATTTACAATTTTATTTATTCCGTTTCAGATAACCTGTTTAGATTTGTAAGAAAATCTAATTCCAATATAACACAGAGACGTAAATTACGCTTTGGAAGTAATAACGGATATGTTTACTTCGCAAGAACTAAAGAAATTTCTAGAACAAATATCTGAGAACGCGAAATTCGTAAAGTACGATTTCGTGTCAGCGGAAAAATTTACGATACAGTTGAGAAGTACGGTAGTAACCGACCAGTCGCAGGAGTACTACAACCAGTATGTCGGCAAATGGATACAAAAGTTCTCCGACTACACCGCCACCAACTGGATAGTGAGGAATTCATTTCCTAAAGTCAAACGGATGCTGTTCCGCAAGGTGTTCACTTGCCACCGGTCGGGTTATAACAAGTCAAAGAGCGCCGATAGAACGCTCAATGTCGAGTGTAAAGCAAAAATAGACTTCAAAATGAAGTTTATCAATAGAAACACCATAAGGAACGACGCGTACCTGAAGGATAATTTGAACATGTGCATCTTTATAAACTTCGTGCACTCCCACAAGGTGAGAGGCCGGGAGTCGTACAACTTATTAAAGAGCTCGTCGGACACCGATCGGATTTTCTACGAGTTGTTCGACGATGGATACACACCGACCATGGCGAAAATGTACCATGAACTAACACTGATCGATAGACACGGGCACGGGTCCGAGGTTTTAATGGCGGCGAGTATAAACCCATCGATGCACCACGTACATTACGTACATAAAAAGTGGAAAAGTTTGGACAAAACGATTGGCACACCTGAAGAACTTATGGCCAGAAAGAAGGAGAGTATCACCAAACTGGGCGGTCTGATGTGTCACGACAACCCTCAAGTTATCGTCGTCGTAACCCCTCTGATGAGGCGCGTAATCTCAGAGTGTAGTTTGGATATTGTCATCGTGGAGTCAACGGTGACAAATATTCTTGTAACCTTCATGTACGTGCCGAGCAAAGTAGGAGCTTTACCAATGGCTTGCGTGCTGCACACGGAACAAAACGAAGCCAGCTACAGTCAAGCTTTTTTCGCTGTAAAATTGCTATTGGAAGATGAGTGCGGCAAAAGTTTCGAGCCGAAAACGCTGTTCGCGAACAATCTGCAGGTCCAAAGGAGCGCATTGGAAGCTATCTATCCGAGTTCGAGGGTACTGGTCTCCAATTCGTCGATATGCTGCGATGTATGGGAATGGATATGTAAGGACACCAATAAGATTGATCGCAAAAAGCGACACATCCTTATGACAATGTTCGACTCAATGTTTCGGGCTGATACTATGGAAACCGCTGAGAAGTATTTCGACGTGTTAAGTAAAGACGAATATGTGAATGCGACACCGACATTGTTGGACTATGTCAATGAAATATGGGGCCAATGTAGACATTGGTTTGTTGATCACGAGGAGGTCAAGGATAAACACATCGATTTATCTGTACGTCTGTTTAAAGAACTAATTGTGAGTAAATGTAAGCCTTTCAACATAGGTGCAATGGTCGACGTCGCAACCAATATATTGGACAATTATTTCCGCCAGATATTGCTAGCTTACGTGAAGGAGCAGGATGTTTTCAAGATGTATACAAAGTTTTTTAAAATGTGTAAAAGTGTATTAGAATTGGACTTTAAAAGAATTGGTGCTAATGAGTACAGGATGCAGCTCGAGTCGCCGGCATCGAAGAGCAAGTACATAAAATTCAGGACGGACACGTGGTGCTGCGACTGTGTTTACGGAAAGAGGGGACATTTCTGCGAACACCTGACGAGTATCATCAATTCGATGGAATCAAAGCTCAAAATAGCGGATTTGGGTGAAGATGAGAAATCGTTTATCGTTACAATAGCTGGGGACGACAAATGTGTTAAGGAGCTAAAATTTGAGAATGTAGCTACTGAAATAATTCACGAGCACGGAGAATCGATAGATGACGAATGCGACGACCAATCAATAAAATCATCGAAAGACAATGACGTTTATTGCTATGAAGAGATAAAAATAGAAAAGCTTGAGAATACCGATCCTTTGAATGACGATGATAGGAATGACGAGCAAAACAGTGGACTAACTGCCGACTCCGAAGCTAGATCAGTGGATGGACAATCAGAACTTCATAGAAATTACGGCAAGGCCTTGAGAGCGTTGAACGAAGAGTTTCGAAGGTTGAATAAGTTATTCAAGGAGAATGCTAATACGTCCAACTTGAATACAGTGCAGCGGTTGGCGAGGGAGTTGAGCAAAATAAGGCCGATAGAGAGAGTGAGTTTTGCTAATATGAGTATAGAGTTAAATTCCAATGCAAAAAAAGGAAACGTAACGATGATGATGACGATGATAATGATGATAATAATGATGATGATGATTAACCGTTTAGTTGATATTTTAAATATTTCAATTAAATGCTGAATGTAATTATTACTAAAGTTATACAATTTGCATATAGATATGTTCAACTTATTTGATTAATATAATATCATACCGTGCTATAGAGTGCAATATCTATGTATTGTAGTTACAATATCTATATATTGACCCAATAACGGATATATCGGTTATCCAAAATTTCAAAATTCAAAATTAAAAAATCATTTATTCATGTAGGACATTTTAGCCGCTTATGGACGTCAAATTTTTACATTATAATTTTATTTTTTTCCCTACCGTCCAGTTCCAATCCAATATATAATATAGCAGCCGATCAAAATTAATATAGATGTCCGACCAGTGTGTACAATAACGAAACGGATAATGACCTTTTTTTCACCATCAATGTTCAGAGAAAATCACCAGAAAGAGACAGGGACGCAGTTGCGTTTGCATGGCTGTGTTTCGGTTTGAAGGGTGGGATATGGCGTGAATTCACAGGATACAGGGGAATAACACCTGAGTCTTCAGGAATGGCAACGCATGGGGGGTATCATGGGCGAAACAGTATGTGTGTGTACTGTTATGTCCATGGTACAGCTCATGTCTATAGACGACGGTTTACCACTTTCCATCAGGTGGGCCGTCAGCTTGTTTGCCATTCTAAGTTGTATATAAAAAAAAAAAGAGCAAATCAATACATAGATATTAGAGTAGTACTCATATTACACATGCCTAGTTAACTCAGAGCAGGCAACCTGGACCCAGGTGCCTTATATTGTATTTTTATCTTTCATTCATTTTTCAAACTTAATTTCATTAAAGTCTTGCAGAGGTTCTCTCTCTTCATTTGTACACTCTTGACAGAGTGGTCGTGGTTTTCACATTGACAGTGGATCGTCGATGAGACTCTCCTTCACGATTGAGGTCCTCGCAATGCGTCTCCATCTACTTCTGTTCGCAGCCGAGCGAGAGCATTCCACAATAGACTGCTGTGTGGCCGTTTTGATGAGGTCAGTCCATCGCCTTGGCGATCTACCACGAGAACGTTTGCCTTGTACAGCTCCTTGCAGAAGTTAGCGGCGGAATTTTAGGCTAAAGTATTTGTATTGTGCGGGGATCGAAGCTACGACCATCAGAAGGCAGTACATCAAACCGCTAGAGCAGTAAGATCGTCGTAATTGGTATGCGACGACAAGTACTCACTTGGCGGTGGATACGAAGTCTGTGAGCTCGCCGTCGTCGCGCTCGAGCTGGTCCAGCGTGCGAGCCTCGCCGGTGGACTGCAAGCCGATCACCACGCACTTGCCGCACTTCACCGCCTCGCGCGCCGTTACCACCGCGTGGTTCACCTGCACGGAGTTGTTTTCTTTTAATACATGATATTGGAATGGTAACCCCGCCTGCGCGTTGGGGGGAAGGGGATTGTTAGTAATGGGCCCATAATATAGTAGTAATAGTAATTGACCCATTGCTAGCAATACATATTTCTTTTTATGTTTAATTTTTTTTTTACCAATAGTTGCAACTGAATGGCTTTGTTGCAGTCGCATTTATTATTAGATCATGCCATACCAGAGGGAGACTGTACAAAAGTCGATTGCTTGGGTACTTCTGCCCTATTCATATTTCAACCGTGAAGCAGTTGTGTTTGCATGGCTGTGTTTCGGTTTAAAGGATGGGATATGGCGTGAATTTACTGGGTACAGAGCAATAACACCTGAATCCTCAGGAATGGCAACGCATGGGGCGTATCATGGGCGAAATAGTACTCTGTGTTATGTGCATGGTACTGCTCATGTCTATAGGCGACGGTTACCACTTTCCGATGGACCGTCAGCTTGTTTGCCATTCTAAGTTGTATAAAAAAAAAAACTATCATAATATGTATTAAAAATAGAAATTATGAATTCTCATTATTATCATCATCAATTCGGCCATCATCCGTCCACTGATGAACATAGGCCTCCCCCATAGACTGTCATAAGGAACGGTCCTGAACTGGTAACTGGTGTTCTAACATACCTTAGCAGAGGGGGAGGGATTGTTAATAATTTTTAGATCTGACCTATTGAAGAAAATTTCTCATTGATAATCCTAGTAAGCTATAATGAGGGGGGAGAGGGATTGTTAGTAATGCGGATTATCAGTCCCATTGCTAGCAATATACCCAAACAGGTCGATCTCCACATGGTCCCCCCTGGAAATCATCGTGCTGAATTCCAAGTGTATTCAACACGATGGGCTAACTGACCTGTCTTTTCATTCTCACCTATCATCCCTCACTGGTGCCCCGCCAGCGTATACCGATAGCGAAGGCGGGGTTACCTTTCCATTATCATCCCATAAAAAAAAAACTCTCGCCTTTGCTAACATTGTTATTAACTTATTGTTGTTACTGTATATTTTAGTGCAATAAAGAATATATATATATATATACCTTAGCAGCAATACACAGGTACTTGAAGAACCTCTGGTGTGCAGACCAGAACTGTCCCCACATGGTCTTCTTCATGCGTGGCTCCGCGTCGATCAGCTCCGCCGCCTCCGTGAAGCGTTGCATTGCTTCTACCCACTGTACATAAACAATTTAAGTTTGTATTCACACAAACAATAGAATCACAAGAGAAAGAGATCCTATATTGCTCTTTTTTGAATTTATTTCAAAAAAATATGGTTATATTAATTAAATAATTCATTAGATTTAACCTTTTAAAATATGATTAATTATAAATTTGTTTTAATTTATTGTGCACATATTAGAAATATATAAATTTCGAATGTGGAATTACAAGTAAATTAATCCAGGATTTTGCTACACAAAAAAAAAACACAATTTAACCAACTGGGAGTAAACTTTGCAGAAAAACACAAAAAGACGGGGTGGCCCATTCTATGCCGGGATCAAACGCACTTGTTCTTTGTTGTACAGCATGAAATGTTTTTTTTTTATTACTTGGAATTAAAAAAGAAAGTGTTTAAACTAATGCTTACAGAAAATATTATCAGAATAGATTCAGAATTGGTGTCTGATAATCCAGGTTGCCTGTAAGAGATTGCTTCTAGCGATAAGGCCGCCTTTTGTATATGCATATTCTGTATAAATACTCCTTGTATACATTTTATTTTTTTATACAACTTAGAATGGCAAACAAGTTGACGGCCCACCTGATGGAAAGTGGTAACCGTCACCTATAGACATGAGCAGTACCATGGACATAACAGAGTATACTGTTTCGCCCATTAAACCCTCAATGCGTTGCCATTCCTGAGGACTCAGGTGTTATTCCTCTGTACCCAGTAAATTCACGCCATATCTCACCCTTCAAATCGAAACACAGACATGCAAACACAACTGCTTCACGGTAGAAACACGAATGGGACAAAAGTACCCAAGCAATCCACTTTTGTAAAAAATCTCCCTCTGGTGATAAGTTAATGAGTTATTAGTATCCTCTATGAGTTACTAGGGTCGAGTGCAAAGTGTTAATAGCAGCTCTAATAGCTAAGGCGTACCAGTGCGACAGCCTTGTCGTATGTCTCCTTGAACGCGTCCGAGAGCGGCACCTCCTCGATCTTGAAGGAGACGCCGTGGAAGGACAGTTGCCGCGCGATGTACATCCCTCGTAGCTTCATGTCCATGGCTACTATCTCCATCGCGCCCACACCCCTGTACACAACAAGCGTCCATATTTTAGCCTACTGACACGTGACAACGTCGTAATTATAGGTATTTTTTTTTATTGTTTTTTTATTCTAAATTATTATAAATTTTTTATAATGGTTTGGTTATACAGGTATTATTCTCAAATAATGTTTTTCTAAAAAAATGTTTTATTAACTTCTGAGCATTATTATTGACAATGTTGCTGTAGTTTTCAATAGTATTTGTTTGTTTAATTTTGTTTATATTTGTTTAATTTAGTATTGTCTAATTTTCTGTTTCGTTTACTTGTATTTTATTTTGTGCAAATTCTACTGGCTACCAAATTACTGTTTAAGTGTATAATTATATATTATTTTAGCTGTTTGTTTGCCTTAAATAAATTAATTAAAAAAAAAACAATTTAACAATTTTCGAGATTATTTTTAAAACTTATTGTTGAAAGAATAAATTCTATTTGTCGACTTCAAACACTGTTTTATACAAAATTTATGTATTTGTATGTATCTATTAACAAACAATTATTTACGAACACAGAGCGACCGACCAGTTTAGAGTGCGGTCACCATCACCACCATAATTCTATATTACGACACCAGGTGGCGCCACAAGGTAAAATAAACATATATGTTTAAAAATACATTTTGATGCTAGTTACTAGTTTATGTTCATTTTTTATTCAATGCCTATATACACATGTAACGGGAAATTAAAGTAAGGTAAGTGCGAGACGAGACGCTGTGATGCAAAGCGTCCAACGCCCTTTGAATACTTTCGGATGAAGCCGGAACAATTGTCAGAAACGATAAAAACAGAGTGAATTCATTAATTTCTCGTTACATATGTATAGATATCGGTGGTAGGTATGTCTGATGGGACTATTGGTTATTTAAACGTACTTCCTAAGATCCATATAAAATGGGTCCCAGTACTATTACCATAATACACGTGGGGGTCTACCATGAAATGAAATTCCGAATTTTCGGCCTCAATTTTGTGTTTTTGTTCATACCAAAACCGACCCTATTAATGGAGCTTAACATTTCATTTGTCATAAATCCTACCATAAAAGTAAAAAGGAACGATACTTTAGCATTTTTAAATATTTTTAAACGGTATGTATCAAGTAGTTTTAAATTAAAATTTTGTTTAGGCCCTGTATATATAGGCCCTCTGTTTGTTCCATGTCATTGACATGCCATTTTAACTAAATGCGAAAACCATATCGATGGAAACACATAGTTCAGAGAACATTAGCGTTAACATTCTCGTTATCTTTCGATTGATCGTTCATCGCAATTAAATTACAACTCGCTTAATTTACTAAAAGGTGGCAAGATTATTAAGCTATCATTGCAAATTTCAGAAGCAAAAGTCACTAATCTACGGCGGTAGAAGCGGTCCGAGCGCGACCGACCTCTTCTCGACGGCGTTAATGAAGTCCATGAAGGTGGGGAAGGGCGTGCCGTCGCCCCAGATGCCGAGCCGCACCATGTAGGCCATGTTGCGCGGCTCGGAGGCGCCGGTGGCGGACGCGTACACGACGCGAGCCTTCGGCAGCCGCGTCTGCAGCTCCAGCGCCGTCAGCCCCGTCTTCGTCGCCTTGCCCGACCCCACCGGGCACAGATTCTTCGCCTTGTGACACTCGTCGAACACGATCTGAATGCTTGTTGAGGAAACATATTGCAACTCTATCGTCCCTGACTAAGGTCACCAGGTTTACCAGAGGGCGACTTTGTACAAAAGTCGATTGCTTGGGTACCTCTGTCCCATTCGTGTTTCAACCGTGAAGTAGTTGTGTTTACATGGCTGTGTTTCGGTTTGAAGGGTGGGATATGGCGTGAATTTACTGGGTACAGAGGAATAACACCTGAGTCCTCAGGAATGGCAACGCATGAGGGGTATCATGGACGAAACAGTATACTCTGTTATGTTCATGGTACTGCTCATGTCTATAGGCGACGGTTACCACTTTCCATCAGGTGGGCCGTCAGCTTGTTTGCCATTCTAAGTTGTATAAAAAAAAAAAAAAAAACGGTGGACTACCTGACCTGACATTATCTTATATATTATCATCACACATGTCTTTGGGAAGAAACAATAAAGAGTATCTATCTATCTATCTATCACACACTAAAAAAAAAGTACCATACAGGGAAGAATGATTTATTACCAATTTCACTGCTAGCTATATACCCCAGATTATCTATACTTTATTATGAGTCAAAGTTGACATTTTTTGTAATTTTTCAAACCATATTTCGTTAGTAAATTATTCATGTTGTCTAGTAGAAACTTTAAAAAAAAAAAGTAGTAATATTTTAAATACACTCTCGTGTCACACTACACGTATGTACATATGTATATACATATCCTAATGCGATGCAATTGCAGGTAAATAGTACCTACATACCTGATTTTATCTGAAAATTGTATCAGTCGAGTTTCACTATCATCCTTGGATAGTGCGTGAAGCAATTACAATTAGGAAACATCAGGAAAATTTTAATAAGAAAGATGGATGGATGAGGATGTAAACAGGTCGTAACGTGGAGACAATTCAGGTAATATATCATTACAAACTCTCTTACAAACTATTAATCATGCAACGCGGGGGGAAAAGGAATTGTTAGTAATGGAGACTGAGAATCCTATTGCTAGCAATATACCCAACCAGGTCGACCTCGTCGCGGTTCTCCCTGGAAACTATCATGGTTAATTCCTGATGAATTCTATATATATAGATATAAAAGCTGCCAGAGGTGTACTCGACATCAAAATCATTTTTCTCAATTCCATTTAGTGACATAAAATTGTATACGAATAGAAAAGGATACAAGTCCATCAAAGTCCTCGCCGCACCACTGCAGCAGCTGCTTGAGCCGCGAGCGGTACTTGGTGGTGGAGGACTGCGTCTCGCCGATCAGCGCCGAGTACGTCGCGAACACTACTCCCTTCTTCACGTTCCCGTTCACCGCCGACGAGATCTTGGCGTACTTGAACTGGATAGGGGGGTACAAATCTGTATTATAAAATAGTTATGGTCGAAAATTCTGCATTTTGATTTTATGGAACCTTATGGAAATTACCGGGCACTGGGAACTTGGTATGGCCATAGAATAATACAGTAAAATTAATCTTGAAGTATCTTTTACTATTTCTAAAAGCGAATTTAAAATAAAAATTTTAGTACTATTGCTTCATATATAATTTTTGATACCATAATACTTTTACTCAACTCTCTCTTTTTCTTCTTTTGATTTGTCTTATCCCATTTTATTTGTGGTTGGACCTCCTAATCATTCTTCGCCATGACTGTCTGTCTTGATTAGACATCAGATCTTAAAACTTCCTTGTTTTTCATATGTCAGAATGTATATTTATTTATTAGAAACCAACAGTGTTACTAGTATTTAAAATATTAATGCTAATAACAGGTTTCTTATTATTATAATTATAATATATATATATATATATATATATATATATATATATATATATATATATATATATATATATATAAGACACCAACAATATATATAATATACAATATATATATAAGTAAAACAGAACAAAAAAAAAAAAGGAACGGTTAGGAAATATGATCAGCCAAAATGGTAATGTTCTACTCTCCACACTTGGCCGTACTATACACGACCACTTAGTGCTTTTCTACGTAGAAAAGCACTTAGTGGTCGTGAAGGAACCGAGGTTATAGAATAAAGGAAACCAATCACGGGTGAGAGTATATTATAATAGAGACGGTGGCACCTTGTTGAGCGGGTAGACGGCGATGTGTCCGGCGCCGACGTCGCGCAGGTCGCGCTCGGCGTCGTACTTGAGGTCGTTGGACACCGACACCCACACGGCGCGCCGCCGCCCGCGCACGTAGTTCTCGAAGATGATGCCCGCGATCGTGCGGCCCTTGCCCACGCCCGCGCCGTCGCCTGCAACCAAATATTACTGTTAACGTCTTCTAATCAGCGTACACACTTAGCACAAGCGGGCTTACCATTCTACTATCATCTATTACAAATAGCTGTACGACCTATGAGGAAGCCGGCGCGCGTGCCGTCGGGCAGCAGGTGCTGGTGCGCCTGCGAGGCGTACACGATGGCCTCCAGCTGCAGCGCCGACAGCAGCCCGCCGCGCACCGTGTCGCCGGGCAGCGCCAGCTCGTACGTCACCTCGGCCGGCTCCACCGACGACAGCGACGCCGTCTCCACCACCGGGTCCGGGTGCTTGCGGCCCAGCTTCACTGCGAACGGTACAAAGAGTATCGTTAATAATCCTAAACCGAACATAAACCTTCCCCATAAGGTTGCTATGCGTGGCAGGTGGATTGGCAACTGCAGTTAGGCTTCCATAAGGTTGCTATGCTTGGCAGGTGGATTGACAACCGCAGTTAGGCTTTTAGAGATGTTTTAAGAGGTCCATCCCTCGCCCTCCCTTAGCCGTCTTTTACGACACCCACGGGGAAGGAAGGGGTGGCCTATTCAGGCCCCTGTCAAAATGAGACAGATACAAAAGAGGGTGGTATACGATACGTACGTGTAATTGATTATCTACAATAATTTTCAATTTTTTCACCGTTCATAATTACATTTCTGTTTTGCCAAAGGTTGAGTGGGAGAGAAAATGTCTGGTACAAAAGACGGACTTAATACTGTATAGCATATACAGTATTAAGTCCGTCTTTTGTACCAGACATTTTTTTTTATGTAATGTATTCCATAAAGAATAAATAAATAAATATACTCATATAAATTACGGTCTGACGGTCAGTGATAGGTTTTTTTTAAAAAACCAATACTATTTAAATTCACAATATCATTTAATATAATTTAACACAGAGTCTTTATTTAAAATTAGTAATTATATAATATTAGTTATATGTATGAATCGTGATTGATTCCTAAAATATACACCGTACGTTCGCGACTTAAACAACAAACTGGCTTCTCACTGCCCTGTCGTATTCCCTTTTATCAATTTTCTTTGTAAAGTATGTCTTCATTCTTTCTGAGAATTTGTGTGGTGGGAACAGCTATTGTGCAGTATGTATTGGTATGTTGTAGTATGGTTTGGATGGGGTTTGCACCCGTAACACATATATAAACACAAATTACAAATAACATTATTATAAGCTATTATCATTAAACGCGACTCACGTTTAAGCGGCATGTAGTCTGCATACGTTTCCGCCACACCCATGTCCTCGTCATCCACTTCTTCCTCTTCTGCTGGCATCTGGAATTAGAATTACAGTGTGATCTATTATTGGCCAATAACAACGTTTGCCATTTTCCATCAATTATAATGAATACTGATTACGTAGTGCACAGAAAAAATGGATTATGTAACACTCCGCTCTGTTAGCCCGCTGTTAACTTTACAATATAAAATTTTCCATTTAACGACAATTATAATAATAATAATCAACAAACTATAATTAATACAATCTCAGTTTAAATAGATTTTAATGACAAAACAAACGAATAGTTTGCCGGACCATAGACAGTCTGTTAATGTTTATTTTTATTTGTTCTTTAGTAGTATACAAAGCAAACATCGATCATTTGAATGTTTCCATTTGTTACTAATATCATTTAGAGAGATAGTTTCAACAAAATTTACTTAAATTTACAACTAAATGTAAATTTAACTAAATTATGTTGAAATTGTCTCTATCTATTGAGACAAACCACATTCTAGTTCTAGTTATTCCTAATTCGTGCACACATATAATGAATAAAAAAGTTGGCCTGTTTTTGGGAAAGAGATTTAAAAGAAAAGCAAATTAAAACACTTTATTAGTTCTCTTCTTTTTTTTAATTTTTCTATACCACTTTACCCACCTGATGATATGCGGTCATCGTGACCTATGAACGTCAGCAATACCAATGCATTATTACGACCCTGAAGAAACCTCTTTACCCCTTTTTTGAAGAACTCCATTTTTTTTTTCTTTTATACAACTTAGAATGGCAAACAAGCTGACGGTCCACCTGAATGGAAAGTGGTAACCGTCGCCTATAGACATGAGCAGTACAGTGGATGTAACAGAGTATACTGTTTCGCCCATGATAACCCCCATGCGTTGCCATTCCTGAGGACTCAGGTGTTATTCCTCTGTACCCTGTAAATTCACTACCATGTCCCACCTTTCAAACCGAAACACAGCCGTACAAACAACTGCTTCACGGTAGAAACACGAATGGGACAGAGGTACCCAAGCAATCGACTTTTGTACAAAGTCTCCCTCTGGTAAATAATAATATTAATATTGTAGCCTCTTGGAAAGAAATATATATGGAAGTAACAATATATGATCTATGCAGATCAAGTTTGTTTGAAGATTTTTTCGAAAACAAACCTTTATAATGTAAAGTCACCATCTTGCTGCTACAGCCATTTCAAAAGATGAGAATCATCATTATTTACTGTTCAAGCCCTTTTATTTTATATTCATATTAATAGGGTTGACAAAATATACACCATCCGCCATCTTGTAGTGGCGGCCATTTTGAAAATAGTACAATTCTGAGTATTGCATATTGTATTATCATCAGAATTAGAGGTGTATGCTAAATTTTACTTAACATACTTTTCCATAAGATTCTCAATGGCTCGGAACCGTTCCTTACACGGCAGTCTATGGAGGAGGCCTATGCCCAGCAGAGGACAGTTAATGGCTGACATGATAATAATGGCATACTGTTGCCATATTAGAAAATGTACTTTTATAAATTGGCTCGGAGGTAGGTATTTTTAAATACGCAATCGGGACTTAACGCGACGAAAAAGCTTTTGCAGGTAAATAGTACTTACATACCTGCTTCTTTATTGCCGACGTTTCGACGTGGATTGTACCGCGTTGTGACCACGATAGAACTGTCGTACTTAGCTACCAAGACATTTGTTGCCTAGTTCTTTATAATGGAGTATTGTAGCTTGATGACCAGGTCAGACCGGGTTGGCGTGATTTAAAAAAAATGAATTAAAAACTTGTAAACATATAATACATACCTTGTCGGGCTGCCACATGGTGCCTTTGGGGTGCGACCAGGGCGGCAGCTGCGCGAGCTGGCCCAGCATGCCTGCGAGGGGTCCCCCCATGCCCGATGCCAGGATCTGGTTCAGATTCTGCAGCAGGTACGAGTTCATGCCTGGCATGTTGCCCACCATCTCCACTGTGGGCACGAGTAGAAGCCAGTATTAACAATTAGTCCTTTTACAGTGGCACCCAAGGCTCTCTGTCATTAATCACAAATGAATTAAAAGTAAAACAAAGTTTTGATGTAAAAAAATCATACATGTCACAGTTAATGACCAAATTTGACAATATTTTTTATTTATTTTAAGTAACAAGTCTTTATATAAATAAAGGCTCATAGACTTATACTTTGAAGTCCAAATATATAATGTTCACCAAATTACGTGTGAAAAAAAAATTATCACCGACCACGTGTGATACGCATAAATTAATTAAAACATGCATTCATACATTCCGTACCGTATTTTACAAGTAATAAATAATAAATATATAAAATAAAAATAAAGGTCTATAGGCGACGGTTACAACTTTCCATCAGGTGGGCCGTCAGCTTGTTTGCCATTCTAAGTTGCATAAAAAAAAACAATTAAAAATCTATTTTGACGAGTTAAGTCAATTGCCTTATTATGCCATAATGAATAGGTATTACTCAGTATATGAGAGACATTACATTACAAGAATAAATTGAAACATATAAACGATACAAAATGGTGCGTTTTGATTCAGTTTAAAAAAATATGTGTCAAAATTAAGTCATATATATATATATATATAAAACCTCGTATATATATATATATATATATATATATATATATACGAGGTTTGTCCGGAAAGTACGTATAAAAGTTTTTTAAAAATTTTATTTTACAATTATTCAGGTAAATCAATTTTATCCCCTTCAAAGTACTCCCCCTGTGACATAATGCACTTGTGCCAACGCCGTTTCCACTGTGAGAAGGCTCCTTGAAAGTCCTCTGGTTGTAGGTTTCTCAGCTGCCCCGTCGTAGCTTTTTTTATCTCATTTATGTCCCCCAAATGCCGCCCCCGAAGTACCAATTTGGTTTTTGGGAACAAGAAGAAGTCACACGGGGCCAAATCCGGCGAATAGGGGGGTGTTCGGTCACCGTAATGGAATTTTTACTCAAAAACTCACGGAACGATCTTGGCGCAAATTTTTTTTCATTTGAAGTTCGTTTCTTAGAATTTCGTGGACCACGGTTTTGCCCAAATTAAGCTCTTCAGCCACCTGTCTGACCGTTAAACGACGGTCCCCATTAACACAAGTTCGAATTCTTTCCACGTTTTCGTCGGAATGTGAAGTGGAAGGACGTCCTGAACGTGGGTCATCTTGAACGCTTTCTCGGCCCTCTCTGAATCTTTTTAGCCACTTGTGGACGGTTGGTTCCTTCACAGCATCATCCCCATAAACTGTTCTGAGATCGGCAAAAATTTCACGGCCATTCTTGCCGAGTTTCGAGAGAAACTTGATTACGACGCGCTGCTCTTCAACGGAAGCGGGCTCCATGCCGACGGGGTTTCGTTAAGAGGTAACTTCACAGATGGCGTGACAAGCCAGTTCGCACCGCACGGCGGTCAGACCAGAACTGAAGCATTGTTAGGGACATAAGGAAGGGGTCCTGCGCTTACCTGGCCTCCCCACTCCTCTTTCTCGCATTCCAGAACACTTTTATACGAACTTTCCGGACAGACCTCGTATATATATATATATATATATATATATATATATATATATATATATATATATATATATATATATATATAATCTAAGAGCCCTACAAGAGGTTTAATTTTATTTAAATAAATCTTATCTACAATAATTATAAACGCTACTAAAAAGAAAGGATAGCTTCATTAAACATAGAGTTATTATTTAACTACTAACAAAAGACAAAGCTGTAAAAACTATTTCAAACATTAGTTAAACAAACACAAACTGCTCCCTTTATCATATTAGTACTGACTCTACAAGAATATCACACTACAACTAAATTAAATTATTAAAAAATAACAATAAATAATCTACTGCAAGTAAACTACGTGTTAAATCAAACCAAAATAATGTACAATTCAAAATTCCATAAAACCAAAACCATAGGATCTAACAATATACAAAAATACATTGCCAAGATAGAACAGTACAAAGTAGTCTAGTTGCAAAATACTTAAAAACACACTACGTCTGAAGAGCAATATGTTATTTAATAGAATGGTCACACAAAGAACCTGTCGAAGATTTCAAATAAAAAAAAAAACAACAAATAAAAAAAAAAAATCTAACTAACAAAAACGTTACTAATATATACTACAAAAGCCTCAAGTGACACCGTGTAATCAACTCACAAATGCACCCAGGGTTGCCATATTTTTTAGTACATTTGAATTAGCGGGGTATTGCAGCATGGATTTTTTTTTTTATACAACTTAGAATGGCAAACAAGCTGACGGCCCACCTGATGGAAAGTGATAACCGTCGCCTATACACATGAGCAGTACCATGGACATAACAGAGTATACTGTTTCGCCCATGATACCTCCCATGCGTTGCCATTCTGAGGACTCGGGTGTTATTCCTCTGTACCCAGTAAATTCACGCCATATCCCACCCTTCAAACCGAAACACAGCCATGCAAACACGACTGCTTCACGGTTGAAACACGAATGGGACAGAGGTACCCAAGCAATCGACTTTTGTACAAAGTCTCCCTCTGGATATATTATATAAGCGTGTGTGTGCCATGGCAAAACAAGATCACAATTACAACTCTATATGTCGCTTGACCCTGCTGGACAAGACATGATTTTGTACTATGAATTAATAGAATGCCTAATTTCTGAATTAATTTAATAAAATGCTGAAATAATATCTATTAATATGTAGAATGTAAAATCTCTAAATTAGAAGAAGAAACTATCAATAGATACGTTACTGACCTAACAATATTTGTTCAGGCTTTGATTTCTTCAGTTGATATGAGATATGAGGCAAAAACCATATCGGTGGAAACACAGAGCTCGGGGGAAAAAGCGTTAACGTCCTCGTTATGGGTATTGTTCATCGCTATTACATTATAACCCGCTTAACGCTTCTTTGCATGATGTTTTTTATTGGTGAAATAAATCAAGGTGATATAATTCGTGTTCAAAATTAAAGGAAAAATGGTTAAAAAAATAAATTTCACAGCTATGATTTTTTTTCTGCAATGGACATTAAAAAGGGATCCGGACACGATCAACTTATAGTGAACTTGTTCTTTTATATATATTTTGGGCATTCAATGTTATGATGGAAATTTCTACCATTATGCAAAGAAGGGTTAATTTTCTGAATGGTGGCAACCCTGGGCGGTCGGTGGCGCGCGACTAGTGTCTAGAGTGCAGCGTGCAGGGCGCAGTACTCACTCTGCGCGAGCAGCGAGGCGGCACTGTATACGGAGGAGCCGGCCGCCAGCGACGGCGCCGCGCCCGCGCCCGCGCCCGCCGCCGCCACTACGGAACCACACGGCTCGCACCAATACAACACTACCACTAACCTTTACCCACGATCTTTCCCTCGTACACCAGTACATAAAGTATCCTATCCTAAATAAATAAAGGTGTATCCTAACCTACCCATCTGGGGGGGGGGGGATTGTTAATAATGATTGATTGATTGCAGACTACCAGTCCCATTGCTAGCAATACACCCTGTCACGTCGTCCTCCACGTGGTTCCCCCTGGAAACCATCGTGGTTAATCCTAGTGGAATTCGTCACGATGGGCTAACTGGCCTGCTTTCATCGTCACCTATCATTCCTCACTGGTTCCCCGCCAGCGTACACCGATAGCTCAAGCGGGGCTACCATTTAATTACCACCCATTAAAAAAAACCTGCCCGTTTACCAGATTTCATTCAAATCTATCCAGCCGTTTAAACATGAGTGAGTAGCAAATACAACATACATTTTACGTCATACGTTTTAGAATTTCATATTCATAATACATAAATATGCATTACCGCCACACCAACTGTTCATTGTCCACTCTGCAGAACATGAAGCCATTTGCTGACAAAGACAGTCCTAATTTAATCCAATAAAGTGGTTATTCATGCTTACTATTCCACCATTTAATGTATGGCTAGAGCTGTTAATTCAACGTGGTAATGGAACCCACTCGAGGATAGTGTGAGGGGAAATAAAAAAGCTTTTTCTCTCCTCTCGAAGTTGACGCCGAATATGTCTTTGACGAACTTTATGCAGTACTAGCGTCTTGTTCCGGCTTCGCACGGGTGGACATTTTTACATTTTAAAAAGTGGCCACTAAGGCTGCACACGCGACGGAAACTTAAAAATGGAGTAACTTCTCCCGTTTTCCTAACATTTCCCTTCACTGCTCTGCTCCTATTGATCGTAGCGTGATGAAAAGTATACTATAACCTGCCCAGGAGTATGAAGAATAATTGTACCAAGTTACGTTAAAATCCGTCGATTAGTTTTTGTTTCTATAACGAACATACATACAGACAGACAAAAATTTGACTGCACTTTTGGCATCAGTATCGATCACTAATCACCCGCTGATAGTTATTTTGGAAATATATTTCATGTACAGCATTGACCTCTCTACAGATTTATTATAAGTATCGATATAGATTTTTAGTAGAAATCACTTTTATGGTCAAATTGTACAATATTAATTTTGAATTTCGAATACTGCATATTATAATACAGTCAATATTATAGTAAAGAACATGTAAACTCACCTACTCCCCGGCCGGCGCCCAGCGAGATCGGCTTCGTGAGCTGGCTGGCCTGTATCTTAATGGGTTTCATATTTGCAACCTGTCCGAACGCTACTCCAGATGGCGCTGCGAATAAAAAAGGATTATATTATGTTTACATATTGACCTTTTTTTTTATACAACTTAGAATGGCAAACAAGCTGACGGAACCACCTGATGGAAAGTGGTATCACATATGTTACCAATTATTTTATTAATTTAGTATACCAATATTTTATAATATTTGTATCATAACATAACTGTTGTCAAGTGTCACAGTTGCTGATTTGATTTAACTACAAAATGGTGATTTGTCATTTCCGGAATAATTATTTACCCGTCAAAACAGTCGACATAAAAACTAGAAGTAACGACCAACTGTTGACAGTTGTTGATTGAACATTGACCAGTAAAGACGTATAATTTGGTAAGTCGCTTTAATACAAATGTATTTTAATTGCAAAGTTGTGGAACTGTTAATACACGAGTTGGATTCCCCTATAATGACGCGAGTTTTATTTCATAACCACCGACCTGTTAAACATATTTAACCGCATTGTTTTAATGGCGAGGAAGTGAAAGAGGTTTGTTTAAATCGAAGCATTTGGCGTTCCATTGTTTCTGCCTACCCTAATGGGAGGCGTGACAGATATGTATGTATGTATGTATGTTTTAATGGCGTGTAAAATGGTAAAGTCATATTTACTTGTATACATTTAAGATATTTTCAGACCTTACACTAACAATATTTATTCTATTTACAATAAAAACAATAATTAGCATGTAATTTTTTTTATAACGTCCTAGGAGATATTCATTTAAACAATTAAAATTTCAAAATTATTTTAATACAAACTCTCGGAATAAAAACATTTGTCCTGGCGCCGACATTTTAGATCGACTTTAAAAAAATTCAGTGGTAGTTTTGTGTAGTGAATATATCCAAGTCGCGGGTAAAAACTACTAACTACTATGTACAAACGGTACTTTACCAGCTAACGGGTTTGTAGTCGGCTTCACGGTAACCATTGGTGTGGGATTGGGCTTCTTGTCCGCCAAGCGCGCGGCCGCTGCCAAAGTTTTCCCGCCACCTGAGAAACCAGAGACAAATTTGTATTTCTTTTTTTATACAACATTATATGAACGAGTCATGGCCATATCTCGTCTCTTAGCATAAGTTCACAACTGAATGCACCATATTAGAATCAATAAAAATTAGGAAAATACCTAAGTTTTTTTTTTTTTTATACAAGCATAGTAAGCGGTTGCCGTAGCCTATCAACGCTTGCAATACCTGAGGTATTACGTGCGCGTTGCCGACACTGAAGGGAGCTCATTCCATAATCTGAGTGTTCGTGGGAGAAAACATCTCTGAAACTACGTTGTAAGCGACCATTTAGGCTGTAAGGTATGAGAGTGAACTCCCTGTCGATACCGAGCCGTACGATGATAGAAAATGGCCGTGGGCATCATATTGAATAATTCCTGTGAGCACATGATATAAATGATGTAAACAAAACTCTTTTTTTAATGGAACTTCTAATTACCTGGTACCTCCAAGTTGTCCGGGTCCTCGTCATCATCGAAGTCGGATTCCTCGTCCGACGGTGTCGGGGGACTATCTTCATCATCACCATATGCGCCACGTTTTGACTATAACACACAATAGATAGTTTAAAACTTTCGCATTGTTGACACATATCTTAAATACAGTAAAAGCTCTTTATTCGCGGTGTATATGTGCCGTGAATATACCGCGAATACAGAAACCGTAAATATGGAAAACCGAACCACTTATACTGAATATTTGATTATCTGAACTTATTCTTTACAGTTCTAATTATATATTTAGAAATGGTATTATGTATTTTCTTTTATGTGTGAAAATGGTATGGTAACCTGCGCTAATGGGATATGCTGGCGGAGCATCAGTGAAGGTGATAGATAAGAATGAAAACAGGCCAGTTAGCCCATCATGATACATACAGAGGAATAACACCTGAGTTCTCAGGAATGACAACGCATGGGGGGGTATCATGAATGAAAAAGTATACTCTGTTATGTTCATGGTACTCTGCCTATAGGCGACGGTTACCACTTTCCATGAGGTGGGCCGTCAGCTTGTTTGCCATTCTAAGTTGTATAAAAAAAATATAGTATAAGTTATAAGGATAAATAAAGTCTTTATTCCTGAATTACAGATTCTATTTAAATTGTACATAGGTATAAATAACAAATGTTGACATTGGCAACATTTTATTTTTCAAGTTGTCCTTGGACATATGCCTTCTCCATATTTTACCATTGGTAATGGTAATGCCTTGCAGCTTGTCTCCAGCCTTTATATAGGTCATAGTAGTAGTAAATAGGTATTATGTAATCCATTATCTTTATAGTTCATAATGTTATTAAATCATATTATATAAATGAAGTATGTAAAACCCTTTACATATGTAATATATATTAAAGTGGGTATATATTATACTTTGTTACATAATAAATTGTACTAATGTAGGTAGACTTTATATTAACATAACATAAATTGGTTCAAGCTGAACACCACTATTTTGTAACATCATATGTTTAAAACATATTAACATAATAAATAAATATTAAAAATTAGTTACATATTGTTTAAATTTGACTTTGAAATCAATTATGCAGATTTTTGATTATATGGAATATTTTCTTTTTTATTTGATTCGGATAATGTAGATTCTATGTATTTATTTATGTGTATCTTCATGTATTTTGTATGTATGTGATATATATATATATATATATATATATATATATCATACAGTGTTTTGTTCCTTGAAGAATGTTCCACGCTGAGCTTCGACCTTTATGTATTACTGCAGATCACACATAATAACACAATTTTATAAATCTTATGTTGTTTTATGTATTATCTATTCTTATGAACATGTTGTGTGTGATTAGTAACAAACAAATAAACGATATATCTATCTTAATAAATTATATGTATTCGATATTTTTGTGCATTACAGGTTTTTGTATTTTATGCATGAAAAATTATTCACTCTTGCACCACCTGCCCATTTCTATCTGTTCTCCTTTAACCAAAGGTTGTCTGTAAGAGATTGCCCTAGCGATAAGACCACCTTTTGTACCTTTATGTGTATATTTCAATGTGTATTTATGTTACTGTATTTCATTTGAATTATTCACTTGTCATTGTATATTTTTATTTATGGTGCAATAAAGCGTTAAATAAATAAATAAATTCTACTGTAAATTAATTTTTAAGTTGACCATTTATTAATTTATTTTATTTCTCAGACACAAAAGTGCCTAAACATATATCATAACAACTACATTTGACTTCCGCTGATATAAACCCATTTATCCATTGGATTTGTCTGACAACTCTATAAATATAAAACAACAATGTAGAATCATCTTTGTCATAAATAAGGCATTATTAATTTACATTTTATACAATAACCATTAATATACTTTTTATGTTAGTTTTTGTGTAACTTGTAATGACAAACAAGCAAAATTTTTTTATGCAACAAGGAATTTATATTTTGGTAAATTTCAATTCAGATCTTAAGTGACAATAAAGTCTTATGTTGCTATTCATATTGTCTATTTAAATACTAAACAAGTTAACAGCTGTGTAGGCCCAGAAATAGAATGGGCTACCCCTTCTTTTCCCATGGGTGTTGTAAGAGGTGACTAAGAGAAAATAATGATGGAGGGATGGCAGCAGCATCCATCTTAAAACTTCACCAAAAGCCTAACGGCAGTTGCCAACCTGCCTGCTAAGAATAGCAACTACTAGCAAAACTCCCCTTATGGAGAAGGCTTATGTTCAGCAGTGGACAGTTAACAACTGAAATGATGATGATGATTACTTTATTTTAAATTTAGAATTTGATTGTTATTTATTTAGATATTGATGTTAAACATACTATGTTAATGAATTATGTTATATTAAGTCATACTAATAATTACTTATATAAATTTCAAAAACATGTCCACATAAAAACTCCAATAGCCTGTTAATTCATAATTTCTAACCTAAAATTAATTTTATATACTGTAATTATACAAGCTTATAATTGTTTTTTAAATAAACACATTAACAACTGAAACATGTTGTGATTATATAGAATCTTAGATTTAATGCAAATTTATTAAAGGTAAGATACTGCTGGTAAATAATTCAATTCTAGTATCAATTGCTTTTCTGTTTGTTTTCCAAGTTGCAGTAAGCAGCAAGTAATTTCATATACATTCGAAATTACACTGATAACAGAATTTTATAATGTTATTTTATTGGCAATGCACCAATATCTATGATAACAATGTACCTACATTGTGTAACTGACCATGTTACAGCTTGGAATTTACAAAGAAATCCATAAATTAATAATTTAATGTATAAAGACACGTGTTGTTAAACGTAAGTGCATAATAGACACAATGCATCGTATAGACATTGATCCCTGCTTAGTAATACTGCAATACAGCAATGTGCCTAACACAGACAAAGTGCAGGTATTCAAGACGTATTCTAACACTATGTCTAGAACCTTCCAAGAAAATCAATACAGCCACACCCAGCTTGAATAATTAAATCATCATAAATGCAAACAAATAATGAATTTTGGCCAGAAACATCCAAATAATAACACATGTGATATCGACACCACCTTGACAGATTTTTTTTTGGTTAGAAAACTTGAAAACAAAGAAAAAAATACAGAAAAAATAGTTTTTTCTACGCTTATTTTAAAATTCGAGCAAATCACTACGTTAAACACATACATATTTCATTAAATATTAATGAAAAATGCGAAAAACACATTATGTGACAAAGTAAAGTTTGTAAAAAAGTATCAAAACAAAAAACTATCATTACCATTTTTCAACCTGATTCAACGTTTCTGGATCACTTTGGCTTGCTAATTTTTGTTACAATGTAATTCACAAGCAAACATAGACTGTTCAATTTTTCACTAATTATAAATTAAAGTGAGGAACTTCTTGTTTCGTAATAACAAAAATCGAGACGTCCGAACGGCGGTCAATGCTTCCGCCATATTAAAAAATACGCAAAGAGCAAAGAAATTTCATTCGGATACACAAGAAAAAGTTAAATGTTAACAATACAAGTTACATTTTAACAATGCAAAAACGTTTCTGTTTTCGTTCCATAGTCAATTATATTTTACATTTAAACCTAAAACAAGTAGATATATAAGTTTGAACTATTTATTAATATATGATAAGCATAGTATTATTGAATCTTGAGTGCAAAGTGATTTTTAATGGAACTGTATCCGAACATATTGACGCGTTCCGTTCTTCTTGGTTAGCGCATGCTCCATATTTTTTAAGAAAAAGGAAAAAACCAACGAAAAACAGAACGAACCATAAGATTGCCATTCCTTAAAATACATTTAATTTTATTATTTCTACAATTCATTAGCAAATTTAAGTTATTTAAATATATTTATAGTCAAATAAATGTAATTGTAAAGATTCATAAATAAAATTAAAGTCAAACAGCAAAGTGAATATATTGTGTACATGTATACAACAACATACTATTCACATTTTATGTTTTCATTTTATTTAATAAATGGATAAAAAGAGAAATAGACGGTAACATTTCTTTTTTACTAATTGAACTCTAGCTCAATTAAAAAGCTTGATCAAAAAAGTGCATCAAACTTAATTATTGAATACAATTTAGACCTGAAAAACCCGATACTGAGTTGGTAACACTTCAGAATCCGCCATATTGATTATCGTTTACTCATTATTTTGATGTTGTTTGAATTAAATTTGTAATTATTAATTTTTACGGCAATTTTATCTCATTTAAATTGCTCTTCTTTATTGTATAAAATAATGGATTCTCTTATTGGATATGGTAGCGATGATGACAATGAGTCTGAACGACTTGGAAGCCATCACGTCTCGGTAAGTTTTTGTGTCCTTGAAATTAACACGAAAAAAAAGAGTGAAATCTAATTACGTTGCGCCGATTTATATATGGAATTGGTTATATTTACCATTTCCTAAAATAAAAATCGTAAAATAAATTATCCTATGTTGTATGTTAGTAACCCTATGTTGTATGTTATATTTAATTGTAGAATTTACAAAATAGTCACTCCGCTTTGATACAACGTTAATTGAAGTAAAAAAATGGCAAATTTCCCTACTCTGTTTTACAGATTAAGTTAGGTTCATTTACCCATTGTGACAAATCCGTTTGTTACAAATAATTCCCTATTACTTTCTAGCGTATTTTTAGGGTTCTATAAAAGGTACCCACTGATCAATAATATAATTGCCAACTTTTGATTATGATAAAAATAAATGACTGCAGATTTAGATATACATACTTGATGGTATAGATTATATATAGATACCGAACTAATATTTCAAAAACACAAATCTAAAATCACTAATCGAAAAGAATGTTTTTGTAATATTATTAATGTGAGTTCATCACAAACCTCTAAGTTTTCAAAGACATGTTATTTTTTTAATGGGTGAAAATGGAATGGGTACCCTCCTGTGCTATTTGTGTATGCTGGTGAGGCACCAGTGAAATATGTTAGATGAGAATGAAAACAGAGGGCTTACCATGAAATGTTTTCTGAAATTTCAGAGCTGAAAGTGTTTTGTGTAACACATTTTTAATATTAAAAGTACAAGATTATAAATGTTAGGATATTGTTCCTTCTGACTTTTATGGTAGGGTTTATGATGAAAGAAATATTATGCTCCATTTACTGGGCCAATTTCGGTATGAACAAAAGTATGAAATTGATTCCGAACATTTGGATTTTCATTTAATGGTGGACCCACAGGTCAGTTAGCTCATCATAAGTAATTCCACAAATATTCTAAGATGTTTTCCAGTGGGAACCGCATTCATGTCAACCTGATAGGATATATTGTTAGATATAGAGCTGTTAGATCCCATTACTACTTTTTGATAATGTTTTTTATAATTTAAATGAATACTTCAATCTTAAAACTAATTAAATTAATAATTAATAATAATTGACATGTAAGTGAAATTATGTTTATTTTATTTTAATTTGGTTATGATTATTCTTTGTCTTGTTAATTGTATTGTATAATATTTCATATTTATTTGTAATCAAGTAATGGTAATAGTATTGAATGTTTCGATGTTAATATAATTACCTGTTCTTAAATTGTTGCATGCCCGATAGGGTATAACTGTTGATACTGATGTCAAATTCAAAGCAATAGTTACTGCTATATGTATGTACACAGTTAGCAATAAAATTCTATTCTATTCTATTCTAACAATTCTTTTTCCCCTCAATATGTAGATTAATATAGCTATAATTAAAAGTGTACAGATGATAATAAAAAAAAGTTATCTGTATTAATATTTTAACACAAATTGTTTTTATATTTTTTAGATTTGTTATTATATTAATTATTCCTCTGTACCATGTAAATTCACTGCCATATACCCTTTAAACCGAAACAGCCATGCAAACACAAATGTGTCATGGTAGAAACATGAATGGATGAGAGGTGTCCTGTTTTTTTATCATACTAATATAAGGGTACTTTAAAAGAATATGAGGTAACACTAAAAATTACAATTCTGACTGTGAACAAAATAAATGTTGGAACGTTTAAAAACTAGCCCCTTTATACATAAAAATGTTAAAGCTCTCATAAACCTATATTAACTATTGAAGTGTTTTGTCTTTTTTTTTGTGTTAATTTCTCAATTTAAAAGACAGTTATAAATTTCAAACAAAAAGTTAAAATAGCTTTGAAGGATGTTTTATTTTTTATGAATAATAGGGTTGCTTCAAATTTAGTATATAACCTGTGAATCAAATTTGCACTAATAATGTTTTTACTGTGATAATAGCAGAGCAAAATAAATGTATTGATATGCAATCACATTATATGTCAGGCCTGCTATATTTTATAGGAAAATTAAAAGCAACTTAATACAATTACATATTTATTTTGTTTTGTTTATTATTTAATGTATTATAAAGATAAATATTATGTCAAATATAGTTGATTAAATTCTAACCCCTTTAGGTTTATTATATTTATAATTATACCATATTTAAAATGTAGAAGACTAGTGTTTATTACTACTAAAGAGGAAATGTGTATGTTTGTATTTAGAATTTTCTATTTACCAGAGGGAGCTTTATATGAAAGTTGTTTGGGTACCTCTGTCCCGTTTTCTGCCATGAACTATTCCACCCTTCAAACAATTGTGTTTACATGGCTGTGTTTCAATTTGAAGGGTGGGATATGACAATGAAATTACAGGGTCATGTACCCATTTACATTACATCTTAGTCTTCAGGGATGGCAATGTATGAATGGTATCATGAGCGACACAGCATACTCTGTTATGTCCGTGGTACTATTCATGTCTGTAGGTAATGATTACCACTTTCCATCAGGAGGGCTGTAACTTATTTGCCATTATTAAACAGAAATAATATAGCATAATTGTGTTTTGTTTTGAAGTACATTCCACACTATAATCTTTTTTTGTTTTTAATTATAACCTTTAAAATTGGCAATGCATAAGGGAGGGTACCATAGACTCCATAGTATATATTCTTTTATGACCAGAGTGAATTATTTTTTTAATTAAGACTGGCTAGAAAGCCAGTAAAAAGTAAAATAAATAACGAAGTACAATTGAGTACAAAAAAAAATAGGTACAACAATTACATACATAGATATTTGTTACTTATAGTCCATAAAAAAAATATACATATAAAAAGTAATATGTGATCATAGTGATGTTTGTGTGTATAGGCAACAGGTACCACTTTCCGTCAGGTGGTTTAAGAGTAAAATAAAAAAAAAAAAGATATTAAAAGAGTCATAAATTATTCCATATTCAAATAAATTTGAAAATGGAAGCCAAGAATGATAATTAAACTTGTCATATTACTATCAAACTATCCATAAAGTGTAGTGATATTGTTCCAGAGAAATGTTTATTAATCTGTTTTCTCTGCTTGACAATAGACTGATATTGTAGGTGGGCGGTGTGTCCGGTGGGCCGGCGCGGCGGCGCGACGACGACACCAACTACGATGACGTCAACATGGACATGAGCGAGGTGATTACATCTTATCCGCATACCATTCACATACACACGTGTAGTGTAGGGTAGTCAGATTTATATATCACCTATTTCATATTATAATCTGTTTTTGAATTACTCTACTAGTTTCCATTATTACGATACTATATTGTAAACTTGCATTGATCAATTTATATATAATATCTCTCCTTCTTAAGCAGTAAGCATACATGATGTGCTGTTTTCAACAATGATATTAACACTTTTATTATTTTATATGTTACCCATTTGTAAATTGACACAAAAAAAGTCAAAATACCCCCCGAGTACACGCTGAAGTCCCGCGATGACGGCTGTCGACTGCCATGGCTTCTGTTACACCAGGCACACGTAAGTACGTATATTTAAGGCATACTAAATCAACGATAAGTTGGCAATATCTCAATTTATATCCATAATGAAATATGGAAATAAGAAATTTTTACATTATATTATTTATTGCTTAAATGTAAAATGTATATAAACTAAATTGAAGTGGTAATATGAAAAATTCATAAACAGTTCTTGTACTAATTTGTGATAATCAAGATAATTTGAAAAAAGATATTCCCTAGGGGTACCTATTTATATTTGACAGAATGTTATTAAAATTTCACATAGCTAGTATAGCGAAAGCGGTACACATCTCTGATGCGTAGGGTCCGGGACAGCTCTAACGCCATCCTAAGGGTATTTGCGGACCGTCCACACTGCCAGTATTTGAATCATTGCAGAATAATTCACATGCTGGCTAACATACAAAAAAAAAAAATGTAGGTTAAGATAATGTTATTTGTTATAAGTGTCAAAATTTGATTTAATAATTTATATCTGGTACGAACTAATATTGTTAAAGTTTTGTGGACCCTGGTTGCCTTGATTAAAGAATTTATTTATTATTATTTATTACACTCAATCTCTATAAAGTATTATACAATGGCATCCCCATTGTATGATATTTTATTCCCAAAGTTTATTCTCTATCAATAAAACGGAAATTTCTTTTGCATATTTTATGGTCGACTGGTAGAGAGCAACGTTTGGTGTTAAGTCCACCAAATGTACGTAGAATTTTACTGTGCATTAAAGTTTAAATAAATAAATATTTTCCTTAAATTATAATTCTAAGGAGTGGATTAATAAAACAGATTTTAAATTTGGAACTAGCTAATAAATGGCCATCTCTTATGAACGTTACCGGTAATGTGGCTATTTTCTACAGAACTAGCTCCATATAATTCTTCATAGTCTGTGATAGAATAGTTTTGCTAATTTACTTATTTTAGATAAAGGTTTTGAGAATATTATTTTACAATTAACTCCAATATCTTACACCTATAGTTTACAAATGAATCAGACCATTTATGACCTCCCTTCACTCTAAATACGTTAAATATTTGATAACAAACATAAGAGCAATAGGATGTTACAGCTTAAACACGACAATTACATTCTATTAGGACTTGCATGCTTATGTGACATTATTTATTACATAAGCAATGTATAAAACTTATAAAATATTGAAATTTCATTAAAATATGAGAATAATATTTTGATTAACATTCCATTACCTATATGAATTTTTTTTTTCGATTTTTTTTTATACTTAATTGTTTTTATTCAATGCTGGCAAAGAAAATAGTTGTATACTTCTATTATAAATTATTAGACTATTGATATATGTATAATACTTGTCTTTTCTTCAGATTCAATACTATCTATGTATTATATTTATACTGTTTTGATTTATTTTTAATATGCGGACTATAGTGGAGATAAATAAGACCCCATGAGTCGCAATAGTTATAATTCAGTTAAGTATTAATGTAATGAGGGAATTACAACAAAATTTATAGATATATTTCTTTTAGTATGGAGTACTTAAATAGAATAATTTTATGTAATCATTCTTTCTCAGTTTTTTTTTTTTTTTTTTTTTAATATAAAATTTTATTTTATTAAAAAAAAAAACTGCTTCAAGCAATCTAAGAATTGATGAAGGTAACGTGTAAATATACAAATAATTAAAAAAAAAAAAGCAAATGCCTTGTTAACATTTTTAGCCAGTATTACTCGGGTATTGTGTACGAAGTCTTTTTTTTTTATATACAATTTAGAATGGCAAACAAGCTGACGGCCCACCTGATGGAAAGTGGTAACCGTCGCCTATAGACATGAGCAGTACCAAGTCTAATGGTAACCCATACATTTATATCTTTGTAGTTATGGTGAAATATAAAAACTTACGTATTGTTTTATGGACCATCAAAAACTAAATTTATAATAATTTTGACTTCAACATATTTAAGTTTAATTCACATTGGTCCTTAAAAGTTAGTCGATCATGTACGGAGTTTTAACGCCCATGTAATTTTAAACATAGTACATTTAAATAAATACAGTCATAATGTTAACAGAGATTTAAAAGAGTAACTGTTGAGTTTGTTACGGGCTCTTCTCAACAGATAACAACCTTCCGAAGCTTGCAGTAGATTAAAAAAATACGATTTAAAAGTGTTTGTAAACAAGTTTATTTGAATTTGAAAGATTTCCCTGTGAAATTATATTGAAAATTTAATTTTTTTTAATTTTTTATATTGAAAGTTTAGTAAATTGACGTTTCAGAATCGACCCCATTGTAATCTTTCTCTGTCACCACATGGAGAATAGCTAAAAGATGTGCTCATGATGCAGTCATTCCCTTTATCCCTAATGGAGTAGTCAGAGACATAAACTGTAGTAGCTGATTTTAGCGTGAATAGCATTATAAATTGATATACGTATTATTTTTTTTATGGGTGAAAATGGAATGGTAACCCCGCCCGCGCTAACGGGATACGCTGGCGGGGCACCAGTGAAGGGTGATAGATGAGAATGAAAACAGGCCAGTTAGCCCATCATGATGAATTCATCAGGAATTAACAATGATAGTTTCCAGGGGGAACCGCGAGGAGGTCGACCTGGTTGGGTATATTGCTAGCAATGGGATTCTCAGTCTCCGTCACTAACAATCCCTGTCCCCCCGATATACGTATGATTCTATGTATTCGATAATGTAATATATATAGTCTCTAGTGGTAAATTCACTAAATAAAAAGTACGTTAATAATTGTTAAGTAGGAGTAGGTGATACGAACACCAATCTGATATCTATATATAGGGTACTTGAATATTAATATAATGATATATTAATGGCGGGAAAAGGTCCATTCTCCATCACCCATTTTGATATCGTCCATATCGGTTGGGTATCTATTTTCGAATATTTTAAAAGTCTGTTATCCAATATTATTTTTTGGGTAACAAACTTTTAACATATACGTTATTGGATCAATATATATTGTATATATTTATTGTAATAGATATTGTATATTTTTGTAATTATAATATATTATTGTAATAGATATTGTAACTAAAATATATAGGTATTGCTATATATTACTCGCGTCTATTGTTATCACGATTATAATTGTACCTTTGCACAGGATAGTGGTATGATGTATTTGTATCGGTAATTTGTCGCAGGATTCGCAGGCAGAGTCGGAGCCCGAGCTGCCGCCCGCCGAGCCGCACAACTCGTCGCGGCGCTCGTCACGCGATGACAGGAGGGGCTCAGGTACGCTGGCATTTATGCTTAATTTTTTTCCATTGTTAAGCCCCAATGCTAGTAATGTTACTAATCAGGTCGACATCCACGTAGTTCCCCTCGGAAACCGTCGTGGTTACTTCTCGTGGAATTCTTCATGATGGGCTAACTGATCTGCTTTCATCGTCATCTATCGTCTATCACTGGTACTCCGCCAGCGTATACCGTTAGCGCAGGCGTTACTATTGCATTATCACCCATTAAAAAAAATATATGGATACCGATCCGATATGTATATATTGGGTTCCTCTGCACATTGATGGCGGGAAAAAACGTCATCATCTACTTCGATATCGGTCTGATATCTATTTAGGAATATGTTAAAAGTCTGTTATCCAATATTATTTTTTGGATAACAGACTTTTGACATATTCGTTATTGTGGACCTGTATATATATATATATATATATATATATATATATATATATATATATATATATATATATATATATATATATATATATATATATATATATATATATATATATATATGTATATATTGTTACTAAAATATGTAAATATTGCTATAAATTACCCACCCCTATTGATAATGTAGCTTCTTTGTTGAATCCTAATTCTTGTTGATTTCATTACGATGAGCCAACGGACCTGCTTTCATCTTCACCTATCATCTGACATTAGTGCCCCGCCAGCGTGTACCGTGTGTGTAGCGTGGGCGGAGTTATCATTCCATTCTCATCCATTAAGTATACTAAACGTCATTTGTCTGCAGACGACAGCCGTGATCGTGACGGCGATCGTAAGGACCGCCGCCGTGAGTCTCCCGGTCGGACGCGGCCCGACCGCGACCGCGGCGACCGCCGCGAGCCACGCAGGGATGATAAGTACAGGTATGGCCACAATATTTTATACGTTTGAGTACCGACGAGCGCCATTGCGCTCGTGCGCATTGTAACTAAAACTGCCGCGAGCACCATAGTACTTGTGACATCATTTGCTGTTTAGCTCGCTGTAGGAAAATTGGATAATAAAGATACAGTTTTTTTAGAAACAAGAATAAATTACAACAATACGACAAAGGCATTTTTAAGTAAATATGAGTAAAACGGTTAAACATCAAAGTGAGTTTGATTATTACCTTTTAGCGCCTTAACAGCTTAATCTGTCACTATGTGGTTTGGTATACACGTACTGTAGGAGGTGGATAATGACGTACTTTTATATGCTTTTATAAGTCCCGATCACGGGGACGAAGTCGCGGCTGAAAACTTTGCCTACATTAGTCGTTGATGGTGTAGCTTTCTATAGGTGTAAGAATTTTTAAAATAAGTTCATTATTTGTTGAGTATATATATTACAAACAAATATTTCCTATTTATAATATTAATATAAATAAATACTACGAAACATACAAAGAGGACGCCCCTTCCTTTCCCGTGGGTGTCGTAAGAGGCGACTAAAGGAGGGCAAGCGGTGGGCAGCAGCGTCCCTCTTAAAACATCTCTAAAGCCTAACTGCGGTTGCCAATCCACCTGCCAACTGTCAGCATGGCAGCTACTGGCAAAGCTCCATTCACACAGCTGAGAAAGTTCAGCAGTGGACAATTAAAGGCTGACGATGATGATAATACAAAGCTTTAGGGTCGGCAACGAGTTAGTGACACTCCTATTGTTGCAGGCGTCCATAGTCAACAGTGACTGTTTACCATCAGACGTGCCCTATGCTTGTAGGCCACCTTCGTGGTATAAAAAAAAACAGTTTACAGATAATGGTGACCTTGCCACTTTCATGTGAGCAAGAATATGAATGCTATTAATCGTTTTAAAAATTTGTCTTTAATTAAATTTGGTCTGTAGAGCGGAGCGAGACCGTGGCCGGCACGACAGCGCGGCGCGCCGCGGCCTGCTCGGCGACAGACCCGACGACAAGCACACAGACGGAAAGGTAAACATTACCCATTACTTGTTTTTTTTTCTTTAATTGAAAGTTTCCTCTTATCGGTGCAACTAATTCAAGCATCTTCATCCAGCCAGTTCTATCCCAGGCCGTATCTTTGACCTCCCTATACGACATGACACCTAGTGTTTCCTTTATCTGTCCCATGTAGTTGTTCCTCGGTTTTCCTTTTCTTCTTTTGCCCTCTATTTTTCCTTCTACTATGCTCTTTAAAAAATTGTCATGTTGTATGAGATGGCCCAGCATTTTGTCTCTTCTTTACTTGCTTTCAGATGATTTTAATAATTAAAATAAATAATAATGATATTAAATGTATGTAGAAGTAGAAAAAACATAAATAAAGTATAATTTTAATTTGTCTATGACTGTTTTTCAAAATTATTCATCATAACATTTATATTGTGTACTGTTTCTTTTATGAAAGAATTAAAACCGGTTATGTACAGACTAGCTGTTTCTCACGGTTTTACACGCGTCAGTTAGTAAATAAAGTATACTATGTGCTAACATAGGATATGTCTTACACCCATACACAAAATTTCATTCAAATCTGTCAAGTAGTTTTTGATTATACCGTTACAATTTTTGACATTTATAAGATATACATGGATAGTACACATGAGTAATATCGATACAGATCCGATATCTATATATTGCGTCCATCTGGACGTTAATGACGATCAAAAGAGGTCATTACCCATTTCGATGTCGCCCGTACCAGTCTGATATCACCATTCATTTCAATATTTTATATTTTTTTTTATGGGTGATAATGTAATGGTAACCCCACCCGCGCTAACGGTATACACCAGCGGAGCACCAGTGAAGGATGATAGGTGAGGATGAAGCAGGTCAGTTAGCCCATCGTGTGAATTCAACAAGAATTTTTCACGATGGTTTCCAGGGGGAACCACGTGGAGGTCGACCTGATAGGGCATATTGCTAGCAATGGGGCTGTCAAGCTCCATTGTTAATAATCCCTTTCCCCCCAATATTTTATATTGGACAACCAATATTTCTTAACTTATCTTTTATTGAAAGAAAGAAACTTTATTTTACATAAATATATGACTACATTCACAGAGGGGTCAAAAAAACAATTATTAAGAATTAATGGACCAATATATAGATATTGTAGCTATTTATACATAGATATTGCTATATATTACGCGTCTCTAGTACATAGTGCATTAATGATGGCAACTATCTGTGGTAGATTTTTTTCACACTCAATTTTCCACGCTTAGCCTCTCATTTGGGCCATTGTGCGTTATACTGTATTATATACTGTACAGTATTATAACTGTTAAGAGAGTGACTGGCTGAAGACCAGCACTGTGCAGCTGTACACACTGCACTGGGACACTCACAGCGTCAGCTGAGCCAGTTGCTTTTGCCTAATGTGGGACACTTATAGAATATTTTTGAATTTTCTATTTAAATAATGCGTTTTTCTGGCAATAAATATTTTCTATACTATTCTCTATTGTTCACAGCCACCGGCGCTTATGGATTTAAAACCGTTTGGCGGGGAGCCGCCGCCGGGTTTCGACCAGCGGCGCTCGCAGGACGCAAGAGACGCCGTGTCGCCAAGGTATGTTTATATAGAAATTTATACATAAGGGATGCCGGAATTCGTCACAAATAACCCGCTAGCACTTTGGTTGCTAGAAAGATTCATATTATTCTAGTGCTGACAAAGACAATAGGACTATTATTGCAGGCAATATATGATACACTAGCTGTACCCTCGGTGTCGGCCGCTTGAAATAATAAATAAAGTATCCTATGTGCTAAGTTAGGATATAATCTACCTGTGTACCAAATTTCATACAAATCCGCTAATAATGTTTACGAGAAAGATTAACAATCATCTATCTATCTGTACAAACTTTCATACCAATAATATAAAGAGGTTTGCTATTTATATATTTAAGTTAAAGCAAGTTATTTAACTATCCACTGAAATACAGGTCTAGTTCTGTGGGTAGTAGATCTAACTATATGTAATTTATTATTCAGACTTCATAAAGACAATTATTATAGTTGTCGCAATGATGTGTTTGAAATTATAACTTCAGCAAATTCAGGGTATATAGACTTTTTTTATACAACTCAGAATGGCAAACAAGCTGACGGCCCACCTGATGGAAAGTGGTAACCGTCGCCTAGAGACATGAGCAGTACTATGGACATAACAGAGTATACTGTTTCGCCCATGATACCCCCCGTGCGTTGCCATTCCTGAGGACTCGGATTTTATTCCTCTGTACCCTGTAAATTCACGCCATATCCCACCCTTAAAACCGAAACACAGCCATGCAAACAACTGTTTCACGGTAGAAACACAAATGGGCCAGAGGTACCCAAGCAATCGACTTTTGTACAGAGTTAGCATCATTGTCATTTCAGCCTGTATCTATCCACTGCTGGACATAGGCCTTCTCGAATGTCTTCGACCATACACGTTCTTCTGCTTTCCACATCCATCCATTTCCGACTGTCTTAACAAACGGAACAGTGACCGTCTAAGAGGGCGCCCCACAATACATCGTCCTGTACATATCCTGTCCAAAATTATTTAAATTCATAAAGTAGCGTTAAATTTACAGGTTCGTAGACCGCGACCGTCGTGACCGCGAGAAGGGAGAGCGTATCGACAGAAGCGACAGGGGGGAACGTGGCGACAGGAGTGATAGGGGGGAGCGCAACGACAGAGGCGACAGGGGGGAGCGTGACCGCGACCGACACGGCCGCCGCTCCGAAGAAAGGAAGTAAGTGGTCACTGGCAGTAGATCTCTTTATGTATAGATCGTTAGTTGATTTTATTTTGTAATTATACGTAATAAACGACTTCAAAAACAAGGTTTCAATTCGGTTGAATTTTATTTTCTTTGTTACATGTCAGTTGTGAACCGATTTGGAAAATTCTTGATTGATGATTGATCCCATAAAAACTTTATCAAAAAACGGATCAGTATTTTAATTTTTATATCTAAAACTTGTTTTGCCACGATTGAAGTTGGTTTTGTTTTGTAGGACTCAGTAATTTCTAATACTGAATAATCCTGATACTATTAAGAGATAGACTAAACTGTCTTTAAAAAAAAGACGTTCATGCTCATTTTTTTACTTTATCCGAGCAGTAAGTGCTTTATATTATTCTCAATTTCGTGTATAATATACGAGGTTTGTCCAGAAAGTACGTATAAAAGTTTTTTAAAAAAATTATTTTACAATTATTCAGGTAAATCAATTTTATCCACTTCAAAGTACTCCCCCTGTGACATAATTCACTTGTGCCAACGCCGTTTCAACTGTGAGAAGGCTCCTTGAAAGTCCTCTGGTTGTAGGTTTCTCAGCTGCCCCGTCGTAGCTTTTTTTTATCTCATTTATGTCCCCCAAATGCCGCCCCCGAAGTACCAATTTGGTTTTTGGGAACAAGAAGAAGTCACACGGGGCCAAATCCGGCGAATAGGGGGGGTGTTCGGTCACCGTAATGGAATTTTTACTCAAAAACTCACGGACAACAAGAGAGGTGTGGGCAGGGGCATTGTCGTGGTGAAGAATCCAACGCCCCTCTCGCGCCAATTCTGGACGAACTCGTGCCACACGAGCTTTGAGGCGTCTGAGCACATCGACGTAGAATTTTCCATCAACTGTCTGGCCTGGAGGGACGAATTCTTGATGGACAATCCCCCGAACATCGAAAAAAACAATCAACTTGAACGCTTTCTCGGCCCTCTCTGAATCTTTTTAGCCACTTGTGGACGGTTGGTTCCTTCACAGCATCATCCCCATAAACTGTTCTGAGATCGGCAAAAATTTCACGGCCATTCTTGCCGAGTTTCGAGAGAAACTTGATTACGACGCGCTGCTCTTCAACGGAAGCGGGCTCCATGCCGACGGGGTTTCGTTAAGAGGTAACTTCACAGATGGCGTGACAAGCCAGTTCGCACCGCACGGCGGTCAGACCAGAACTGAAGCATTGTTAGGGACATAAGGAAGGGGTCCTGCGCTTACCTGGCCTCCCCACTCCTCTTTCTCGCATTCCAGAACACTTTTATACGAACTTTCCGGACAGACCTCGTAGTATATGTCATATATGTGTAAGTATATTTGTTATTCATATATATTTATTCGTGTATATATGTAATTTTAGTATGTATGTATATCAATAATTAGTAGTACCGCATTCGAGTGTTCTGACACTTCCCTATGGTTGACTGGGGGAGAATGTTTTTAGCATTAGGTCCGCCATGTATATATGTATGTTATTATTATAATGTTTTCTTACTTCTCGAGATGATTTATTGTAAAAATGCTAAATTGATATTGTTACAGAAGTTCACACCGTCGCCGCGAGCGGTCACGGTCGCGGTCGCGGTCGCGGTCACGCGGCGCCGCCTTCCCACCACCCACCACACATACGTCTACGTAAGTATTTTGCGTCTGCGCTCGTTACACCAATGAAGTATCAGATAGTAAATAAATATTTCTAAAGTTCCAAGCTACGCGAAAACTTTAGCAAAAAAAAAATTACGAAATACTGGCCAGTTATAATTATTTTGAAAATAGCATTCAAAAGTAGAAATATGAATGTTCCATTTTAATTTTTTTTTTTATTCTCCATGCGTATTATTTTATTCGCCGTTTAGTCCCAGCATAGAATAGGCCACTCCTTCCTTTCCCGTGGGTGCCGCAAGAGACTAAGGGAGGGCGAGGGATGGGCAGCAGTTGTCCCTCTTAAAACATCCCCAAAGCCTAACCGCAGCTGCTAAACTACCTGCCAAGAGTGGCAACTACCGGCAAACCCCACCAAGGAAGAGGCTTACACTCAGCACTAGACAGTTAAAAGCCGATATGATATAGGTCTTTATATCGGTACATTATTTATATATTGTTGTTAATTAACTCATTTTTTTTTCCAGCTCTGGCGAAAGACGTGGTTCCCCGCCTTCTGGAGATTACAGACCGTCATCTTATAAAGTTAATAAAAAATTAGAAGTCATGGAGAAAATGGGTAAGGAATAGTTTCTAATTAGCACATTTTGTTATGTAATTGGTAAGCTCACGGCCGACCTGATGGAAAGTGGCAACTGTCATCTTTAGACACCACCACTATTCACGATTCAGTTGTGATATTCAATATATTCTTGCGAGGAAGATTGTTGTAGAAAATCACTAATGAATAAGGTGAAGAGACTCGCTAAAAACTCTTTGGAATCAACTTCCAGCAGCAGTATTTCCGAACCGATACGACAACATAACCTTCAAGAAAAGGGCATATTCCTTTTTAAAAGACCGGCAGCACATCTGCAATGCCGTTGGTGTTGTGGGTGACCATGGGCGGCGGTAGTCACTTACCATCATGTAAGCCGCATGCTCGTTTGCCCCCTGTGTTGTAAAAAAAAAAAAAGACTAGTGAGTGGCAAGATTCCTACCGACAAGAGCATAGCTCTTAAATAGGAAGAAAAGTATAAGTAATGCAGTGTAATGTAAATAAATCTTTGACACATTTTTTTTATTTATTTAATACAAAAATCCATAGCTCTTAAAAAATAACTTATGCTAAGTCATTTATAAATACAGCCAACAACGGATTTTATTTATACAAACGAAAGTTAAATAAGTATAAAGCAAGATAGGCAAGTTAGAGTATGTAATGTAAGTGTATGTTTGAAAGAAACTGTAACAATGAGTGTCCATAACGTCAGGTTAATGGATATATAAATTAAATAAAATCTATGTTGCTGCAGTTCAGACATTCACATTATGTCATCTTTGTGGGGAAAAATGTTCAGTTGAACGTGTATAACACACATTGGAGATGCTAATTATTTCGCTATCATCTTATAATCCATTTTCGTACATAAATGATTTACACTCATGTGTCCGGTCGTGCAGGGCTGCAGATCAAGACCCCGGACGGGTCGATGGCGACGGCGCAGCAGCTGCGGGCCGCGGCCGCGCCCACCCACCCGCTAGGCCACCACTCGCACCACTCGCTGCCCTCCTACTACAATCCCAGCGCCGTCAACACTACCAAGATACTCGACCAGGTGTGTATTGCGCATTACAAGCCAGCTAATGAAGGAGGAAAAGGAATCATTAGTAATGGACTCTAGTGACTAGTAATTGCATACATGCAATTCTTTAATTATTATCATATGAGCCGTTAACTGTCCACTGCTGAACATCCTTCTTGGCAGTTTTGGCAATAGTCGTCACGCTTGGCAAACAGGTAAGGCACGAAGCTAGACTTTAGTGATGTTTAGATGTAAAGAGGGACGCTGCTGCCCATTCCTCGACCTCGACGTGAAAGGGTAGCCATTTTATGCCAGGACCGCATGGCAATACCAGGCCATTCTAGCAATATACCCTCTAAAGAATGAATAAATTGGTGAATGTGGTGAGAAAGAAAGAGGTCTGTTTGAGGAGCATTTGGCGTTCTATTGTTTCTGGGTTTTTTTTTTTATACAACTTAGAATGGCAAACAAGCTGACGGCCCACCTTATGGAAAGTGGTAACCATTGCTTATAGACATGAGCAGTACCATGGACATAACAGAGTATACTGTTTCGCCCATGATACCCCCCATGCGTTACCATTCCTGAGGACTCAGGTGTTATTCGTCTGTACCCTGTAAATTCACGCCATATCCCACCCTTCAAACCGAAACATAGCCATGCAAACACAACTGCTTCACGGTTGAAACGCGAATGGGATAGAGGTACCCAAGCAAATGACTTTTGTACAAAGTCAATTGTATGTATAAAAAATACAAAATTATGGTCAAGTAGTCTTGCATAGACTAATCTGTCAAGACATACCACTGTGTGCAGGTCCAGAAACGCAAGTTGCTATGGTCTAACAAGAATAAGAGTGAAGCGGAGGAGGCGGCCAAGTGGAGCGGCACGCGGTTCGCGCAGGACAGCGACGGCAAGCAGGTGTCCAAGTTCATGCGGCTCATGGGCATCAAGGAGCCATGTCAGTGTAATATAATTATTTTTGCCCACTTACAAACTTGTGTCGACATGTACCAAAATTGCCAAAAAATTTACACAAAATTTCGAAAAAAATACTTTTTATACCAGTAAAGTGGCAAACAAGCATACGGCCCACCTGACGGTAAACGGTTACCATAGCCTGCAATACTAGATGTATTATTCGCGCGCTTCCGACCCTGAAGAAACCTCTTTATCCCCCTTTTGAAGAACTCCATGCTGTAGTCCCTAACGACGATTAAAAGTGCTTGTAAACAAAATATAGATTATTAGAACGGTAAACAAGCTTACAGCTTACCTGCTGGTAAGTGGTAAACATCGCCTATATACGTAAACAGTACCGAATACACTGATGAGCTTGGTGCGTAATGCTCTGGTCCCTGTAATATCATTTTAAACTTAAACATAAGGGGGTAACAGGTACTCATGCAGACAACTTTTGTGCTGTGTCCCTCTGGGAAACATTGTATGACCTATACATCCTACCCACCTATCAGCGTTGTAACTGTCCACTGCTGAACATAGGTTATATGGAGCCAGTAGTTGCCACTCTTGGTAGGAAACTGTTAGGATTTAATAATAATTTGAGATAAATGCTGCTGCCCATCTTTTGATCATTAAGTTTGATAGTCGTCTTTTACGACTCACACGGGAGCCACATGGCAGCGGTGGCTCGTTCTATGCCGGGACTACACGGCAACCTTTATATAAATGTACTCAATGAATAATATGAACACAGCTGCAGTAAAACCCGAGAACCCGGAGCCGTCGGCGGACCCGATCAAGAAGCAAGAGGAGCTGTTCCAAGCGATGCAAGCGCAGTATGAAGTGGCGCGTGCCACCACGCACACCATGCGCGGCGTCGGGCTCGGCTTCCAGCGCGGCCAGTACTAGCCTCGCCATCACCCGGCTTACCGGCCCTCGTGGACTACGCTCGACACTGCGAATAGGGAGCCCTGCCTAACAATTAACCTCGTAATGGAAGGGTTACTATCTCGTCTGAAAAATTAACATTCGGTACATAGCAATACGTTACAGTGTTGCCAGCTTGACGTAAGATTTCCGATCTTCTGAATTGAACACAGTGGGCTAGATTGGTATAAAATTTTGAAAATGTAACTCTTTTGCTGTCTGCCTACTTTTTGGAATTTTGGATATACTCACGATAGTAAGTTTAATGGGAATGTATTTGTACAAAATTATAAATAATTAAATATTAAAAAAAAAAGCTATATAAAAACATTAATTAATCTTAAACATGTCTCAAAGCCCCTGTTAACATTTTTTGGTCATGTTCAAGCCGGATTTTCACATTATAATGCCTGTCTCGATTCCTTGCCAGTTCAATCTAGGTCTGTTTAAATATATTTATGTAAGAAACAATGTATGTATTCATATCTGTGCAGTCTGCTTCCGATCCAGTCACTATCAATTTCAAACTGCTACCATACCGAGGTTTTACTTACCATACCGAGATTATATTGCGAAAAAACCGAGACCGACATTATTGTGTGGACCCAGCGTTATTGTATTCGATATATATATCTTTCGTAACATCAAAGCAAGTAGTATATAGTAACGGCATACTTGTTTTTTATATAAGTTAAAATACTAGGGACATTTATCCCAGGAATACTTTCAGATTGTAATATATTCAAACTATTTCGAACATCAAGCCTCACATAGTCTAGGGCTATGTTTAAAAAATATATACATATTTTGTTAGGATCTGTGGTTCATTCCGATACCATAGAATTCTTATTATGGTGAAAGTACCATAAAACTAAGCAGTATTGGCTTTAATTAAGAATTTTTTACTAGTAAATATTTATGTGATTGTTGAAATACATTGAAACATGAATTAATGGCGTTTGCCATTTAAAAACATGACATTGGTACGTTCTAAATTTAAATAATTACAAACTCTTGCTAGGTTATAAAATACTTTGAACTTGGTGTAAATTAAAAAAATATATAAACATGCATGACAGGCAACAAACTATTATTGTCCTTGTAACATAACGACTTTCGAGTTTTTTTTTCCAAGTATTAATATAAAAAATAACGCATGTACTCGTATAGTCTTGTTGTAAATTAAAGTATACATCTAGAAAAACGTATGATTTGGTGAGAACGCCATGTTAAAATATTATTTTAGTGTTCTCTCAAATATTTGAATTCCATTGTTCGATGTCTGTCATGATTGTAAGTCATTATTATATGTAATAATGTGGGAATTTTGTAAACTTCTATGTTAGTTCATCAAATTTCCTTTATACGTATAATTATGTATATAGATAAAATAAAAACTCCTTATTTCTAAAAATGTCAAACCATACATAAACATATTTTACCTATTCAAGTGTTTTGTCTCGTTCTTTTGTATTAATTTCTCAATTTAAAAGATAGTGTAATAGATAAAATAGGTTTGTACGCCGTTTTAGTTTTCATAAATAAGGGGATAAGTCGTTATTGTAAATATAATTAAAAAAAAGTTACTCTATTTTATATTTTGCGTACTGAAAGTTTATACTTTCGGTCAAACGTAATGATTTACTACATACATGTTTCACCGTGACCGCCTGTTGGGTGGTAATGCGTGGATTTATTTTGTATTTATAACTTGCACATTGGCACCTTCCTTAGTGTAAGTAGAATCAAGAAATTTTATTTTAAAATTGTATTTTCATTATATATTGTAATGTATGTCACGAAATCTTACAATGGAGTCGGTTCTGAGGCCCTATTTCTTTAGACTTGTTTGAAATTAAAATAAATTTGATGTCATAGCGAAATCTTTAATGTATGAACCAAAATGAACTCATTATGTACTAGATTTAAATCAAAATTATAGTAATTTTAGTTTATGTTGGTTCATATAACAGTAATTTAAAAAAAAAATATGAAATTAAAGTATTATGTTAAGACATCTTACAATCGGTCCCATTGTTTTTCTTCTTAGTCGTGTTTTTTTTTCTAAATTATTTATTTAAAAATAAAATTGACAAAATTATCTTACTAATTGTAAGATTATTTTGTCTATTTTATTTCATAAAAATATAAAAGTCAGTCACCTTATATATCTATTTTAGATATCGAAGTTTGTCCTTTACGCTCAAATCCCAGTTTGAAAGAAAGTGACAAAAAAATAACAAATAGTGTTATAAATCTGTAATAAAAAGTATATATACTAAATTGAACATTAATAAAATGGTTTGGAATAAATTATGAATAAGAGGCTGGTCTAGCTATTTATTTTATGGACTGTTATAAAAAAAATATAACGCGTCACTAAATTCATTGTCGATGGAAATTCATGCCAAGAGTGTTTTATAAATATGCCTAGTAAAATATCTTTATCTCAGCCATTATCTGGCCGTATTCTTTATCCATGAACAATTACTAAACAGTTTATGTAATGGTGTATAAATATGTCTAAATTTCGTATTGATTTGTAAATTATAATGAATACAAGGTTATAATACATATTTTCGATAATATATTATGAGATATGAGTTGCCATATTCAAATTAGTAATTTAGTTGACAGGCGATTTATTCAGCATTTAATAAAATATAATAGAAATAAAATAGACCACTATTTTGAACGAGTAAAATATTTTTTAATAAGTTTACCGCCATTTGACTAAATTACCAAAGCGATCCAAACTGTACATACTCGTGTACTGCTGTATTACAAAGGTGCCTTTGTGTAATTCTGCAAGCTGTGTGTGATATAACTAGCAGTAGAAATAATATAAACATGGCAATTATTGTGAGTAGAATTTTTAACATTATTATGTTTGTTTGTATCGATAGTTACTGTATTACAACTCGCAATGATTATCATTTTTATCAATTAGTTATTTAATTAATAAAAACTATAAAAGATTTTAAGTCTTTTTTTTTGTTGTTAAACAATTTAAGGTTTTCAACTTGACGCGATTTATCTCGAAATTCTGAAACGATTTTAATAGATTTTCATAATTGTTTTGATGCGGTACTAGTTTAGTCATGTTTTTTAATAACTGACAATGGAATGGTATCCCCGCCTGCGAGGGAAGGGGTTGTTAGTAATGCGGATTATCAGTTCCATTGCTAACAATATACCCTAACAGGTCGACCTCCCCGTGGTCTCCCTTGGAAACCATCGTGCTGAATTCCAAGTGTATTCATCACGATGGGCTAACTGACCTGCCTTTTCATCCTCACCTATCATCTATCACTGGTGCCCCGCCAGCGTATACCGTTAGCGCAGGCGGGGTTACCATTCCATTATCATCCATTAAAAAAAAAAAAAACCCCGCCTGCGCTATCGGTATACACGGGCGGGCCACCAGTGACCGATGATAAGTGAAGATGAAGTAGGTCAGATAGCCGATCGTGACAAATTCACCAATTAATCAATCACGACGGTTTCCAGGGGAACTGCGAGGAAGTCGACCTAAGAGAGTATATCACTAGTAATATTTTTTTATGCAACTTAGAATGGCAAACAAGCTGACGGCCCACTTGATGGAAAGTGGTCAGCGTCGTATCTTCGTCGTTGATCAGCGTCGCTCTTAAATAGGATAGATAGAACCAATTAAATATTGCTATTTTTTTTAACCAGATAAGAAATTCATCTTTACAGTCTTGAATAAAAATGATCATGTATGGTGCGTTTTTTTGAGATTTCTCTCGTGAACTCTTAGATTGTGGAATGAAGTTCCTGCCTACGTTTTCCCTACAGACTATATGGGGCTCTTCAAAAAGGGTATATTAAAGTTTTTTAATTTTTTTTATACAACTTAGAATGGCAAACAAGCTGACGGCCCACCTGATGGAAGGTGGTAACCGTCGACTACAGACATGAGCAGTACCATAGTCATAACAGAGTATACTGTTTCGCCCATGATACCCCCATACTATTCCAGAGGATTTGGGTGTTATTTCTCTATAAATTCACTGCTATATCTTAACCTTAAAACTGAAAGAGCCATGCAAACAACTGCTTTACGGTTGAAACACGAATAGTACAGAGGTAAAAGCCAAGCAAACGACTTTTGTACAAAGTGGTAGACTGGTTATAGGCTTGCTAATCGCCATTACTAACAATCCCTTTTCCCGCTTTTAGTTACATTTGAATTTAGTATCTGTTTAAATGTATAATTGCAATCTATAACTACGAATGACTACCTCTATCCCACAGCTTCTTTCTGCATAAATACTTTATGTATGTAACATATATTTAAGTAATGAGAAAAACTCTATTCATGTACCAAGTTTCATTCAAATCTGTTCAGCGATTTTTTCCTGCAAAAGTAACATCGTCAAAAACTTTAGTAGGATTGTATCTGTCTGTCATACATTGCCACTCTTGAGGACTAATATGTTATATCTGTAATATGCGATTTCATACCTACCTATATATTAGTGATTTTTTTGTGAAGCCACCCACAAAAGCCTTTTTACTAAATACTTACTAAAGATCAATTAGAGAAAATTAATATTTTATTTTTATGTAAAAATTAAGATAATATCGTTTTTTGTAAGTAATTAAATTACAAGGTCTATCTTTTCGATTACGATTTTATTGTATCGATTATGTACATGTCTTTAGTTTGTACTAATGACCTCTGTAGACGGTTAATAACATTTAGACAGCTTGGTTAACGGCGACGGGGGATTCCCTATCACCAATCATTTTGGAAATAATTCGTAAACTAAGAACAAGTAAGAAATTTTTATTCGTAATAGACTACTAATTGTAAAAAAAAAAAAATTATGTGACACGATAGTTTTCTAATCGTTACTAATAATAATTATATTAAATAAATTTTTTGACAAACAGCCCCGTGATTCAATGTCAAAAGACAGAACTAATTCATAATAGTAACTTTAATTTTTTAATTTATCCACAATGACAACACCAACATTAGTTTTTTAATTGTTTTCAGTTAACACAAAACGTCAAAAATAAGACTGATAAAAATAGTAGATTTTTTTATAAATGTAACAATTTTATCTTTTTGATTTTGTCACACAAAAAAAAAACCACAGAATTGTATTTTTTTTTACCATAGATTCATATAAGCTTAAGTCGAGTCACTTAACCGTATAGTGATATTATTTTTATTCTTTCCAAAGTCCTTGAATCTGTTGTACATAAACAATTATATCGTTATCTAACTTCCTGTAACCTGTTATGTCCTATTCGATCTGGTCTCCGTCCTTCTCACAGCACCACCGGGGCATTACTCAACATTACAGAAGATATACGGCACGCCATGAACGAAACTAAACTTACTGCTATTATCTTCCTGGACTTTTCCAATGCATTTAATTCCGTCAATTTTGAAATTCTTCTTAGTGTTCTTTGTGTTGTTATTGTCTTTGCTTCTGCCTTGGAATGGTTCTCTTCTTATCTTTTCGGTTGCGAGCAGTGTGTGAGGTTAAATGATGTTTCATCTAGTTGACTTTCATTCACTGCTGGTGTACCTCAAGGCGGTATACTTTCTCCCTTAGTATTTTCGGTCTTTATCAATATTATTTCTCGAGCTATCTTCTCTCTTCCATCTGTATGCGGATGATCTTCAACTGTATTGACTTTTCTCTCCAGTTGTGCTGACATATACGGTCACAGTTTTGAACAAAGATCTATCGTCGATTCATTCTTGGGCTAAAGCTTTTGGTCTCCTTGTTAATTCATCGAAATCTCAAACCGGATAGTTCTTTCATTACTTCTTTCAAGAAAAGATTGAAATCACACCTTATAATCAATAGTACATGATAATTCTATGCACTTATACATATGTATATGTTCGCGACATTATTTGTATATATCGTAATTTATAGTTGTTAAGTCCTAGTTAATCGTTTTGTATTCTGTTATTTTATATAGATTTGCATAGATTTAAGATATAAGTTAAATAAAGTATTTCTTTGTGTGTTGTCATTATTACCTACGAATAGAAATAGAAATTGTAACAATAAAGAGAATTAAGAAATTGTAAATTGCAATAAATAGACGCTATAGAGTACCGATCTGAAGAGACACGCGTCTCGTTCATTCTCGCCCCGTCCCGCTCGCACAGATCGCTAACGCGAGTTGGAAATGTTATCGTGCGAGCGGGCGGGTATAAAGATAGGCCGCCTCTCGTCGAGCGGCATTCGCTTTCGGGCAGCGACACACTACACTCGAGAAGAAATAGGACAAGAAGAAAAAATACTCTCTTCAGACGGTACCGGAGGCTTCAGAATAGTAATCCCTGTGTTTCACTCCAGCCTGAACCAACGCCCCTACAGTCCACGCTCACCGAACGGCAGTCCACACCGCACATCGTGGTCCTTCGAGAAGCCGGATTGCTGGAGGAACACCGTTGGTACATCGAGAAGCCGGATCGCTGGAGGAAGACCATTCTGAAGCCGGATCGCTGAAATGCCGACTACGAGAAACATGAAGTCGTCGCAACAAAAAATCGCCGTCACCGAAGCCACAACGTCCGCCGCCACCACGTCGACTACGGCCGCCGGAACGCTGTCCGTCGCTGCCACGCCGTCCGTTGCTGCCACCACGTCGTCTGCGGCTGTCAGAATGCCTTCTGTCGCTGCCACGTCGTCTACCGCCGCCACCACATCGACTACGAACACGTCCGGCGATACGACGACCACAGGAGCCACGGAGACTACCGAAGCCACAGGAACGACAGAGGAGACAGCAAGGAAGAAGGAACCGAAGCACGGCACGGCACGCACGGTTCGCACCACGGCCTCGCAGAAGAAGAAGGCTCTGGCCAAGGCACGGGAGGAGCTACTTCGAAAGGAGGTGGAATTATGTCGCCGCCCTGGAAGCCGAATCAGAGGACGACGAGGAAGTAGAAGACGACGACGCTACCGTCAGAAGAGAACGAACGTCGGATTGGGTTCGTCGAAGCACGCTGGCACTCACAATGGAGCCGCATGTACCAGAGATAGAAGAAGTCACCGGCAAGCGTCAGGGGTTCGTCCCATCGAGACCCGTTGAAGAGGATTCGAGAGCGCCGCCGCCACAGCCGAGCAGCGACGCACTTCACCGGGACCACGCACGCCACGTTGACCCACATGCCGCCATGCCTACGATAGCAGCAGCGATGCAGTCGATAAAGAAGGAAGAACCGGTGCTGAAAGTGGGCATCGATTGTAATGAGTTTGCGATCGCCATGAAGATGGCCGCTCGCAACATACTGCCCTCCACAGCGTCAAGAGTCACCGAGTTGCCAGTCTTCAATGGATCGTCGAGCGAGTGGTTACCATGGAAGATGGCCTATGAAGAAAGCGCAAGTCAACACACAGAACAGGAGAACCTAGCAAGACTGCGCAGAAGTTTGAAGGGGGCCGCAAAGGACGCGGCACGCTCCCTATTCGTCGGGTCTACGACCGCAGAAGAAGTGATGAAGATGTTAGCCGCGAGGTTCGGCCGCCCTGGAGCACTCGTCACAGCCGAACTGAACAAACTCCGCGCGCTACCACGACTCTCGGACAACGCAAGAGACGTCTGCCTCTTCGCAAGCAAGGTGCAGAACGTCGTCGCCACGATACGAGCTTGAACAAGAGTCACTACCTCTACAATGAAGAAATAGTGAGAAACGTCACAGAGAAGATGCCGTCGGTACTACGCTTTACTACGATTTCGCCAAAAACCGGAAAACCGGACCTCATAACACTCTCTCAGTTCCTGCAAAGGACCGCCGCACGATGTGGAAACTTCGCCCCCGCCGAAACCGTCCGAATATAGGAAGACGGCGAAGACATACACGACGCAGGAGAAACCCGCTACACCACCGTGCCCGATGTATCGACGAGAGGGACACGCTCCATCGGACTGCAAGACGATGAAGGAAGCAGACACATCGGCGAGATGGGAGTTAGCGA